TTTGATTGCTGCCCTTATAGCACCATCCTGATCAGTAATTATTGTCTTTGGTTGCTTTCCATTCATTGCTTTCAAAAAAGCTCTGAAGAGCCACTCAAAAGTTTCAGTTGTTTCATCATGTATAAAAGCACAACCAAATAGTATTGTGTTCCCATGTCCAGATACTCTAACAAATGGTGCAAAAGGCAGATTATATCTGTTTGTCAAAAAAGTTGTGTCAAAACTTATACAATCGCCAAATTTGTAGTACCACTCCCTAGATCTTCCATCAGTCCAAAAAAAATTCTTCACTTTTCTATTCTCATCAAGATCAAACTCATAGAAGAAATTGGGATCTTCTTCCTGCTTTTTCTTCAAAAAATTCAAACATTGCATCAAATCATTACTGCTTGTTTCTCTGTTTATTGATGTTCTGACATTGCTTATATCCTTTTTAGTGTAAGGCAAAGAAGTTAGACCACCTCTTAGAACAGATAATATTACAATCATATTTCTTGTTGGAATATGGCATTCTTTCAAAGTCCTGATTAGAATCTTTTCTTCTGTCGACATGTATTTGTGAGATCTTAGAAATCTAGCCTCATCTGGAGGACTGAGCTCATGATTGTGATCTAAATCTATCCTCGATATAACCCAAATCGAATTCCTCTCACTGATTACAAGAACACATTTGCATTCAGTCCCTATGACTTCATTTGTTTTCCTTTCAGAAGTAATTGTTTCTTCCTTCTTATTGCAATCCGACTTCACATACTTGTTGTATTTGAATGTTTCTCTAATAACTTCTCCATTTCTTTTTTTACTTAATGTTCTAGCACTGTGAGCATTGACAATAGAAAATCCAGCCATGTATGCATAAAAATTGAAGTAGTTCTGTGCCTCATCTATTGATTTGAATTTCTGATTCAACTCTGGAATATATTTTCTGTCTATGCTTGCATTGTTTCCTTTTGATGCTTCCTGTTGTTCTTCATCTAGAAACTGTTCAATATCTTCTTCTGTTAGAAATTCTTCATTCAAATCAGGATCAACTTCAGTAGTACTTTCGCCTTTATCACTAGACTGAATTGAACTCTGTTGCTGTAATTAAACATTGGACCATAAATTTACATTATTGAAAATTTATCTTTATATCAATCTTAATTGATATGAACCATACATATTCATGAAAAATTCATACCTCAATAGATTCTTGTAGATTGAACAAATCTAGAGACCAAGGTTGTACAGAATCAACTTGAGCTTCAAAATTAATTTCTGGAATCACCTCAGACATATTTTTTTGCATCAATGACAGTCTGCATAGAATCATTTCCATTTTGTTCAACCTGCACTCATGTAAAATTCAACATAATGATTTTTTGATCTTTTTTATTAATCTTAATGTTTTCTAAATGATATATTCAAATAATAAATTTTTTTAATACCTCATTCACCAAATTATAATTGAAGTCAACATTTGTGCTGCTGCTTTCTCACATCGAATTCTGCAAAGAATAAAAATAGTTTTTAAAAAACAATTCAAAAAAAATGAAGAAATTCTAATTTTCAATAGAGTACAAGTTAAATTACCTCCAAATCATTGCATCTTGTAGGTTGTGAAGATATAATATGTTCCATTAGACTAGTGTATGAAGTAAATTTATCCTGCTTAAAATATATTAATTAAATTAAAACCAAATCAAAATAAAACAAATATACGATATCTGACAATGTATAATTACATCAATGAAATCTTGATCCAATAGTGATAGAACATTGGTTTGATGTATTTCTTCTGCATAGTTCATATCCTGTTCTCCTGAAAAAAAATAAAACAATCTAAAATATGTACAAAAAAACAAATTCTGTGTAGTCAAAAATATATATACCTAACATATCTTCTTCAAATTGAATTCTTTCATTTTCCATTGTTTTTACATTCTCGATAACAGCTATTCTCTTTCCCTTGTCAATTTCTGAATCTCTTTGAGTGTTTCCTGCATATTATAATAGAATAGACAGATTATTGTTAAATTCTAATTTATTTAATGGTTCTAAATTTATGTTTCTTACCAGTTTTTGTATCACCTTTGCCATCTTCAAGCATATATGATCTCATCGTATTATAATTTTGCTCCAGTAACCCAAGTCCTTTATTTATTAAAAAAATTGAATTAATCTGATGTTTGTTTCTTATGAAATTTAAAACCAAACTCTGAATACAATTAGTCAAAAGAAATTATGTAATTTTATTTTCAATTACCTTCATCTTTTGATATTGTCTTCTTCTCAATGTTTTTGTCTCTCTCTCTTAAATCCTTCAAAATACCTGCACAACATATGTTTTCTTTCTAAGTTAATTTAAACATATCAATGAAATAAAAATTTATATGGACAAATGTTTTTTTTCCGTTCTTACCTGACTGTGCAGTACTTGATCGTGTACTACTTTTCTTTGCATCTATTATAAATGATCTTGTCCTATTGTAATTTTGCTCAATTAATTGTAAACCTGTTTGAATGAGATTTTCTGATTATAATTCTGATTTCATATTGAAATAAACAACATAAAAAATTTATGTTTTTTCACCTGATTGTGAAATTTTTTTGTTTAAATCCAAGTCAATCAACTGTTGTTTTTTCGCTGTTTCTGTATACATAGAATTTTCAAAAATTAGTAATTTTTTTTAATGAACAGTTGTATGCATAACCTCATTAAATTATATAAACATATAAGTCTGTTCTTACCTCCAACAAAACCTTTCAAATTCTCATCTGTCAAACCTGTGAAAACAAAGCATAAGTATATTTCAGTACACTTAATTATCAAACATTTAGCAATCAAAACAAAGAACATATTATCAGTACACTTGATGAGTACACTTGATGATTTCATTTTGACTTGTATTGTAATTTTTTATCTCATATAGTTTTCATATGATATTCTGAAATTCCTTCTAATCAGTTCATATGAAATAAATTGTCTATTTTCTGAATTCTCTGAATGATTTCTGTTTTGAGTTTTCAAATTTTTGATTATGTAAAGTTTTAAGTCTTCAAACTGGACAATAATCCTTAAATACAGTAGTCTTTGTGTGTTGCTTGGTGATGTGAATCAGGGCCATCAAATACAGTCTATCTTATTGTAGTACAAATATATTGACAATTGTATCTCTGAATAATTTATTTGAGAGCTTGAGTTAGTGGATGGATGGTAGTTGAACTATAATTAAAATTTGTTCTGATTTTCTTTTCCTATGAAATTCTGAATTTGTTTCCAATAAATTGATATGCAATATGAATAGAGATCTTAAGTCCACAAGAAGTTAGTTGAAAACAAAAAAGTGCAATACTGTATCTAACCTGTTGATTCTCAAATGAGTTATGAAGTACTGTATATTATGTGAAAGTTATGTTGTGGATTCATATGAAGATTATGTTAATAGTCTGAAGTAAATTCGAATTTTGCAGAGTATAAGTTTTCAAATTTTTGATTATGTTAAGTTTTTAAGTCTACAGTCTGGACAGTAAATCCTTGAATGTTGCTTGCTGATATGTATCAGGGCCATGTGATTGTTTTCTTATAGTCATTGTGTGTTGCTTGCTGATATGTATCAGGGGCCATGCGATTTTTTTTTTGAATTTTGTAGTTGTGTTTTCCTAGTCATTTTATATGTGAACCTTTGCTCCTTTGTTTGAAAGCTTTGAGTTAGGAGGTTGATGGTAGTTGAACTATAATTAAATTAAAATTTGCTATGATTGACTTTTCCTATTAATTTCTGAATTTGTTCCCAATAAATTGATATGCAATATGAATAGAGATCTTAAGTCCACAAGAATTTAGTTAAAATACCAACAGTGCAATCCTGTAACTAACATATTTGATTGTCAAATGAGTGATGAAATTCTGTCTATTATTTGATAGTTCTATTGTAGATTCATATGAAGATTTTGTCAATAGTCTAAAGTGTTGTGCTATTGTAGATTCATATGAAGATTCTATCAATTGTCAAATGAGTTATGAAGTACTGTGTATATAGTGTTGTGCTATTTTATGCTTCTTTTACATACGCCAGTATAGAGGACTGATGGATTAATGCAATTTTTTGCCTCTTCACAGGAATCCCATGAACTTGAGTCATTTGTGAGTTATTTTTTTCAAGATTCAAAGAAGGAAGTTCAGAAGATTCAGAACAAGAATTAGAAGAGTGTTGATTTCAAGAATTAGGAAGTTCAGAACAAGATTCAGTACCTGTTGATTTCATATTCCTCAGATCTTGAATTTTGTTTGCAGATTCTAAATCCTTCGTTTTTTTGCAATCTTCTCCTCCACCTCCATCTTCTTCTTCCTTGTTCGATCTATTGCTCTGATTTTTCTCTTTGGAAGCAAAGTTGCTTTTTTTGCTTTAATGATCAGATCACGTGCCTATGCAGAGCATCTTCTTGGTTCTCAAGTTTTCTTCAATAGGCAATGTGGTCACGTGAATTCTCTCTGTCAGTTTTGATGTGGTTGTAATATTGGATTTGGCTCATGTTTTAATTTTGGGCTTCTTTTTGTTTTGGGCTTTTATTGTATCCAATGGGTCATGAATAAGATTATATATATATTTTTTAAAGTATTTCTGTGAAAAATCTGAGACTCTTTGATCGAAATCTTATGATAAAAAAACAACAGATTAGACACCAAATTTTCTGTCGACTGAGACAGATAGACAGTCCCTTTTTTTTTTACCTCGAATTTTCCTTTTCACCAACCGCCGCTCGATTCAAACTCACACGTCGCACCACAGCCCGCGAAAACCAAAAACATAAACAAACCATTCCTAGTACACTCCTCGGCACACGTGCGCGGCCACGATTCTCCGATGAGTGGGCCATACATCCCCTACTCCAGCTCTCGCTGAAACTGGGCCCAGAAGCTTACCATCCTGGCCCACCGGAGCCCTCCACGGTCACTGACCAGTGGGCCCTAACGCACACATCGTGGGCTCCGTCGTGTCATATGTATCCTTCCTCTTCCATTCCACTCCGAATCCCCTTCCGCCCACAGATCGACCCGACCCGACCCGACCCGCGCCGCAATTTGATTTGATTTCCTCCTTCTCCGCCGCCGACCTCGCCGCCGGTCGCCGCGGGGTCTAGCCGGGGATGCCGCCCAAGAGGAAGCGCGGTGGCGGGAGGCCGCGCAAGGCCCCGGAGGACGCCGCCGCCAAGGTAACCGAAGCGAAGCTGCTTCGATTAGGTCTCGTTTTTTTTTATTTTCTCTCTCGTTCCTTCGGGCAACGCCTCGGAAAACCCGGGGAGTTGCTATGATGTGCTGCGTCTTCTTCGCGCCGTTGTCGTCGAGGGGATGTTGGGACGTTTAAACCCTAGCGGATGGATTCGTGCTAGTATCTCCGAGCAACACTGGCTGCTTCATGTTTGCTTTCGGTGTGTTAGTTTTGCCGCTTTGAGTTGTTCCCCTTTCTTTCTGTATTTGTTATTCTGGTCGGGGATGTGAAGTGGGCAATATCCTTGGATTCCTTTTCGCGCTTGCAATGGATAATGGATTTTGCTCCCTTTTCTTCAATCATAGTGTACTGTTATTTGGATAATCGACCATTTCCCTGATTTTGCTTGTCTAAGCTACAGAGTTGTCAAATTTCATTGGATATCTACCAATCTATTGGATTTCTAAGCCTGGGTTGCTCACGGAATGTGCAGCACTGAAGAGTTCCTCTGCAATTGCGCTGAATTTTCCCTCCACTTCTTTTTAAGAAGAGCTTAATATGTAGTTTTGCATACGAAATGCTTGACCAGTTATTGGGTGCGGTTGCAGGAAAACGGTGAGAAGACAAACAAGGAGGAGGAAACGCAGGCTTCTCCTGAGGTTAGTGTTTTCTTTTCCTGCCGGGGACTGGAAATGCAAACATTTACCATGTTCCGAATGTGTGATGGATCTCTTTTTGGTTCCAGGAGAATGGCGCAGGGCAGACTCAGGCCTCGAGAACCGCAAGAAAGCGCAGGAAGGGTCCTGTTGCTGATCCCTCTTCGACTGAACTTCCACCCAGGAAGCTCAGGGACAGGCGGAACGTTCCAGCGGTAGACTACAAGGAGAATAAGGTGGAAATTGCAATCTTTTATACAGCATATTCTCTATGGTGTATTTGCAGTTGTATGTCAGTAATTCATTGCTAAGTCCTTATATCATGATTTCCTTGATTTGCAGCACACAAAAAAGATGGATGGAACTTCAACCATGTGCCATCAGTGCCAAAGGAAGGACAGTGGAAGAGTTGTGAGGTGCCGGAATGGTGCTGAAAAAAACAGGAGGCACAGATATTGTGTCAAGTGCATCAAACGCTGGTTTGTGCCCTTCTAAAAGCACTCAATGTTGATCACCTTAGTTGTGTCACCCTTTCAGTTCTTATTATGTTAGTTCATGCACAAATTTACATTTATATCTTAGCTACTAATATGGATCTGTTGCTTGTTTCTGTGGCATGATCTAAGCAGGTACCCGCATCTAACAGAGGACGATTTTGAGAACTGCTGTCCAGTTTGTCACAATAACTGCAATTGTAAGACTTGTCTGCGGACAAATGTAATAAATAAGGTACACCTCTTTTTTTTGTTGTCCCGTTTCTATTTTATTACCTGGCCTCATTGCTTCATTTTGTTTGATATTTTCTGTTATGCGTTTGTCAGGGTGACAAGGAGTTTGCCGATGGTAAGAACAAAATTAAATACTCTCTGCGTATTGCACGCTTTTTGCTCCCTTGGTTGAAACAACTTCACCAAGAGCAGATGCTAGAGAAAAGTGTTGAGGCCACAATTAAAGGTATTATCATAGCTTAACACGGTTCCCTTTTAGCACTAAGTTTCTTTTGTTGGTTCCTAATCCTAATTCTGCAACAGGGATCGATGTAACTGACTTGGAGGTTCCTCAAGCTCAGTTTAATAATGATGAGCGGATTTACTGGTTGGTATTGCTTTATTTGTAAAGCATGTGGACTATATGTTCTTTCAAGTGTGAACTATCTAATTTTTTGGTTTATTTGAAACAGTGATAACTGCAGAACATCCATTGTTGACTTCCACAGAAGTTGTAAAAGTGGTCACTATGATCTCTGCCTCAGCTGCTGCCAGGAGTTGCGTCAAGGTCTTACTACTGGTACTGTTGTCACTTGTGACACAGCTGTTGATGTACCTGAAATAGAAGGCAAGGAAGGTTTGCAAGAGGGAAGTAGTCATAGCAGTGCTGTAGGTCAAGGGGCTTCTGATCAACAGAATGACAGGTTGATAGGTAGTGCAGCTCCTTCAGAGGATTGCACTCCTAGTTTGATATGGAGGGCAAAAAGCAACGGAAGCATACCATGCCCACCTAATGCAGGTGGTTGCGGGGATTGTCTTCTCGAACTTAGGTGTTTGTTTAAGGAGAACTTTATTTCTGATTTACTGGATAAAGTCAATTCAGTGGTCAATAAGGAAACAGAGCAGGAGTTGGGAGGCTCTAGATGTTCCTGCTTCACTGAATCCGGTGAAGTGAACAATGAAACATCACGGAAATCAGCTTGCAGAGAGGACTCCAATGATAACTACATATATTGTCCAACTGCTAGAGAAGTTCAAAGTGGAGCTTTAGATCATTTTCAGCAGCATTGGTTGAATGGTCAGCCAGTCATTGTTCGTGACGTGCTTGAGCTAACTTCTGGACTGAGCTGGGAGCCAATGGTTATGTGGCGGGCCTTACGGGAAAAGAGAGACAAGAAAGAGCATGAACGGCTCTCAGTTATAGCTCTTGATTGTCTGACATGGTTTGAGGTAAGTAACATTATGTTAATAAAATTGCAATAAGCTGCCTCTTGTAGAGCTGATGCTAGGGATTGTCAGTCACATAATCTACACGAGTACAATTATAAACGTGTGGAGTTGAAACATTGATCATCGTGATTTCTTGAGGTGTGTAGATGTGCCAGTGGAATCCCTGATACCATGAAAATGTACACACAACAAAAGAAAAAGAACTGTATATCTACCTAATGTCAGCTCAGCTTATGTGCCTGGTAGTGGTAGAACTTATGAACTTCACATATCAATATATTAGTTTATGTACCACCAGGATGTGTTGGTGGTGCCAGTTTCATATCTGGGGTTCAACAGCACCATTGAAACTACTTTATATTTCAAACTGGTAACTTCCTAATACCATTGCTTTCATTTAACCATAATGCAGGTTGATATAAATATTCACATGTTTTTTGAGGGGTATTCCCGTGGAGCTGTTGGTTCGGAGGATTTGCCTGTGCTACTTAAGCTTAAAGATTGGCCACAACATAGTTCCTTTGAGGAGCGCCTGCCGCGGCATGGTGCTGAGTTCATGTCTGCACTACCATTTCGTGAGTATACAGATCCAAAATCTGGTCCCCTTAATCTGGCAGTGAAGCTTCCAAAACATGTTAAAAAGCCAGATCTTGGTCCAAAGACATACATTGCTTATGGTGTCGCCCAAGAGTTGGGAATAGGTGATTCTGTTACGAAGATCCATTGCGACATGTCTGATGCGGTAAATAAGTGAATTTCTTGTGATTTCTGGCATTTGTATATGTAGATTTATGGATTAAAATCTTGTTTCCTTTTAATTCATATTGATTGTACATATTGCTATCCTTGGATGCTATTATATGTTATGGATAGAAAGTATCGGAGACGTAAACATGGAAAGGAAGGGGCTGCTGGGAACTCAAAATTAGCAGGGCCTCCTGCAGTAGTCTGGGAGGATATACATTCCTAGTCTTTATATATCAAATATAGTAGCTATTTCCTAGTATTCAGGTCAAGTTTGTATGTTGTACTACCATATGTCCATATCTCGCTTCTTCGTAGTTTAAGAGTTATCCCTGTTATATGAAGGGACCAATTTTGTACTAGCAGCAATCAGTCAATAAAGCTGAAGGTCTTCACCCAACTCTAAATCCTTGCCAACCGAGCATCTAGCTGAGCAGGACAACCCTGCTTGACCTGAGAGTGCTGGTTCATACCTGCCTGTGTTTCTATTCCTGACCTTCTTCCTCCTCTTTACTACATTATTTCGTATCATAGCAATCTCCTCCTCCAGCAGCCCTAGCCCTCTGACCAACCCATCCCTGCCATCCACCATATAAAACTCCAAAGCCCTGGAAGAGCTCTTCAAACAGCTGGGGTACAGACCTGGGCAAGAAGATTTATATCCTCATTTCTAGGCAGGATGCCATGAACACAAGTGATGCAAGGGCTGTAGCATGATACCCTGGCCCTCATGGCCTCATTCCAACCAGCACTAGCCGCAGCAGCAATGTCTTGGCATCAGTGCTAGGGCAGGATGAAGATGCGTGTGGTGCGCTATTCTACCACAAATTGACCTTCTCAGCATTTGATGGCAAAGAAGACCCACTCCCATGGTTTAATCGTTGCGAGCAATTTTTCAAGGACCGTGATCTCTTGAAGAGGGAAGGAATGGCTTGTGTCAGACCACATGATGGGCGAGGCACAGAAGTGCTATATGCAGTTTTAAATGATATGAAGGCGTTTTCTTGTGGAAAAAAAACTGCGACTTTGTCAACATGCACTATGGCTCTCCAATGCACAGCAATGCCTTGAACCAATTATCTCTATTACACCATACTAGGATAGTGGCAGAGTACCAAAAAAATTCTTTGCTCTCTTGTACCAGGTTTCACCATCTCTTCTGAAAGAACAGCAAGTCAACTTGTTCACTGCTGGCCTCGGCCAATCATTGCCTACTGATGTGGAGTTGTAAAATCTTACAGACCTTCAGCACCCCATGAGCCTAGCTCGTGCCGTTGAACAGTGGCTGGAAGACAACTACAGTGACAGTACGAGCATCGAATATATAGAAGCCATTTCCTAGTTTAACTTTAGATTGTAGTCATGTCAAGTCTGCAAGTTATTCTACTATATTTAGCTCCTTCCTAGTTTAAGAGTGAGCCCTGTTATAAAGGGACAATTTTTGTACTAGTACCGAACCAAGCAGGACAAAGCTTGCTCAACCTCAGGGCACTGGGTTCTACCTGCATGTTTTTGGCTTCAAATATTCTTCTGTTGGCATGTTGGAAGTTGCTTATTTAGATTTTTGATTTTTCAGTTCTCTTTATAGTTGATTACCAATGCTAACATCTAGTCTAGTTATTAAACACAGCATAAATTTATAGAATCATCTATAAAAAGAATTATGTGATATTTGCTTGTGTTGTCTTGTTACTTGCTGCTGAAAGCTGCACTCCTTAGTTTAATTCTTGCTACGGTGGCTGACAATGCTGGATAGTTGGTTGACCATGTCATGAATTATATGGGAAAAAACCAATGGAACGTTAATTTTAATTATGAAAATGTATCTGATGCATACAGTATCCAGCTGTATCATTGTGTTTTTTTAATAAAAAGCTGTATCATCGTGTGATTTTCCTTTTTTTTTAATAAAAAGCTGTATCATCGTGTTATTTTCCTGATTTCAGGCCTTTCCATTTGTTATACACCTGTTTACTTTGTTCAGTTTTGACTAATAAAGTAATAATCACATGTTTCCTATTGCGTAAACAGGTTAATATTCTCATGCATACTGATGAGGTAGAACTCAAAGCTGAAAGGATTACAGCAATAGAGAAAAAGAAAGAGAGCTTACGTAAAGATGGCAAGAATCTTCATGTTCTGCGACCAGACCATGACGATGATACATCAATAGCTCTCAGTGAATCAACTGAAGTGCCAAGATCTCGAGGACTTGAAAATGGCTCAAGCATTAAGCAGCCAGCACCAAATGTTGCTGTAATGGACCAGGGAGGTGTTCATACAGATATGGTAGCTGATGAAGCTGAGGGAAACTTGAGTCTGTCTAATGGGCAATCACCCAATCAAAGTGATGCACATAATATGGATATTACTTTCTCCAAGGGGGAAACAGACCATTCTATCTGCACAATTAATGGGGGAGAGGAGATGGGCAATGGCTTTGGGAGGGAAGATAAATGTAAATCTTCTCATGGTGTAGGATCATCTGAATCTTCTGATTGTCAAAGACGCAGTAGGCGACGTGATGCTTGCTCTTCCAGTGCAACAGGGGAAATAAACGAAACCAGCATGGAGACTAACAAATTTACCATATCTATTGAGCCCAAAGATGATCACCCATTTGTTGAGGGAAATCAGACAGAGGGTGGTGCATTGTGGGATATCTTCCGACGTGAAGATGTCAGCAAATTGCATGATTATCTGATGAAGCATGCAGAAGAGTTTAGACATTATAATTATGAAACAGTCAAACAGGTAATTAGTTATTCTACCACTTGTCCATGGAATGCCATCTGTCATGTTTCTCATCTCACACAACTGCCCTATGTTGTCAGGTTTCTCATCCTATTCACGATCAATGCTTTTATCTAACAAATGAGCACAAGAGAAAGCTCAAGGAAGAACATGGTCAGTAAAAAATACTGATGTCTTTTGTAATTTGTTCTCACTTACTGATATATATTGTTCATTTCATATGCAGGAATTGAGCCTTGGACATTTGAACAGAAACTTGGTGAGGCTGTGTTTATCCCAGCAGGATGTCCCCACCAAGTCAGAAATTTGAAGGTATGCTATGACAGACATGGAAGCAGTTTCCAACTGTCCATTACCATTGCTGTTAATACCATGTGTTGAATTAAAATGGACCAATCTTATCTGTGGTATTATTCTTTTTACCAACCTGCTTTTTTTTTCCCTTTTATTGGACAGTCATGTATAAAGGTTGCACTTGACTTTGTTTCTCCGGAAAATGTGCAAGAGTGCATCAGGCTGACAGAAGAATTTCGCTTGCTTCCGAAGGGTCATAGGGTGAATGAAGATAAACTAGAGGTTAGCTAATCCTTTTATCCGCAGTTCCATACTCTTCTGCACACATATTTGAATAATTTGACAACTGTGATAGCTCTAGCACTATGTTTTATAGTTTCTCCCCTTTTGACATTCATATCTAATTGAACCCTGTGAATATGCATCACCAGGTTAAGAAGATAGCTCTATATGCACTTGATCAAGCCATTGACGATATCACAGGCAAAAGTTGCAATGAAAGGTTAGTGGGGACAGCTCTGCATATTGTATCAACTTAGGTCTTGTTACAGAATATATTTCTATCACCCCCCACAAACCACACGCACACACAGAGAGAGAACCAAAAAGACATATTTCTGTTGATTGTAACAATTTTCCATGGGTACTGATTCAGTTTGATTATGCTGAGTGAAGTATTCAAGTATCATACTTTTTTCTGTCATCTCTTAGTTTACTCGGTTTATGTGTGCTGCTTAAGCTTCCAAAGCTTGCCAACTTTTACATGCCCACTTGCACACCTTCCTTAAGGGCATAAAGTAACGCTGCAAGCTGCACTGGTGTTTTTCTATTCTGCTTTCCTACTGCAATGCTACCCAAGATTTTTGTTGCAAGGCTGCTTTTGTCTGAATATAGTTAGTACTGTGTTAGTATTTCTGTGTACTGCGGTTCCATGTATCAAAACTGTTTCAAGGGAAATTCAATGCAACGTCCCATTCTGCAGGCCAAAACTGTTTGCCCACAAAACATTTCTGGTAAAATAAGATTGCTCTTCTGAAAGAACAAGTTCTGTACCTCTAGGTGCTGTTGAAAAGCAGGATCTGCTTAAATATTAGACAAGTTTGCTCTCCAAAATTCACCATTTTTTACGTAAACGAAACACTATTTCCTGGTTCTGACACCCTCTTTCCATGATTAATCAGGCTAGGATTATTCAAACCTTTGGTTGGGTAAAATGATATATATTTATCTTGATGTGATTGGATGTTGCAATGACAATAATCTTGCATTCTACCAGGACAAAGGATGAAGGGGAAGAGGAGGCGTCTGCCCCAAGTGTTAGTTAACCTGCAGAGGAAAATCACCAAAATTAGCCTGCACAAGGCCATGTGCTGGAGTCCAATATGCATGATTTCTGCGGAGGCATGTTTGTAGTTTAGAAACGGTTCTTCTCGTGATAGGGTGATGGCTAGTGATTTTTTTGCAGCAGGTTTGTGGAGCTGGTTATCATTTTAGCTCTGTACCATCATATACGGAGACGATAGCTTTAACTACAGGACGGTTGATTTTGTTACTTCATCATTGAGTTGTATGGAGTTTACCCTTGATTTGATAGCAGAGATGGATGGGGGTGCGTCCTTGATCTTTTTTTTGCTTGCTAGCCGACGAGTAACAATCATTTGTGCTACTGTAGTTTGTAACTTTGTATTACCTTGTGTACAATGGGCATTTCATGGTCGTTAAGGGCTCAAAGCAATTGTATTGTGGAGTCAGTCAGATGGCCGTTGAAGTATGTCTCGGAAATTTGTACATGGTGATGAGAAAGCTTATGTCTAGCAGAGAACAAATATCTAATGTACTACAATGATTTTTTTAGATAATGCAATGTACTACAATGATATATTTTATCATCTCATCTGATGATTACATGCGTATATTACTTGGTGGAAGCCCAGGAATAAAAGCTTGAAACCATCGTGATGTTCCGGGACTATTTCCTGCTTGATGCCTTAGATTGCCGCTTGCTCCGTGTGCCTCTTGTAAAATGCCCATGGACAATCGAAGGGATTAACAACGATAATACTTAGGCATATAACATAATATAATTAGGGATTGATAGATAGATGAACCTTAATTCTGAGCCTCAGTGAGAGTCCGGATAAGATATCCCAAATTAGCCAGCGTCCAGATAATGTCTCCATCTTATCCCGCGCGCCGACTTGACTGCGGCCGGACCCTTCCTCCAATTCCTTTCCTTGCTCGATCGTCGTGTTGCCGTCCCGTCGATCGGTTGATTTTCTCTACAAAACACCCATCTTGCTTGTCTTTTTTTTTACTGTTAATTAGTGGTTGTATTTTGTAAGACATGCTAATCTTTTAATACTGCTGCTAAAGCTACATCGGGCTTCTAGGAATCACGTTTTGTGGGACGGAGGGAGTAGTCTCCTCTCTGTCGCCGTGCCTATGCTCGGGCCTCGCCCTCATTTTTTACGAATAGTTGTATTAAGAAAAGATAAAATGTTAAATTTGATAAAAATAAGATATTATAGTTTTCTTTGGTTTTGTATTGGTATATCTGGTATGGGTGTAAAATAAACTTATTTTGGGACTTACTCTAATAGCTAGCTAGTACAGTAAGTACTACTAACATGTAGCAATCCATCGTCCCGTTGTTATCACTGCGGTAATTACTATGGACGGCGAGAGCGCGTGTTGATTAACCAGTTACATGGGAGACTGACTAATTATAATTAACCAGCTAGTATAGTTTTGCATCTGGGGCTGACCAGCTGCATTTCTCCTCTTATTATTCTGCTTGACCCGGATCAGAGGCGACGGCCGTGACTGTGACGTCCATATGGCCAGAATGCAGCCACCCGGCCGGATATATATAACTCGATCCTGACCGTCCATACACGCGAATCAACCATAATAAGATCATACTACTCTATCTCTCTCTTTGTTGTACTACACTTTGATTTGATCTTTTTTAAGTCAAAATTCTTTATATTCAATTAAATTTATATAAAAACATAATAATATTTTTATACCAAACAAAGATACTATCAAATATATTAAGTGTTATATTTAATAGATATAATTTGGTGTTGTAAGAATTATTATATTTTTATAAACTCATTAAACTTAGAAAAATTAACTTAGAGAAAATTAAAGCATCTTATATATGAAACCGAGTGAGTAATAAATATATAGGAAGTACTACTCCATCTTTACCTATCTGAAATTAGGTCCATTTGAATCGTAGGAATGAAAAAACAGAGTAATAGAAAAAACACAGGATAGGAATACAATTTTAAAACAGAAGATTGTAAAACATAGGAAAAACACATGAATGGCCGTTTGATTGGACCACAGGAAAAACGCAAGAATCAGATGAGAGAGATAGGCTCAGAGGAAATGTTCCAAGTGGTTAGACCTCTGGCTAACTTTTCTCCAAAATGTGCATAGGATTACCCATTTCTTAGAAATTTTAAAGGATTGGATATAATTCAATCCTTTCAAAGGCTTTCATAGGATTTTTTTTTCCATAGGATTGAAATCCTCTAAAATTCATATATTTTTTCTACAAATAAAAGGGGCCCTTAGTGGTGGTGAGTGCGTACGTATACATCGATCATCCCAGGAGATGGTGATGTATTGTGATGTGTATGCACGCAAGGCTGTTCTTGGTAAAAGACGTGTCTATTACTGCAGCAGCATCTGTCTCAATTGACAAAGATTACAATTAATTACTACCTAGCTACTTAGGGATATCACGATTAATTATTCACTTGCTTATTTAATTTAATTTTCTCCTGGTCATTAGCTTGTTGTTTTCGCGTTAGCGATCGATATATATTGATCCATTGATTCATGGAACTCATCATCATATGTTCAATCATAGCTAATGTATGTATGGTATAAGATGGAATCAAGGAGGTCGATTGACAGTCACCTGAGTTCATACCTGCATAGACACGTGTAAGTGCTCATCTTTTTTTATCATCAGCTTAATTACTTCTTCTTGTATTATTGAAAAAGAAAATATCATGAATCTGATGAGTCATGAGAGGTTGCTCTGTTTCGAAACATCACTATCTAAATAGCAGCAGCCGGCCGGCTCGTCGAGTGAAGTGAAAGATGAATTTTGTTGGAATGTATAAACTGCATTCTCTTGATGAACACGTGAGTTAAATTCTTTGTGTCATTTGAAACCATAAGCTAGGCGATCACATGAATATTTATTCTGATGTATGTATGCATGGCCGTTGATTGGCTGACCTGGTATGATCTGAGTCAGCCTGCCTTCCCTGGAGTAGATAGCTTGCTTGATTTCTAATCCGTGTTACATGTGTTGTTAATTATATCCATGACTTGAATTGAAACTGGAAAGTACTCGAGCTAATAGCTTGCAGGTGACTTGGTCTAGCTAGCTAGCTGAAGCCGATCGCCCAGTGTTAATTTAATTACAGAAAGTGCAACCGCGAGCTAATTACTATGTACTATAAATTGAATATATACTAGTAACAATCAAGCTCGTTTTAATTATTAGTAGTAGATAGTTAGTTTGCATATGTATTGTGAAAATTACATCAAATTTAAGTTAAATGAAGAATTAGCTAGCTAGGAGACTTGGTCTATGCAAGCATGCAGCACATAACGCGACGCTCGGCCGGCTCTCATCTGACGTGGTCCAAGCTTAATTTTTTTTTTTGAGAACAGTCCAAGGTTAATTAGCTTGAGTATTTCTCGTATCTTCTAAACTAAGTAGTCCTCCAGTAATCATTATTGGTTTTCATTTTCCTTTTCGTTTAGTGAATTATAAGTGCAGGGTCACTGTCCTGACGTAGTACTTACTATTCAGCGGCGCAGATCATCCTGGGACGACACGTGGGCAGAGAGATCGACGGTGGAGATGTGTTCTCGCGTCAAAATAGACATGGTCAAACTACACTAGTTATTTACTACTCCCTCCGTTCCAAAATGTAGCTATTTCTAGCACAGTGTCTTGTCCCAAAATAAAGCTATTTCTTCACCTACCTCCTCCTCTCAACCAATCACAACTATTCTTCTTCACCTACTTTCTCTTTTCAACCAATCACACACTTCCTCCAATCATTCTCACATACTTTCTTAATATCCGTGCCAACCTCAAAAATAGCTTCATTTTAGGACGGAGGAAGTACTACTAGTACTACTTCAGAGAAGAGATCAAAAGAGAGAGAAGATGATTGGTGCTAATGTTTTATTTTAGTACTAGTGTTTTGTAGTGGCATGACACTGTCTTATTCCTTTTTTTTTCTTTGTAAGATGAATTAAGATCCTGCTCGCCTTACTAAAATGGAGCATTTGTCGTTGTGTTTACATACCTGTGCTATGTTGGTGGTGTGTGTCCTATGCGTTTGGCTTCTCACTGTCACATGATACAAGCTTTGCATGCGTCCTCTTCTAATTTCTACTAGTATGATTCTATCACAACCGTATCTGTTTTGGCTTTAATTTAACTCCATCTGGCCTGCCCTGCCCTGTCATGCTTTAAGCCTTTAGGTGGTGTTTAGATCCAGGGACTTAACTTTAGTCCATGTCTTTAGACACTAATTTAGAGTATTAAATATAGACTACTTACAAAACTAATTACATAAATAAAAGCTAATTCACGAGACAAATTTTTTAAGCCTAATTAATCTATAATTAGAGAATGTTTACGGTAGCATCACATAGGCTAATCATGGATTAATTAGGCTCATTAGATTCGTCTCGCAAATTAGTCCAAGATTATGGATGGGTTTTATTAATAGTCTACATTTAATATTTATAATTAATTTTCAAACATCCGATATGATAGGGACTTAAGACCTCATGACTTTTCATTCCCTGCCAGCCATCAAGCCTTCAAGGTACAATTTGTCCTAAGCTGCCAGCTGCAACTAAATAAAAACAACAAATACTACTAGTACTACACATTACACATTTCTATTAATACAGTTGCAAACGTTTGATTATTTATCTTATTTCAAAAGTTGCGTAAATATAAAAAAATAAGTCGTACTTCTGTTAATAAAGCAAGTCACAAACAAAATAAATAATAATTCCATAATCTTTTGAATAAGATAAATAATTAAACGTTACAAAAAAACTCTAAACGATAAGTATTTTGTGACGGAGGTAGTACTGCGCTGATAAGAAGCGAAAACATCTCTGAAAAAAAACACCTTAATCTCAGGCAGCTAGCCAGGGAAAAAAACTCACACAGAATATACGTGAAAATAACTAATACGCAACAAAATAGTATTTAGAAAATGGGAGCGAATGAAAAAAAAAAAGGGATTACTGGGTGCTGTACACCAGGTCCACACAGTTAGTGGGAGGCAACCAAGTCAGCTCCAAGAACCAGTCCACCTTTCCCATTCCTCTCCGCGCAGCGCACCACCTCCTCTTCCTCTCCACCCCCACTGACACATGGGCCCTATACACCCATGGCCCCACCTTGCAGTCAAAGGTAGCTCTTGCGCGCGAGACGTGGTCGGAGCCGGCGCGCGTGCGTATATGAGGGCGCGCGCCACCACCGCCCGCTCCACCCACCACCATTGCTTCCCTCGACGACCACCACCAAGGCCCAGGCCCAAAGCCCAAGCCCAAGCCCACGCACACGCACAGCCCCGAAGCTGAAGCCCCCCGACGACGATGGCCGCCGCCGACCCGCCGCCGCCGCCCACCGGGATGGGCTTCCTCGGCCTCCTCAGCTTCCGCCGCAGCGCCACCGCCGTCGCCTCCTTTGACCCCGCGCAGGACGACGAGCTGCAGGTCCTCCACGCCCTCCAGGCCCACGTCGCCGACCGCCTCGCCGCCCTCTCCCATCACCCGCCGCTCCTCTCCCTCGCCTTCCTCTCCAAGCTGCTCGACGCGGTGCTCTCCTCCGACGACGCCTTCCGCGAGGTTCTCGGCATCGGCCCCGTCGCCGCCGCGCTCTCCAGGCCGCCCGCCGACCGCCTCGCCGCTGACCTCCTCGACCGCACCGTCAAGACGCTCGACATACTCAACGCCGTCTCCCTCACGCTCGCCTCGCTCCGGGGCTCGCACCGCGCCGCGCTCACCGCCGCCTCGTGCCTCCTCGCCCCGCCGCTGCACCGCGCCCACTTCGGCCGCGCGCGCCGGGCCATCTCCAGGCTGTTCCCCGACGCCGCCAAGCTCGCCGCCGCGCCGTCCCCCTCGTGCAGGGCCGGCCCCGCGCGCGCGCTGTCCTTCAGCGTCTCCAGGAACTGGTCCTCCGGCCGCCACGTCCACGCCATGGCGGCGCACCTCGCGCCGCCGCCGCAGTCGCCCACGTCCGCCTCCCCCGGCGCGGGTTGCGGGCTGGGGCTGGCGCTCTACACCATGAGCTCGGTGCTCGTCTTCTCCATGTGGGCGCTGGTCGCGGCGGTGCCGTGCCAGGACCGGTCGTCCGCGGCCACCAACCCCCCGGTGGCGCCGCCGAAGCAGGTGCAGTGGGCGGCCCCGATGTGTGCTCTCCAGGAGCGGATCGCCGACGAGTGGAGGAAAAAGGACAAGAAGGGGTCGTCGTCGGGGTCGGCGGCGGCGACGGGGCTCCTCGCCGAGATGCAGGCTGTGGAGCGCGCCGCGCGGGAGCTGAGCAGTCTCCTCGAGGAAGTCGCGGAGGAGGAGGAGGAAGAGCAGCTGGTGATGGGCGCGACCGATGAGCGCGCGCGTGACGTGGTCGAGCGCGCCGAGGCGCTCGCCGCCGCGTGCCGGGCTCTGGAGGAGGGCCTCGCGCCGCTGGAGCGGCAGGTGCGCGCCGTGTTCCACCGCGTGGTGGCCAGCCGCGGCGAGGTGGTGCGCATCATGGAGCACAGCACGCGCAGCAACAGCAGCGCCACCGCCAGCGCCGCGGCGGCGGCGGCGTCCGGCTCCGGCGCGCCGCCTCACCACCATTCCTTCTGAGGTTTCCTTCCGTGGAGGGAAACCCACGATGGTAGTTGGCTGTTGATTTGATTTAATTAGGAGGATGATAAAAAAAAATCTCTCTTTTTCCCCTTTCTGTACTCTACCATTCTTTGATTTTTATGTGCTGCTGCTGCTGCCTTTGTGATCCTGTGAAGTGTACATTTGCTTGTAAAAACTAACTTTTTGTTGGGTTAGTGTGTATTGCTGTTCAATCTTTGTGCTGAAGAGCAAGCAAAAAAAAATGTTGTTGAAACTAGTGAAGGAATGCAGAAATTGTAAATTTCAGACGAGGATTTCGATTCTGAATCTCTGATCGTCATCATATATTCATGTCATATGAAGCCTGATACTGTGCTGCACTTGCTTTGATTTCTGCAGGACTGCAACTGCAATCTAAACAGTTTGTTTCAGTCTCCCAGATGATCAGCTTGCAATTGACCAATCATTCAACCAACCGTGTGTGCTGATTCTGGTCATCAGAATATATACTCATATCATATTTGTGCTGCATTTTGTTTCTAATCCTGAAAGATCAACATTCTGTGATCTCTGCAAGACTGCAACCGCAAATCCAAATGGTTTTGTTTCAGTCTCTCAGATGAACAGCTTGCAATTGACCAACCATTCAACCAGCCGTGTAAGCTGATGACCGAATGAAATCCAGTTGTTCAGGACACAGCAAGTTGGGGAAGAAACTTTGCAGAATTGGATAAAGGGGCATTGATACTAGTATACCTTTGCTTGATGCAATCAAAGGGTTGACTCAAATCGGGCTGCACCTAACTCTTGACAGCCAGAGGATGGTGCTGACCAAAGATTTCAATGGGCAGAGATGTGCAGACCATCAAGGGGGCAGCAGGCAGCTGAGCTGGGGATTAGCTGTGAGACCTTGGCACTTTGTCAATTGACAATTGTCACCGCTTCACTGCACAACTGTATCAGCTGTATGTACTCCTAGTTCAACTAATTTGTCCTGAACCCCATGGATGGTAGTAAGATGATACTACTACTAGTATTATTTTATGACTAATCTTGCAGCAATCCTGAAGCTGTACTACTGTCTGAATATTCTAATCCATCATTATATCCTTTCTGGAAAGGAAAAAAGGATGTGTGTGCTTAGCTGCTGCTGCTCTTGTAGGAAATAGAATCTTCTTTACTTATGTTATCCAGATGATCAAAAGTTGACTCCAGTGGCCAAAGGATTTGTGGTATGAAAACACTAGTGCACGTCCACTATATATGTCTCTGAGGGCAATTAGTATCTTGTTTTTGCTTCCTGACAGGATCATATCAGCAACTGTTCATTCAGCATTTAGAATTCGATATTGATACAATTACAGCAGTGCATAGTCAATGTGCAAATCTTTGTTTTCTTCCAGCAGATGATCCTCGTGGTCCTCATCAGTAGAGTGATCTGGATGCAGCTGCCTTGAGCAGAATAGAGAAGAAGAACAACACTGCTTTACATCTGAAGACTGTAATGAGCAATGTTCAGTCTCAGGTATTTATGAGCCCTGGAGCCTTATCATTCATCCATCTTTCCTTCCATCACTTGCTGGGCTAGCATTGACGAAGTCATGTGGTAATAACTGATTCATCAACAAAAGTACTTGTGGCCGTGCTGTTTGACCCTTGCACAGTTGCAAGGTCACATATAGATGCACTACACCGATGTGCCAGCCAAAAAAGCTGCTGCACTCCAAATTGCATTCTGAATTAATTTTTTCTGATGGATCGTCCGGTCCAGATTGTCAAGAAATTGGATGTATATGGCTGGAAGGAATAGATTCTCCACAGTTTGTCAAGCAGTAGAACTGACCGGATCAAATCAGAGCCGAAAGCTCCAAGCTTTCCCGTTTTCAAGCCAGGAAGTATGAGGAGAATCAGTCAATCCACCCCCTGTAAATTATCTGTCTCTCTTCAAAATCCAATAGGAATCCTGCATCTCAACTTGTGCATGCAGATCTCACTTGTGTATCTCATCTCATCTCATCTTATCGATGTTGATCTCAACTTGTGCATTCAGATTTCACTTGTGCATCTCATCTCATCTCATCTTATCGATGTTGATCTCAAATTGTGTATGCAGATTTCACTTGGTAGATGCTGCAGGAAGGATCAACAGCTTATGAAAAGCCATTCACAGAAGATATGATCATGATAGACGGGGGTGGCGGCGCGGCGCGGTGGCCGGGGAAGCATGGTCGCCGGCTTGATCGCCGGCGATCGCTAGCTTGGACTTGAACTTGGAGGAGGAAGTAACCGAGCCGTCATATTATTATTTATTATTATTCAGAGGGGTCTTTGTGCAAAAAGGAAAGAAAAACAAAAGATGCTGGCTGCGATAGCGACCCGAGTGAGGGGTTTTTGTGAAAAAACATATACTAAGGAGGGGATAGATAAATCGCAGCCGTTGGATTTAGCATCAAGATTCGGTCTCACTCTCGTCTTCCTCGGTGTCTCCGCCCCGCCGTCTCCGATCTCCCGCCCTCCCGCCTCCGCCGCCGCCGGCGACTGCTCCCGCTCCCCGTCGTTGCTTCCGTTCCGGTAAGCTGCCTGGGACTGTATCTAGTTGAGGTTGCTAGTCCGAATCCCTGACGCGCGTTGCTCGCTCTTCTGGGCCGCAGCAGATCGGTCTCCTTCCATGGCGGCGGCGGAGGAGGGGCAGTGGGTGCTCATGGCCACCGGCCGATCTCCCACCAACATCGCCGTCATCAAGTACTGGGGGAAGAGGGACGAGGCGCTCATCCTCCCCGTCAACGACAGCATCAGCGTCACCCTCGACCCCGACCACCTCTCCGCCACCACCACCGTCGCCGTCAGCCCTTCCTTCCCCTCCGACCGCATGTGGCTCAACGGCAAGGTCCTCCTCCTCTCTACTCTTCCATCTCTCTGCTCTGCTGCTTCCTACTTTTTTTTTTTGTTGTTGCTTCGCATTGATGTTTATGCTTTGTTGTCCCCTCTGAATAATGGGACTCTGTTCATCAAACTGATGACAACTGCTGCTTAGATCTGAATAATGGCAATCTGTTTCAGTGTTCTTCCCATCTACAAATTCTACAGGCAGTGGAGCTCTAATTTCCATTCTTTTATTATTTTAAAAAAGAATCACATTCCTGATTTCATATGCACTAGCATCTAGTATGTGTTTCTAGCTTTGTTTCTGTTACAGTCACTGATCCTATCTAAATACAAACTGTCAAATCCTAGATTTACACTGTGTGAAACTTAAAAGTCTGTGATCTATCACCACGCTAGACCTTAAGGGATGATCCTTTACTTTTTTTAATGGTATACTATGTCTTAAGCTGGCTTTTCGTTTTGAACTGTGCAGGAGATCTCCTTGTCAGGAGGGAGGTTTCAGAGCTGCCTGAGGGAGATCCGGAAGCGTGCTCAAGATGTCGAGGATGAGAAGAAGGGGATCAGGATCAAGAAAGAGGACTGGGGGAAGCTACATGTACACATAGCATCGTTCAACAACTTCCCCACTGCTGCTGGTTTGGCCTCTTCGGCTGCTGGCTTGGCTTGTTTTGGTAAAGTCTCTTACTTCTGATATCAATGATATTTCCCTACTTATTTTGTCTCAAATATTTTCAAATTTGATAATGCCACCCAAAATCAGACAATGGTTCAATCATCTTATTGGTGATTTTTTTATTTTTAAAAAAATCTAAATAGGGTGAATGGAAGCACATATTTATCACCTGATTGCTTTTTGTAGTTTTCACCCTTGGAAAGCTAATGAATGTGAAAGAAGATCATGGTGAACTTTCTTCCATAGCAAGGTATTTTGTTGCTTGTACTCATCTGTACTGATCAATATGCTATGGAACTGCTCCTTTTCTCCTTCTGGTATAACTGACAAATTCAAATGCAGGCAAGGGTCTGGAAGTGCATGCCGCAGTATATATGGGGGATTCGTGAAATGGTGTATGGGAAAAGTGAGTTATCTGATGCTATGAAAGAGGAACAGCCTTGGTGAAATTTATCGCATATCCTTTCTAGCGAGTAATGATAAGTTTTATACTACACTTACAGAATAATGATGGAAGCGACAGCATAGCTGTACAACTTGCTGATGAGGCACACTGGAATGATCTTGTTATTATCATAGCGGTGGTATGTGATGTGCATTTAACATACCTCTTACTGCGTATAATCTGTTGTAGCATTACTACTCCTGTCTCCTGGTGTTGTGGCTTCACAACCAGTAAATTTGAATCGGATGGTAACTCTAGTATTTTATCATGCTTTTTAACAACATTTACTAATTATGTCATGTCTGACACCTTCAAAATAATTGAATCTTCCCTGTGTAAAATAGGTCAGTTCAAAGCAGAAGGAAACAAGTAGCACTAGTGGGATGCGAGACAGTGTTGAAACAAGTCCCCTTTTGCAATATAGGGCCCAGGTGACTGTTTTGACCGTTTAAATTTCTCATGATTCATAGAGGAAGTAGAGTTGGGCAGTTTTATACTGCAGTAAAATATTAATTGAGCTTTTCTGTCAATTTAGCTGTTACTTCTTTTTTCTTATGTCCTTTGAATTGCTTGTTCTTGTATTGCAGACTGTAGTTCCAGAACGGGTGTTGAAAATGGAAGAGGCTATCAAGTCTCGTAATTTTGAGTCCTTTGCCAGGTTAACTTGTGCAGATAGCAACCAATTTCATGCTGTATGTTTGGACACGAGCCCTCCCATCTTCTATATGAACGATACATCACACAGGTGATCTTTTATTTATCAGTGCTCTGTTTTGGGCTTCTGTTGCTAATGACACATCAGCTTTGACATTGCTGTCTGAATTAATCACAGGATAATTAGCCTTGTGGAGAAGTGGAACCAGTCAGAAGGAACCCCACAGGTATACTCTTCTTTTCTCCTTTTTTTTTCTCAATAAACTGTTGCGGTTTATGGATGTCCATACCATGAAATAGGGTTGGTTACATGCTGAGTTCATAACAAGGGTATAATGGACCATAAGCTCATATGGTGGCACAAACAATTTGTACTGCCCTAGCCAAAACGTGTATGACTCACATTGCTCAATGATCTTTGTAGAAATAGCAAATGTTTGACTCTAAGCTCATTTTCCACACCCTTTTCACCCTTTTCTAATTGTCATCAGTCCATTGGTGTTAATGCTATGGAGGATCATATTTAATTAGTACATATATTGGATATGATATATATACCAATTCATTACTTTGTTATGATGGAAACAAAAGCCCAAGGAATGCACAAGATAATCTGGCTGTACATAATATGGCTTCGTGATAAGGAAGTTCTTTCATTGAAAATCCTTGTCTAGGACTTATTTGTACTGTTTATGTTTTCTAGTATGCATTTTTCTTCTATACGAGTATGGAACTAGTAGACAGTTGTGCTATCAACTCTTCTCATTCTACAAGAGCTTTTTTTGATGGCAGGTTGCTTACACCTTCGATGCTGGGCCCAATGCTGTCCTAATCGCACCAAACCGCAAAAATGCAACCATTCTCCTTCAGAAGCTCTTGTATTATTTCCCTCCTCAAGATAATGATCTCAGCAGGTGCGTTAATATTGTCATGAGTATGACATACCAATCTATCCAAGAATCTATTTGACAAACAAAATGATGCAGCTATATGGTTGGCGACAAGTCGATTCTAAGCGATGCTGGACTGAAATCGATAGAAGATGTGGAGGCCCTCCCAGCTCCTGCCGAGACGAAGATGCCGAGCCAAAAATTCAAGGGAGATGTGAGCTACTTCATCTGTAGCAGGCTTGGAGCTGGCCCAAAAGTTGTCACTGACGAAAGCCTAGCATTGATCGATTCGGTCACGGGGCTCCCCAAGGGAGTGTAGCTGAAACTATGTCATTCGGAGAGTTTGTACTGAGAGCGCAAAGCGAATTCAACTTTTGTAGGGTCATAAACTCGGCTTTGATGATGTAATATTTTTCTCCCGTTGACACTGGCTGTTATTGCTGCTCCAAGGACAATACTGGTAATAAAAAAATGATGAAATAAATTGATCAAGTCCTGTTGTTATATACGAGTATGTGAGCCCGTGGCTATGTATAGCGACAGAAGTATTGCAACTATTGTCAGCAAGTACTAGCTTGACCTGTGCCATTAGCATTTCGATTTCTTCTCAAAATACCACTTGCTAATTTTATATTTTTTCCAAAGCAAGAACTAACAAAGTAAGTTGCCCATGGAGACGAGAGCCTCGTTGATGTGGCCGGTGGTCGCTACCTCTAAATCTCAGAATATTTTGGCTGTTGCCGTCACATTGGGCAGTTTTAGGTGTTCAGTTTCGTCTGAAACTCTGAAAAGCACGGAGCTCCCCTTAATTATACCACATTCGGACATGTACTCTTTTGAAAAGAACACTGAAAAGCATGGAGCTCCCCTTAATTATACCTAAGCCTGCTAATGGGTTGGGTTGAAGTGGGTAAAATGGATTGGTTTCAAGTTTGGGCTGGCTTTGGTTGGATGGAAATGGTTTGACGAGACTAATGGGCTGGGGCGGTTTGGACTGCATGTGAGAACGGTTTGGGTTGGTTTGGTTTTGGGTATAAAATTTCGGGTCCAACTTGGATTAAATCCATGGATGCTAGAGTGGGTTCGATCCATGGAGACAGCGACGACGCTGCGCTGCTGGCTGTGCTCTCGAACGCCGCGGAGCTCGGCTGCTATGCCCCCGCGCTCCGCCTCGACAGGTCATCGCCGTCGGCGCAGATCAAACTCCCTCATCCCTCGAACCTCGAACGCGTCGCCAAGCCGAGCGTGGAGATGCTCCTCGTGTCGTAGCCGGACGGGACGCTCGGCCTGGCCGTGGCGAGGCGCCACGAGATATCGATCGTTGTCGTCGAAGGACGACAGCGCAGCGAGGCGGCCGCTGTCGTCGTCGTTGTCGAAGGACGACGGCGCGGCGAGGTGGACGTGCCGCGCCGCGGTGGACCTGGCGAGGGTGGTGGAGTCAGCCGCGCCGGAGGAGATGCCGCCGCCATTGACAGTGGACGAGGAGGTCCGGCTCGAGTGCTTCGCCAAGAGCAGCGGCGCGGTGCTCTTCCGGCTGTACCATGGCTGTCTCTTCGAGCTCAGCTTGGCGACAATGGAGGTCAGGTTCATCGGCTACTATTCCTTACCGGCGGGAGAAGAAGCTCGCCGCGCACCTCCGTGTCGTGAAGTAGCTCCGTCCCGCCGTTGTTGTGCGCGTCGGCCATGGATGCGAGCACGGCGGCGGGCGGCCACGAGCACGGCGGCGGGCAGCCATTGTCGTGTGCGTCGAACAGGCCAGCTGCTCACTCATCACGCAGTCTCTGGACATGGCGGGCTCGCGCGGCCACGGATCGAGCACGACGACAAGCTACTACCGTTGCATGCGTTCGTTGGGTTTGCGTCAATGTTCCTCCGCCGGCGGCGGCGGCGGTTTCATGTGGTCTCAGTCCATGGGTTTGAAATGGATTCAATCCACTTAGCTACAATGGTTTGGGTTGGGTTGGTTTCAAACATCCTGCGGGTTGGATTAATTTGGATGTTAGAGATGAGAAAGTGGAGCGGACTGGTTTGGTGGAGTGGTTGCAGAGGAGGTGGATTGGGGTGGATGCGGCCTGGATTTTAACCCATTAGCAGGCTTAATTATACCACATTCGGACATGTATTCTTCTGAAAAGAACAGGGAGACTTGAAATTTATTTACTCATGCTCTGAATGCGATCTGCCTGGGCGGTGGTTGGTTTGTTGTGATTGAGTTGTCATTTTCTTGGTCTTCACAAATTCTGTCCCAGCTTCGAAATCGCACGCATCATCTCCAAATGTTGTGCATCGAACAAGACATTCAAAATTTGTCCATCTATCACATATCAGGTCTCGGTATATATGGCAAGATAAGTGCTTGAATTGTTCGATGACATAATCGAGCTGAGATTAAGAGCTAGCCATATTGAGTCATTGAGGCAGATTAAGAGCAATGACATAGACATGTACCAGATCGATTTGCAAGAGATCAATGATGAACGAACTGGATGCTTGTCTCGATCTCAATTAAGATAGTAGTCGCACAATACTATTGATCGCATTACTTAAAGCAGGCTAATGCTAGATAATCAGAAACTCCTAATACTAGTAACTTGCAAGCAAGCACGAGGAGACGACAGCTAGCTACCCCCAGCAAGACGATTTAATTTTTTTTTTGGAATACGTAAAAGGATTGCGCACTTTTGTATTAAGAGGAATAAAATTTACACAAAAGGCAAAACAAAGAAAAGAAGGGGGTTTGGGAAGAAAAGAAGAAAAAAGTGAAAAACAATTACTTAAGCCTATTATTGTAATTACAATGGGAAGGACGATGTTAATTAACTCTGGAGCATAATTTTATGGGCTGCCATGTCAAAAGCTAGCTGCAGGCTTGCAACGAGTAGTATATAAGAGGCCAGGCAGCTAGATAGCGAGTGAGCATTGAGGCGTACGAGTAGGATGACTGTGAAGATGAAGCCGGTGGTGGCGCTGTTCCTAGTGACCGTCCTCATCGCCTCGCGTGAGTCATCTTAATTACTAATTATCTAGCTCCTCCCTCCTCCTCCTCAGTGCTTAACTATTAGTTTCAGTTAGCCTGTTCAATGCTTGACTATTAGTTTAAGTTATCAAGTTAGCATGAATGCATATACATGCAGCAATAAAAGAAGAAGATGGAAAATACTATTATTATTGCAAATGCAAACAGCTATAGCTAGCTAGAAAAATGAAAAGAAAGAAAAGAAATAAGATGGGATTTAGAAATGGAAATGCAGATGGTGCGATGATGCAGTGGGCGGCGGAGGCGGAGACGTGCAACTACCCAATCTACAAGTGCTAGGGGGTGTGCTACAAGAGAGGCAAGTGCAACGCCTGCTGCAAGCAGCTCGGCTTCCTGGGCGGCATGCTCTGCCTCTGCTGCCACGAGGACGACGACCAGCCGCCGCCCTCCTCCTCCTCCTCCACTCACCTCGCCATCGATCACGATCACGATCACGATCACGCCGCCGGCATGCCATGATCATCATTCATCCATCTATATATATTGCTCATTTGCTCGCGTCTATATACACACACACATACCTGCACTGCAGGTACCAATCTCATCTACTCCCATTTATAGTTGGAGTACATATATATGTTGGCTGGATCATGAGCCACCGGATGTGATGTGAGCAATTAATAATAATAACCACGGATTACTGATGCTGCAAATGATTTTTTTTTTCTGCTCTGCTGCAACTATGATTTTCGAGATACAATGAACAACACATCAGGCAGGCGCGCAATGAGAGGGAACTAGTTGAATAAATTTAATTTTGTAGAGAGAATCTATTTGGAATATCTGTTGCAGGTGCATCACTCCGGTCAAAAACATTTCACCTTTGGGATGTTGTTGCTGTGCTAACTGCTAAGGAAGATATATCATCTTATTATGCCCAAATTTTACAACACCTTGCCTTAATTGTTACTCCCTCCGTATTTTAATGTATGACGCCGTTGTCTTTTTGACTAACGTTTGATTATTCGTTTTATTTAAAATTTTTGGGTAAATATGAAAATACTTATGTCATGTTTAAAGAACATTTGATAACGAATCAAGTCACAATAAAATAAATGATATTTACACAATTTTTTTAATAAGACGAATGATCAAACATTGAAAAAAAGTCAACAGCATCATACATTAAAATATGGAAGTAGTATTAAAATAGCATCAGCCAAATTGTAGTACAGTAAGAGGAAATCATCATATCATTAGAAGGAAGCAAGATTTTTTTTTTTGGGAAATGTGATTAGTTGGCCCCTGTTCTGTTTTCCCTTTTTCTTTTCGGGTGATGACTGGTTTGGTTGCCACTTTGCCTTGACAGCTTAATGTTAAACAATTATAACCCCTTTTCTCTCTTAATAAAATTTGGTCGGTCAATCCTTCGGTCGAACTAGCAAAGAAAAAAGTTTTCATTTTCCAGAATGAAGGAGCATATATAATAAGAGGACAGCCTCTTAATAAGGCTGTGAATTCCTTGTCTGTTGGTAATATAAACGAAAGGCCGAATGGAGCATATACAGCATTTCGATTATTACTCTATTACAAACGAAGAAGATTATTATTGTAATCTCGCTCGAAATGAAAAGGAAAAGGGAAATATACTGGGTAGTTTTACCGGAGAGAGGTGTAAGTAAATTAAAAGAGTCGAGAGTAACCACAAACGAAATCGCCGTTTTGGAATTTGTAGCGTATAGATTTGTGCACGACGACGGCGGCGCCGTCACTGCCCACCACATCAACGCCGGTGAGAAGCAAGAACCTGTCGTTCTTGCTTTTTTCGCCGGCGACGCGGAAGAATGGATGAAGTGAGATGTTGTCCTTCTCCTCCTCCTCCTCTTCCATGAACCTGGCGATGCAGAACCTACCGGAGCCGAGGTGCACGGCGTAGGCCTCCATCAGAAACGATCGCTTGGGCGGCGCCGCCGCCGGCAGCCGGTCTAGGCCATCCAACCAGCGCCTGACCACCGGCACATCGTAGGAACAGAGACGGCAGGAGCAGAGGTGCAGCCCCTTCACCGGCGTGGAGGAGAGCCCGAACCATCCGCCGTGCTCCTCCACGTACTCGCCGCGCCCCATGAACGGCATCCGCCATTCGCCGCGCGCCCTCCACTCCCCAGCCTGCGTGTCGAACGAGAAGGTCCCGGCTCCGTGCGCCGTCACCCACAGCTCCGTCTCGTTCACCACCGCGGAGGCGGTGATGTCGTACTCTCGGCGATGGCGGTGGCGGTGGATGTCGCCGTCGTAGCCAACCTTGGCGAAAGGAGGCGGCGGAAGAGACCGCCAGTACCAGCCCATCCTGGAGGACAGTGAGTCGTCGTCGTCGGGGAGTAGGCCGTAGGTGAGAGCCTCGAAGCAGCCGGGGTTACCGGAGAAGGGCACCCTCTCGATGACGTAGAGGCAGCTATCGCCGGCGGTGGTGAAGGAGATTGGCTCCATCTTGGGCTTGCACGGGTCGGGCATGTAGCGGACGGCGGCGGAGGCGGCGTTGTAGAGCAGACCGCGGCCGTCGACGTCGAGGGCGAGAAGGCTGTCGTCGCCGGAGAGGCGCAAGAAATCGACGTTGCCAGGGCCGACGGACAATGAGGAGGGGTGGAAGGTGATGGCCGGAGGAGGCAGGCCGCCGGCGGCGTCCTCCACGTCATCCGGATCGAGTACGTTGGCTGCTTGCCGACGTGGTGGAGATGAAAAGAGGGCCGATGCAGCGACACGGTACAGCTTGTACGCCGTCGCGCCGCCGCCGCCGGCGTTGTCCACCACCAAATTCACAAACCGCCGCATCTGCTTCTACAATGGTTTTTTTTTGTTTGTTTTTTTCCTTTACACAACAAGAATTCAGGGGAAAATACGATAAAACACAACCGACTGAACGAGGAAAAACCACGGGCCCATCAAAGCCCAAAGTATTTTTCCGCAGGCAATTATTTCATCTATATATTTTCCTCTACAATGAATTATTTCACCGTTCCGTTTTCAAACGTATATTGTTAGTATATCATAGGAAGTGGAATTTTGTCCCTCGAGGGAATATTTTCTCGTTTTCTACATGTCGTTCAAAAAAAATTATAAAAAACATATCAGGATATATCAATATATGATATATCAATGTATGATATATCTTTTCGCAACCTGCGATTTTAAATTTGACTTATACAATTCGAAACAAAAATTCACAAATTTGTTATTTTTGTTTCTACTTGTATAAGTTGAATTTGTATTTGTATGTCTGTGAAGTGACATATTACATATTGATTTATCTTACTATTTTTTTTCATATTTTTTGATGACTTTTTAAGTGACATGCGAAAATAAGGGGATATCCCCTTGGGTGATGAATTGAGTTTTTCATGGTTATTGTTTTTTTGAATGATAGTACAAACATAAGATGGATACACATATGCACACTCTTTCTTTATAAGCACCATCAAAGACTCAACTGGTATATCTTGAGATTCACGAAATCACCGCGTACGTCTCGCTGCGGTTGACTCATATGACGATTCACCATTCATTTTACAAAACAAAAAACATGCATGTGTCATTCATATTATTACAACTTATGTGTACCCTATAATTTAAACATGATTTATGTTTTTTTATATTTACCCTAAATATTTAAATAAGACAATGATGAAATATTATTTCAAAAATCAACAGTATTACACATATTTAAACATAAAGTACGTATCATAAAACTACACATGCTTTTACAACCATCACAAAACTATCGATTGGCATGTTATTCTTCATGCATGATTCATCCATGGAAGCACGATTAGTAGAGGGAGGAGGGCCTTGGGAGGACGCGAGCACGGAGCGGGTGCTTCATGACGGTGGTGAAATCCAGCTCCTCCGCCATGTCCGCCGCCTCCCCCTCCGTCTCCGGCAGCCACTCCAGCTCCCTCACCAGGCTCCCCACCAGGTACTCCGCGTGCAGCGTCCCCACCGTGTACCCGGGGCACATCCGCCGCCCCACGCCGAACGGCATCATCGTTATCTCCCTGCTCCCCGTCACGTCCACCTCCACCTCGCCGCCGTCCATGAACCTCTCCGGCATGAACTCCCTCGCCGCCGTCCACACCACCTCGTCCCGCCCCAACTCCGCCACCCACACGTTCAGCTCCGCGCCCCTGGGCACCACGTAGCCGCCGACCTCCGCGTCGCTCTGCACGCCGTGCGGCAGCAGGAACTGCGCCGGCGGGTGCAGCCGGAGGCCCTCCAGCACCACGGCCTTGAGGTACGGCATCGCCTGCAGGTCTGCCTCGGTTAGCTCCGGCCGGCGTCTCACCTCGTCGTGGACCTTGGCCTGGATGTCGGGGCGGTTCACAAGCTCGGCCATGATCCACTCCACCAACGTCACCGTCGTGTCGGTGCCGGCGTTGAGGAACTCGGAGCAGAGCGCGATGATCTCGTCGTCCGTCAGCGGCCGGTCGCCTTCCTCGGCCACGCGCAGCTGGAGGAGGGAGTCCGTGTAGCAGGGTGGGTCGTCGCCGTCTCCGTCTCCGGCGCGCCTGGCGTTGATCAGCGGGACGTATATCTCGCCCACCCTCCGGCGAACGGCCACGTGAGCGGCCCACTGGTTGCGGAAGAGCCTCTTGGTGATCGCCGGGAAGAAGGAGAAGACGGGGAAGCTGGTGAAGGCGCGGAGCATCCATAGCTCCAGCCGCTCGACCTCCTCGAGCGCCTCCGGGGCAAGCCTGGCGCCGAGGCTCATGTACAGGAGCAGCTCGAACATGGCGCGCCGGAGCAACGGCCTCAGCTCGACGGGCCGGGAGCCGTCGCCGCCGCGGTCGCGGAGGCCGCGGACGAGCACGTCGCGCGCGCGCCGCCTCGCCGGCGCGAAGAGCGCGACGCGGGCCGGGCTGAGCGCCTCGGAGGCGAGGTTGCGGCGGACGAGGCGCCAGTAGGGGCCGTACGGGGAGGAGTTGATGTCGCGGGTGTCGGAGGTGAAGAGGCGGCCGAGCTCCGGGAGCGGCGGGCGGTCGGCGAAGGTGGAGCCGCCCTGGACGAGTGCGCGGTGGGCGAGGCGGCGGTCGGCGACGAAGACGAGGGTGGTGCCGAAGAGGCGGATGGAGATGACGGGGCCGTGGCGCGCGTGCAGGTCGCGGAGGAGCGGGCCGAGGTCGAAGATGGAGCGGCGGAGGCGGAGGAACTTGGCGAGGAAGAGCAGCGGCGACGGCCCGGGAGGGAGGCGCGCCTTGATGCTGCTAGAGCGGCGGCGGCGAGCGGTGGCGAGCAAGACGGCGACGAGCGAGATGGAGAAGAGGAGGAAGAGCCAGGTCTCCTCCATTGTTGGCTTGGCGTTGCTGCTGGTACCCTTGCTTAGCTTAATTTCCTCCAAGACTAAGTACTAACTCTCCTCATATTCTAACTTTACCTTGTGGATATTATTTTGGAATAGCAGTACTAGTAAAAAGTCCGTAATGACTTTTATTTATACTTGAGGCAATAATATAATATTATTCCATCTAGTCTTATCCATCATGTGTTTTTGTCAAGGTTTTTTTTTTTCCTTTCTTACGTACGCAAAGCAAACAAAACAAGAGTGCGCGTTGAGCTTTTTTATTCTCTGGCTTAGCTTTGGTGGTTTCGATAAGTCTCTACGTTGACTATTCACACAGTTAGTTAGCCCATGACCTCTTCACCTTTGTTTGGTTGTTAATGGAATTGCCACGTTCGATCTTATTTTTAAAAATCCAGTTATATACTATATCCTCCATACCCTACGCAAACAACAATAGTTGAGTTTGACATCCATACCCTACACAAACAACAATTAGTTAAGAGTGACAGTTTTGTATGTATGCATGCAGTCGAGAATCCAAAAGGTCCATGTGAGCAACAGGGTAGGGATTGACGGTGTACTGTACACTGCACAGCACGTCCTACTCCTAGTACATCACTTCTTGTTTCCAGAACAAGCCAAACCCGTTGCAAGCAGTTGCGCAACAATAATTATATCAAGCATTGGCTGGAGCAATCTATATGAACATATGAGATACAACAAATAATACGACCAAGCATGATCAAATGATGTAGATAGAATCAGGACATGAATGACTTGATTAGATGAAACAGGAAGACAAAAACACAACATGAAGGATGATCACAAGAAGCACATGCAGCCATAGGCTAATAAAGATCCCCAAGGCTGAGCACAAGTAGCAGCACAGGTGCGCATCAGTTACAATGAGAAAATGAACAAGATAGAAGCAAGTAACAAACAAATACAAGTGTGGATAGGATATTAATTAGTTAGTGTTTAAAGTTGATATCTTCTAGGAATTGCTACGAGCGTACAAGCAACCACCCAGTTTCATACACAACCTGGGGGCTGGGCAAAGCTATCATCCTCTTTCCTGCCTTGGGATCAATCCCCTCCAGCATCCATGACATCGACGGTGAACTCGTACTCCTGATCACGGCCCAGATAATAATCGGACATCAGGTAGATCATGTACTCCTTTCTCCCAGCTTCTGAAGCAGCGGTGAACTCAAGCTTCACTCGAGCCCTCTTCTGAAGTGCAACCCTGATTGGTAGAGCTATCACCAATTACCAGCCACCAGCCTTCTTCCTTGGGCTTTGGGTACCTGGGGGCATGAACTGGCCCCACCTCGGAAGGCAAGTTCGTCATGTCACGCTCCAGGGTCACCTGTACAGTTACATTGTCACCAGCCCTGATATCATCCACCCTCGCCAACTTCGTAAGCCATGTCGACATTGGGGAAACGCTTGAAGAATTCAATGATATCCTGTAGCTGAGGGTTTGATAGCTGCAACAGATCCCGCATCTCATCGATGCTCATCTCAGCCAGATCGAAGATGCTCTCAATGGGCCTCCCTTCATTCTCCTGGCATCTCCGCGCCAACTCCTTGGTGAAATGTGGAAGCTGTAAAAGAACAGAATCACGATCCCATATGCCTTGTGTCACCATTTGACTCAGCTCCATTGCATTAAGAGCAAGCGTAAGCCATCCATTGCTGGAGATAACATCAACCATTGCCTGGAGCAATCTATGAGCAGAAAGGAGTATCTCCCGCTGGTCGGCTGCCAAGATAGTGCGCCTTGAAAAATGAGCTTGCAGCAGCGCGTTGGCCTTGACATGTGGATCACTGTCACGCCCAGAAATTCACTAGTAATTTCTGAACTAATTTGTGCAAAAAATCCTCGTCCAGGAATCAGCCGAGGTACACAAACTGATAATTTAATATACAAATCCATCATAATAATAACGTTACATACTTACAAAAGAAAAAAAAAACAACAGCGGAATAACGATCTAGCGAAGCTCCGGCTCCACTCCCACAGGCAGCTCAACTGGGGTATAAGCCAAACGTCTTCTCCTTCTGGATCATTTTTCTTCAACTTAGGTTGATTGATTATTGCAAGGTGAGCATATGACATACTCAACAAGCCACACAGCAAATATGCAAGTGCACAAGGATACCAAAGGATGGCATAATATAGGCTCATTTGCAAAAGCAGCATTTAGCAAACATTTAGAAGTAAAACAGTAGAGTAATTATTCATCAATTTTAATCAACACTGAACAGCACACCCATGCTGCTCAGGCCCGACCATCCTAAACAACCATACCCGGCTGTACAGATCTAACTCCAAACCAGGAGCTAAGCAAATTATTACCAGTTATAGCACCAATAATTATTGTGAGAGGTGTGAGACTAATCACAAGAAACATTGCTCAACCCGCCCATGACCGCGGGCACGGCTATTCGAATAGTTTTACTCTGGCCAGAGGTGTACCACTGTACCCACAAGACAAAGCCTCAACATCATGTCTACCATGCGTCGCGATACTGGAAAGTACCCGAATAGAGGCTGTGACAATATCCTCTGCACAACACAACTCACCACAGTGCACCGTTCCTGGATCATAATCACCCCCTTATAAAACAAGGCATGGACTCCCCAGCGACCCCCACGAACTTCTCGCCGCTTCTCAGTCTGGCACCCCGTGATGAACCATGCTATACAAAAGGTAAAGCCGTTGCCCACGCTGGCTTATGGTTGGCATGGTTAATGTCTCACAACAGTAGCTCACGAACCGGTCCTTAATTGTCATGAGCACGACCATCAAAACCATGTGCTCACAACCCACCATTAATCAAATTTTAGTTGGCAAGTAATTAATTAACCAATCACGATTGACCATCATGGGTACCATTAAATATAATCATAAGTGATAGTGTAACATTAGTTATCCCAATCATGTGCTAATGTTTCTAAGCATGGCTAAGCAATTATGTCCAACATCTAGCTGAACCAAACCAATATATAAGGTTTAAGCTAATCAATTTATTACCATAGGAAAATAAAGTCATCTTCGGCCATAATTAAATGAGAAAGACTCACCACCCAATGACATTCGAAAATAATGCATATTTTAAAATAAAACAATAGCTTTAAATGGGTTCAACATGCTCAAAGGGTCATTTGGGATTTGTGTGACTTGCCTTACAATAATCGGTCTTCAATTAGTCTTCTTGAACACTTCCGACGCACTCGCGAACCTTCGCAACGATGAAAACGACGAGCTAACACGCAAAACGAGAAAAAAAAACTAATAAAAACCAAATAAACAGTACATATAAAGTAAACAAACATGTAGATCATGATTTTAGATGAATTTAGAGACTTGAACCACTTAATTCCGACTTCATATGAATTAGTTATGAATTTTACAAGATTAATTAAACTGATTTTAGCCTTATACAGCAAAGAATTCACGATTTATTAAATAGATAATGACATCATCGATGACATCACAGCCGACCATGCACTGGTCCGCGAGGTCGCCGGTGTTAGGAGGCTCAGCCGGGCTATCCGAGAGCACCAACGCGGAGAGGACGACGAGACGAACTCACCGGTGGTGACGGTGACGAGAATCGATGACGGAAAACGGCCGGCGACCGTAGGTGACGATGGGAGCAACGGAGGTGTGGACGGGCTTCGTCTTGGCGCTGTGATGCCGAGGAAGGCAACGGCGAAGCTTGGCGTTGACGGAAACAACGGTGGTGTTCGGCCGGAGGCGGAGTAGATCGGATTCAAAGTGACGAAGGGCTTCCGGCGAGTTTCGGCGCAAGGTAACCAGCGGCCGGGATGGAGATCAGCCTTTCGGAGCCGAGGGAAGTGGCAGCGCAGAAGGGCGTCGGCTGGAACGGCTGCCGGTGGCGGAGACAGAAGGCGACCGCGGGTAGGGCGCTACAGGCAACAGCGATGGCTGGGACTTGAGGCAAACGAAAGAGGAGAGGAAGGGGACTCTATTTATAGCCACGGGAGAGAGAGATCGGGCTTGGAACGCAAGGAATCACGCCGGGAAAACCTAGGGTTTGGCGGAGAGATAAACTCGAAAACGAATCCAAATTCGCGTCGTATTCAAGGGGATAAAATCGGATTTTAGAGGCAAGTGCAACGCCTGCTGCAAGCAGCTCGGCTTCCTGGCGGCAAGTGCAACCTCCTCCGCGGCATGCTCTGCCTCTGCTGCCACGAGGACGACGACCAGCCGCCGCCCTCCTCCTCCACTCACCTCCCCGTCGCCGCCATCGATCACGATCACGCTGCCGACATGCCATGATCATCTCGTCCATCTATATATATTGCATTATTACTCATTTGCTCGCGTCCATGAGCCACCGGATGTGATGTGAGCAATTAATAATAATAATCATGGATTACTGATGCTTTTTTTCTGCTCTGCTGCAAATGATTTTTTTTTTCTGCTCTGCTGCAAATATGATTTTTGAGATACAATGAACAACACATCAGGCAGGCGTGCAATGAGATGGAACTAGTTGAATAATTTAATTTTGCAGAGAGAATCTATTTGGAATATATGTTGCAGTTGCATCACTCCGGTCAAAAACATTTCACCTTTGGGATGTTGTTGCTGTGCTAACTGCTAAGGAAGATATATCATCTTATTATGCCCAAATTTTACAACACTCTGCTTTCTTAATTGTCAAAATAGCTGCAGTCAAATTGTAGTACTGTAAGTGGAATTCATCATATGATCATTAGAAGGAAGCAGGAATTTTTTTTTTGGCAATGTGATTAGTTGGCCTCTGTTCTGTTTTCACTTTTTCTTTTCGGCTGATGACTGGTTTGGTTGTCACTTTGCCTTGACAGCTTAATGTCGATCTTGTAAACAATTATAACCCCTTTTCTCTCTTAATAAAATTTGGTCGGTCAATCCTTCGGTCTAACTTGCAAAAAAAAAGTTTCTTTTTCCAGAGTCAAGAATGAGCATGTATAATAAGACTATAAGAGGACAGCCTCTTAATATAAACGAATGGAGTACCCAAAAAGTACCATTCATATACAGCATTATTACTATTATTGCAATCGAAAGGAAAAGGGATATATATATAAAAATGATATATTCACTCCGTCACAAAACAAAATATAGCTAGTTTTACCGGAGAGAGGTATAATAAGTAAATTAGATGAAATTAAAAGAGTCGAGAGTAACCACGAACGAAATCGCCGTTTTGGAATGGGTAGCGTATAGACTTGTGCACGAGGACGGCGTCGTCACAGGCCACCACATCAACGCCGGTGAGCAGCAAGAACCTGTCGTTCTTCTTCTTGTTGTTGTTGACGCCGGCGACGTGGAAGAATGGATGAACTGAGATGTTGTCCTTCTCCTCCTCAACTTCCTCCTCCTCCTCCTCTTCCATGAACCTGGCGATGCAGAACCTACCGGAGCCGAGGTGCACGGCGTAGGCTTCCATCAGAAAGGATTGCTTGGGCGGCGCCGCCGCCGGCAGACGGTCTAGGCCATCCAACCAGCGCCTGACCACCGGCACATCGTAGGAACAGCAGAGATGGGAGAGATCGCAGGAACAGAGGTGCAGCCCCTGCAGCGGCGTGGAGGAGAGCCCAAACCATTTGCCGTGCTCCTCCACATACTCGCCCCGCCCCTTGAACGGCATCCGCCATTCGCCGCGCCCCCTCCACTCCCCAACCTGCGTGTCGAAAGAAAAGGTCCCAGCTCCGTGCGCCGTCACCCACAGCTCCGTCTCGTTCACCACCGCGGAGGCGGTGATGTCGTACTCTCGGCGCTGGCGGTGGCGCCGGAAGTCGCCGTCGTAGCCAACCTTGGCGAAAGGAGGCGGCGGAAGAGACCGCCAGTACCAGCCCATCCTGTCCAAGTCGTGGGGGAGTAGGCCGTAGGTGAGAGCCTCGAAGCAGCCGGGGTTACCGGAGAAGGGCACCCTCTCGATGACGTAGAGGACGCTATCGCCGGCGGTGAAGGAGATGGGCTCCATCTTGGGCTTGCACGGGTCGGGCATGTAGCGGACGGCGGCGGAGGCGGCACTATAGAGCAGACCGCGGCCGTCGACGTCGAGGGCGAGAAGGCTGTCGTCGCCGGGGAGGTGCAAGAAATCGACGTTGCCAGGGCCGGACAATGAGGAGGGGTGGAAGGTGATGGCCGGAGGAGGCAGGCCGCCGGCGTCGTCCACGTCATCTGGATCTAGTTCTTTGGCTGCTGCTTGACGACGTGCTGGAGATGAAAAGAGGGCCGATGCAGCGACGCGGTACAGCTTGCACGCCGTCGCGTCGGCGCCGACGCCGGCGGTGTCCACCACCAAATTCACAAACCGCCGCATCATCGTCTCTATTGATATTCTTCTATTCAAAATTTTTCTTTTCTATATTTTTTTTTTCTTTTGACAAAGAGTATCTTCGATCTGGAAGAAATCACGCACCTTCTGGAGTATGCAGTCTCGCTCGTCCTCACGCGATAGGCGGACCGCCGAATCTCCTCTCCTCGGTGGCGCGTGATCTCGACGGCGGGGCGGGATCTCGGGGACGGCGGGCGAGATCTCTCTAGCGGGCGGCACGGGAGCTCGGAGCTCGGGGAGAAGCTTTTCTTTCTTTTCTTCCTTTTTTTTGTTGGGCAATTTACAGATATATACGGCCATACGGGACAGTTATCTCATCGGAGCAAATCGAGATGTTGTACTGTGGGGCCCATCGCCCGCCGAATTACTTTAGACTGAATTTTTGCCGTATAAACTGCGAGACAATTTATTAAGTCTAATTAATCATTATTAGCAATGTTTACTGTAGCACAACATTATCAAATCATAAAGCAATTAGATTTAAAAGATTCATCTTGTAAATTAGTCGCAATCTATGCAATTAATTATTTTTGTAGCCTACATTTAATACTTTATGCAGGTGTTCAAACGTTCGATGTGATAGGGTGAAAAATTTTAGGGTGGATCTAAACAAGGCCGTGGCAAAATGTGGCATGCATAGAGAACTGTTAATGCTAAAATTTGGTTTGAATATTTAAGTAAATTTCGTTAACGAAATATGACAAGATTTATACAACAGAGATCGAGTTTGAAAAGGAGTTACGAAGACCACGACATGGCAGATAAGTTTTGTATTTATGAATGTTTTTTTCTTTTATCTTTACAAATGTTTGTGTCATGTCTAAATAGAACTCTTATCGGTTTGTGTGTATAAATATGTATACCCAGGGTCCCTATAATTTATCTCATAGCAGGGTCCCTATAATTTATCTCATAGATAATTACAATTACTCTCGGCGCATTGCCATCATTCTTCCCGAGGTTTTTATTTATCACCGACAAAACTTGACACTTGACGCGAGGTTGCATCGACTTTGATAAGTTGCATCTCACTTTTTTGAGAGCCGCGTAATGGGATGCTCCGTTTGTTGTTGGATTGAAGGAATGATAATACTCCATTTCTTTTATATTTTAAGTCGTTTGATTTTTTTCTTAGTCAAACCGAAAAAAGTTTGACCGAGTTTGTAGAAAAATATGGTAACATTTACAATACAATACAAAACAAACATATTATTAAAATATACTCAATGTTAAATTTAATGAAACTAATTTAGTGTTATAGATGTTGCTATTTTTTTTACTTAAATTTGAGCAAACCTAAAGAACTTTGATTAGAAAAAAAAGTCAAACAATTTATAATATAAAACAGATGGAGTAACAAATTGTATTATTGATGGTTTGAAATTCGAGGATATTATTGATGTTTACAGAAACTGTACAATACTCGTATACAGTGTTGTGGAAAACGGTATACGGGTATCAGACAAAGGGTACCGCCAAATGATTAATCGGAATTTGGCGGAAATATAACGTTTTAAAAATATATGTACATTCTCCCTCCGTCCAAAAATATAAACATTTTTAGCTATCATAGCCAAAAGTTATTATATTTTAGGATGGAGGTAGTAGTTGATAATAGTTTTCCCTTTTTGATAAACAAATGCATATAACTAAATATATTCCTTCTATATATATCCTTAAATAGAATAACCATATATGACATTTAAATAAATTCATAATGGATAGCTGTTACTGTATATCTCAATTCTCACGTAGTGATGGGTTTTGTTCATAATGCATGAAATGAATTATCAAGAGAATGTTACATAGCATAAATGACCGTAATCAAAGTCCCAAATAACATGTGTATCGGTTACCTCGAAGAGCTTCATCAAATACAAACTCCAATAACGTGATCATCATCAAAATCAAGGAACTCGTGTTCAAACTTTAGAGGAAATCAGTTCCTTGTCATTTTACATCTTGCTGCCTTATGAGAATTCCGGAAGAGCAAACTCATCAAAATCAAGGAACTCATGTTCAAAACCTTTAGAGGAAGTCAGTTCCTTGTCATTTTACATCTTGCTGCCTTGTGAGAATTTCAGAAGAGCAAACTTCTAGTCAATAGTAGTAAACGGCACGGATTCGGATCAGATGCAGTCACTACTGTGACTGCAACTTTAGCAGTACCCATCATCCAACCATCCAGCACACAAGGGATGGTCTAGATTGGTTGCTCAATTTCCCCCAACTTTTCACCTACTCTCTGACTCCAGCAGATGTGTTTTGGAGGGAAAAGTCTGAGAGGGAGGTGAGAATTGGCGCCAATTCTACCATGGGAAGCATACTTTACCCCCTACTGCTGCACATCACACGCTTCTTTTTCTCTTCTCTGTTCAGCCATGACCGTTGAGAAGGCCATGGAGCAAAACCTGGAGAGGTACAGATCGCGATAGGATCCTTTGTCTTCTGATTTTTGTCTTCTTTCTTCCTGTTTTGTTCATGCATCAAACTTTTTATTCCTCTATACTGTAATGTAACAGATCTACTAAACCTCCCTGTTGGATGCCTCAAATTGGTATGACATTTAATTCCTATGAAGAAGCTTGGGATTTTTGGGTCAAATATGGTGGTCGTATTGGCTTTGATGTTCGAAAGAATTACACTAACAAAAGTGATCTTGATCAGTTAGTAACATCCAGTAGGTTTGTTTGTTCAAATCAGGGTTCTAGAGCAGAAGAAAAGAAATATGCTGTAGCAAAACGTAATCGAACTCATACTCGAACTGGTTGCCAAGTTCGCATGGGCATCACTTTACTCAGGGAAACAATGACATACAAGGTTCATGACTTAGCTGTAGAACACAGCCATCTTCTTCAAACTCCACAAACAAGCCGTTTGATGCCATCACAAAGGAACATTTCTAAACACCAAGCAGTCGAAATTGAGGTGGCGTATGATTCTGGTATTACACCTAAAGCAGCACATGAGTTTCTTGGTCGGCATGTTGGTGGGTCAGCTAATCTTGGTTACACACAGCGTGATCATAAGAATTATTTGCGTTCTAGGCGCCAAAGGGACTTACTTTATGGTGAGGCAGGAAGTTTACTAAAGTACTTCCAAGATAAAATTGTGGAAAATCCCTCATTTCACTATGCAGTGCAATTGGATTGCGAAGAACAAATAGCTAATATATTTTGGGCAGATGCTAGGATGATTGCTGATTATGCTCACTTTGGTGATGTCATCACCTTCGACACTACATTCGGGACAAATAAAGAAAGTAGACCTTTTGGTATGTTTGTTGGCTTCAACCATTTTAGAGAGACAGTGGTTTTTGGTGCAGCTTTGATGTATGATGAGACATTTGAATCATTCAAGTGGATGTTCAATACATTTTTATCAGCCCATAATCAAAAGCAACCTCAAACCATTTTTACAGACCAAGACATTGCAATGGGAAAGGCTGTGTCTGAAGTATTCACTGGTGCATGGCATGGTTTATGTACTTGGCACATATCACAAAATGCAGTAAAGCATTTGAGTCCTCAACAAACAGAAGGTTCAAGTATCCTAGCAGATTTCAGTGCATGTATGTATGAGTATGAGGAAAAAGAAGAATTTGAAGAAGTATTTGATGCCATGAGACAAAAGGTGCGTAAAGTGACTTGGTTGGATAGCATATACAATTTAAAAGAAAAGTGGGCTGAGTGCTACATGTCAGATGTTTTCACAATAGGGATGCGAAGCACACAATTAAGTGAAAGTTTGAATAGTAACTTGAAAGGTCATTAGAAATCAGATCTTGACATCGGCAGGTTCCTTAATCGTGTAGAGCGTGTTGTTGAAGAAAAGAGAGAGAAGGAATTGCAATCTGAATATGAATCAAGAAAGAATTTGCCAAGAATTATGATGATGACACCTATTTTGGTACAGGCAAGTAAGCTTTACACACCTGCTTTATTTGAAGTCTTCCAAGCCGAATATGAGAAATCCATGGCTGTTCCGCCATGGGGGATGAATGGGAGACTTGGATAGCTGCAGGTCTTGTTAGCCCCATGTGTCACTCTGTAGCAACTCATTCTGTGAGATTTTAGCTTTCATTTTATGTCTGAAATGGTGGTGCATTGACGCACCGCGCTACCTTGTACATTCCCTTTCTTACTCTTAATATACATCGGCCGGCTATTCGCCGGCCCGGCGAAAAAAAAGAAATCCATGGCTGCCTATACGAAAGGATCAAATGGAAGTAATGATTTCATAATTGCAATTGGCTCACTTGATGATCAGTTCATACTTGAAGATGAGCACAAGTTGACTGCCAACCCTTTTGATCAGACCGTGTCGTGTAGTTGTCGATTGTTTGAGAGAATAGGTCTACTGTGTAGACATGCCTTGAAAGCTCTTGATTTAGTGAACATTAAATTGTTGCCTGAAAAATATGTATTGAAGCGTTGGACTCGAGAAGCAAAATGTGGAGCTATTCAAGATATGCATGGCAGACAAATAGTGGAAGACCCCAAGCTGAGTACTACTCTTAGGTACAGATATCTGTACCAGCAATTTCTTCCTTTGGCTTCCAGAGCTGCAGACTTTGAAGAATGTTACTTGCTTGTGGAAGAAGCACTTCATGCCGTTAGTAAAAAAGTTGAGGACAAAATAAAACAAACTTACAGTGATGGCATTGCAAAGTCGAATGATCAGTCAACATCCCAGTTAGCTCAGAACTTGGCACATGTCTCTGGTCTGAAGAAAAAGGAGAGCCGGAAACGTGTAACAAAACGGAAAACAAATTGGATTGATAAACTGCAAAAAACAAAAAAGAGAAAGGTAAATATATTTGAGCGACTACTCAAATCTGTTATGCAGCTATATATATTGAGAACTATATATTGAGCCACTTCTCAAATCTGTTATGCAGCCTGAAGAAAAGGCAGAGGAGGAAAACATGCAAACTGATGTGGAAGAACATCAAGAATGTGAAGCAATTAGCAGCTATGCCCAACTTCTACTGGTATGCTGACCAGTTTCTTCAAAGATAAATATATGTGCTAACAAATTATTTTAATTTGGATATTATTTTTTTTTCCCTAGGGTTCTATTGACGTTGAAGATGTCATCTTATCTCAAAAGTTCATTTGAAGAGGTCAATAGAACTTAGAAGGCATCGTGCTGATTTGGGAAGCAGATGATGATCTACTTTTGGATCATGAAAGCTTTTGTTACTGGGTTAATCTAGCAGTAGCATGGCTAGTTGATTTTGAAAGCTTTTGTCTCAGTGGATGCATGACACCCAATTTCAGCGAAAATAGTTAAACTCTAGCTCATTTTGTCAATTATGCGTGCAAGATATTATGAAGTTCAATATAATGAAATGAAGTCTGTGTCTACTTTTCTTTAACAATATTTGGGTTTTCTGAAAGTTCAAGAAAATTCAGATCAAAAGGAGAGAAATTGCAGGCAAAATCTGAACTGAAGCTGTTCTGTGCTTGTTCAAATAGCTAAAATGATGCATGACACAGTTAAATCTGGACCATCCCTCATGTGCTGGATGGTTGGATGATTAGGTACTGCCAAAGTTGCAGTCACTACTGTGACTGCACTTGATCCGAATCCAAAGGGCACAGCTAATGAGCTGGATTGTGGAATCGACCTTTGTCATCACGCCGATTATACGTCTGATTAGACGGAGACGGACGATTTAATCGGTAATGATCGGATTTATGGGTTCGTTACCGACTAATAATGACCGGATCGGCGTGACGTGATGGACTGATCTCCGTATCCGTATTATCGGACGTATTAACGGCCGTTAACACCGTTTTCCACAACACTGCTCGTATATATGTCGGTCGTTTTATATTTTCATATGATTAAAATCTCTTTGCGGACTATTTTTGTGATGATGGGAACCATCATATATGCATACATTAGGCCTAATTGGACTGGCCCATCTGCATTTCCCCACGGCGAAAATAATGGTGGTTTTAAATTGGCAATGAATAACCAGTCATTACTAGTAATATGTCAGTGCTAAACGCTACACTGTATTTCTATTTGTCTTTAATAAAGTTTAAAATTTCATGTTGGCAAAATTTTTTTTTTGTGTTAGCATAAGACATGAATATAACCTCAATAAAATTTCATGTTAACAAAAAAATATTTTTTGTGTTAGCATAAGACTTGAATATAAGCTCAATAAAATTTCATGTTAACAAAAAAAATATTTTTTGTGTTAGCATAAGATCGTGAATATAAACTCAAATAACAGTTTGATATGATACATATATCAAATTAATAGTTTTACCATGTAAAACAAGATAACAATTGTTGGTCATCTCGTTAACGTCTTCTTTTAAGATCTACATGGAACGACAACGAAAATTTGCCGATGCTAAAGTACAAATTTAAAGAAATACAAGTGTTAACATATAGTCATATTATCAGCCCGGTGCAAACTGACACATCTAGAACGCAATAGTATGGAGAAGATAATTACACATTATTCCAATTAAATTGTGATGATGTGCTGTATAAAACAAGAGGACGTTGGTATCATTTATTTATTTTTTTTGCAACTTGGAAGTATAAAGCATAAACATGTATGTGAGCAATCAGATCACACCTCACCAAAGCCGCTACCTGTTGTTAGAAACCATAGTACATATACAGAAAACTAGCATGGTGGCCCGCGCAGATTGCGCGGCTAGCATTATTATATATTTTTATATTATTTATTTTTATTTCTGAATTTTTATATTATATTTTATATACGTGTTAGTTATTAATTATTTTTAATATCAAATTTTAGTTATTTGTAAATTATATATATTCTTATATGGACTCTAGACTCGTCTTTTAATATTTCTTTTAATATCAAATTTTAGTTATTCTATTTTTTTTCTTAATTGTATTTCTATATGGACTCTATACTCTATTTCTAATATTCCTTATTTTTAACTCCAAATTTCTTTCATTTCCTAATTGTATTTCTATATGAACTATATATTCTACTTCTAATATTCCTTATTTTTAATTCTGAATTTCAGTTATTTCCTAATTGTATTTCTATATAGACTCTAGTCTCCTCTTCTAATATTCCTTATATTTTAATTCCGAATTTCAGTTATTTCCTAATTGTATTTCTATATGGACTCTAGTCTCCTCTTCTAATATTCCTTATATTTTATTTCCGAATTTCAGTTATTTCCTAATTGTATTTCTATATGGACTCGTTTATTCCAAATTTTAGTTAGTTTTAAATTCCTATATGGACTCTATACTCTACTTCTAATAATCCTTATTTTTTAATTCCGAATTTGTATTTTTTTTCTTAATTGTATTTCTATATGGACTCTATACTCTATTTCTAATATTCCTTATTTTTAACTCCAAATTTCTTTCATTTCCTAATTGTATTTCTATATGAACTATATACTCTACTTCTAATATTCCTTATTTTTAATTCCGAATTTCAGTTATTTCCTAATTGTATTTCTATATAGACTCTAGTCTCCTCTTCTAATATTCCTTATATTTTAATTCCGAATTTCAGTTATTTTCTAATTGTATTTCTATATGGACTCTAGTCTCCTCTTCTAATATTCCTTATATTTTAATTCCGAATTTCAGTTATTTCCTAATTGTATTTCTATATGGACTCTAGTCTCCTCTTCTATTTTTAAATTGTATTTCTATATGGACTCTGCTTTTTCTTTTTCTTCTTTTTCTCCGATTAATGTGAGAATTTCTAGGCCATGAGAGCGAACGTGGAGGCTCCTTTTTTCTATTCATTTAATTATATATTATATAATAGATAGATAGATAGTACTGATTGGCAAAGATTAACTTCAGCACCATAGGTTTCAATAGAGGCTTACTTTATATTTATATCAATTGGTAGAGCAAAGTCCGATTTGGCAAGATATCATCTACTGTTTGATTCCTTCAACAACTTGACATGTAAAATTCCTAATTGCAATTAAATATGTCGCACATGTATTGTATAATATATACATTGACACCACATTAATTATGAGATGCCCTTATTTGACCAGTGAATCGTAGTAAGAGTAAAAACTTATTTTGTCGAAGGAATAACAATATTGGAAAATACAAGGTGCAAAAGATTAATTAATAGTTGAGGAATCAAGGACGCAAGAGAGTAATTGGATAATTTACCGGTAAATCTTAGTATGTAGTAAACAATCTCATAATTTTTTTTCCAGATTCAGCCAATCTGGTAGAGGAGCAATTTGAGAAATAACCAGGACAATACATACCACATTGGTTAATAAAATCCAAAATGGAGTCTGTCTGGCAATGGAAAACAAGCAGACATGCTTACAACACTTTCATTTTCATAATTAGAAACTTATAAGGAATCATGACAACTTATGATAATCTAAAAACAGTTTGTGAAATAGCATATGTTGTGCACTATACAGTACTAAATAGTACACTTTATTTTCATGGAAGGTGATAATATCTGCACCTTATGTTTCCAGGCCATGTGAAAATAAAGGATGGGTTTCTGTGCGACTAATCAATCCTGAGGTAATTCCTTTTTTTCTCAAATAATTGTGCAAATTGTTCAAATATACAACAATTAAGGGCTAGACAAATAATTAGTCTGATCTGATGCCAGATCGCCAGGTGAAAAACAAAAGGCCTAGAAAAAGTGATCAACCCTACAACAATTCAGAGGCTTAAAATGGTTTCCCAAGACTACAAAATTAAAATACAACATAAGCCAAATTCAGAAAATATGGTCAGAAACTCATATCACACACTTCATGGAGTTCTAAAGTGAGGATAAGATTGTCTCAAAGTGCTACTGAGCAAGTTATCATTGTTTTGTTTTGTTCCTTTATTCTTTCACCATATAAAAAGGAATCATGGTGAGATAAATTCTGCCATTGTACTTGTACCTCTACAAAACAGATCTTGGCAGCTGAGCAATTGTACCTCTAAGTTTATCTCTGAAATCAGACTTCAACAAACATACTAAACACACACCCATCAAGTTTCAGAAAAGCTAAGCTGCTAAAGTCATGTTTGCTGAAGTAATGTGTGTATATTATAGTTTATTTTTGTTGAAAGAGCAATTCAGAAATCTGCATATTCACCAATATGGTTTTAAAACAGCAAGATCCAAATGCTCCTCTTAAGTTTGAACATACTCGCATTCCAAACAGCGAATGCGCATTGAAAAGAGCCATAGCGGCACATAATTTATAACAAAATATACTGAATTATCTTAAGTCTTAAGCAATGTTGACTGAATTTAAAACTTGTTACAAAGAAATCCTTGAAGGTTAATAGAACAGATATTAAACAGGTACTCACATTAGAGTCCAGTTCTTCAGTAATTTATCTCCAAGGTCTGAGACTCACTGCACTTCAAAAATTAGTTGCAGCCCAAACACACTCTGCAGTAATGCTGAGACAGTTAGCATTTTTCCTGGCTTGACAAAAGATTAAGCCTGCTATTTGAATTAGGGAAGCATATGCAGATAATTAATAAGTTATTTTCTCACACATGCAGATAATAACTTTTTTTTTCTCATAGGTGGCATAATACTACTTACCAGCTTATTCAGAAAATAAGCAGAGAAACATATAGTGTGAATGATCGCATTGAGCAAAGCTCGAGTGAACATATCTGCCCAGTAGGATTTAGGAACTGTAAAGGGCACGGATCCTATGTACAATAAAATTTAACCTTTTTACCGCAAGAAATATGCCAAGACATATGTCGTTCATAGCTACCAAAGGTCAATTTTGGTACCACGGAAAAACAAAAGGCTAGTTCTGCATCATTAATTAACCAATCGTATCGATCACACAAGGAAAACAGGGGAATAAAATAGTAGAACCCACAAGTCAGAAAAAGCCCGACGTCGACGGGAAACAGCAAGGGGTCCCAAGAAGAGAAGCGGCTGGTTGCCCAACACCGATTTTTGAATGGGTAGCTTGTGCTCCTGCCAGATGACGACATTAGTGTGCAAATCAATCATGATTAAAATAAAAATGATTATATTCAAAATTCACTAAGAACAACCCAGAAATGATATCGCCAAATTCAGAAATATTCAGAGGAACGCTCGCTCTGGCATTTTTCATTCAGCCTTTTAATGATGATAGAAGAAACATGGTTTATAGTGCTGTTTCACAATGAATATCTGCTCAATCAAGAGGAAGCATTTCTCATTAGTTTTAGTACACATCATGTTTGGAGAGGCGATATACGTTTTTAGATGCTGAACTTCAACTGAAATAATGCATCGAGGGGTTAGAACTGCATTGAGTATATTATTTTTATTTTTTACCTATGCTGCAATCTAAACAGGCACCCCATTCTAAATAATCTGAAAACTCGACAATCTAAACAGGTTTCCCATTATGAAAATTATAAAAACTTGAAATTGCTTGTACCTTCAATTCAGGGAAGGAGGTTTTGCGAGCGCAAAACACCTGTTCATAGTGATATGGGAATCAGAAATGCTAGTCACCGGTATACCGTTTGGAGTCAGCCCCGGACGGGACAATTTCCCACGGATCAAACACACACCCTCACGGATCAGATACACACACTCGAGAAACATTGAGGGCCTATTTGGATTGCTACCATGCCAAATTTTTAGTAGTGCCAAATCTTAGATAAATTTTGGTCCTACCAATTTTTTGGTAGGATAAGATTATATTTGGTTTGGTACCAATATAAAGCCAACATGTGACTTCTAGTGAAGATTGTTCTAGATTGATGGCAAATCTAGCATGGGCATTACCAATAAATTGGTCTCAATCCAAACAAGCACATGTACTATTTAAACTACCAAAATATTGGTAAGGCTAAGTTTTGGTAGCAATCCAAAACGGCCCTGAGTCACTCCCAAACAGACACCTACAGCTCCCAAATCGTCACGAGCATGGCTGCGGCGGCGGAGCCGGCGGCGGTGGCGGAGTCGGCGGCGGGCGGAGCCGGCGGCGGAGCCTGCTTGCGGCTCCTCCTCTTCAGCGGCGCCGATGCGCACAAGGTCAGTAGTGCCAGAGAGGGAGAGTGGCGTGAGCGTGGTGGTGGCGGCTGTGGCGGCGGCGTCTACGGCGAAGCCGGTGGCGTCTGCGGCGGAGCCGGTGGCTGCTGCTGCGGCAGAGCCGGTGCGCACGATACCCCTTTCTCTCATTCCTCTTTTTTCATCGATTTCCTGATTTTGATTTAACATCTCTTCATTTTTGCATTTTCTAGGGTTTGTTGAATCACTAATTTGTGGATGGGGCTCATCATATCACATCCAAATTGAAATCAAAGTAAGTTAATACTCTCTCTCTTTTTTCTGTGTGTTTTTGTTCATTCACTGGGGGTGTTTGTAGCAGAGGTGAGGGATGTGTGTATGTGCTGAATCATATGATACTTGCAGCAAAATGTTCGAATTGGAATAGATCGCTTGAAATGCTTCTAGCTGTATATTGATGGGAAGGCAAATATTGCTTGGAGCAAGCAATTTTGCCGTTAACAAGTACACACTGTTTTGAAACAGAGAAATCTCCATTCAACTAGTAGGATTTTTTTTTGGGTGAACTGAAGTGTAAACAAAATCAGAGAAATCCGCATCAGTCGGTTGTTGGCTTCTAGTTCCGGGCACGCTTTGCTTGTCAATTGTTATCCTCTTTGTCATAGAGGGCAGTGCGTGGCGACAGAGATGGCAGATGCAGCTGAGTCATAGATGCAGATGATTTGGATTTTTTTTTCTGTTGATGTTTTGCATATCTTAGTGGCTACATGGGTGTTTTCTGTTTTAAAATGATTAGATACTTTTGTTCAATCGAGGATGAATCACCATTGAAATGATATTTTCTTTATCCGTTCACACATGTGCACAGAGTTGAAATGGCGTTGCCACCTGCTTCAAGCGAATCCGATTTCATGCATGTTTCAAAGAAGACAAGGTGCTCTCCAAGGTTGAACAACGGCTCAGCTTCACCCCACTTTGACAAATCTAACACTGCTCATTCTTGTCATCTATGCAGGACTACATGAAAGAATATCGTAGTGAGCTATGCAAAAGGTTGTTGTACCATCGCTTTAACGACTTACATCCAAAACGTCGTTTCTAAGCTTCAGAACCAATATGCTCATTCGGTTCAAGCAGTGTCGGATGTGTGCTTAGGCCATTTTTGTAGCTCCCTCCCTCCCTCTCCCCCAACCAACATATGTAACAAGTCAAGTTTCAGAATTGTGTATGTGGCTACTGTTTTTGTCTTGAACTGGAAGGTTGCAAGGGGCACAACAATCAAAGACATGAACTCTGTATGTGGCTACTGTTTTCATGTACATATATGTTGGTAAAGAAGTGGATTATATTGCGTAGACCTTTTCTGTGGACTATATATAGTTTGAGTACGTTGTACACAATGAAACCGAGTTCAGTATCATATGAAACCTGAGGAAATGATACTGAGGAGGATCATGATACCTCCCAGGGTTCACATGATCCTACTCAAGTATCATATGTGAAACCAGTAGGGAACCACTTTACAAGACATGATACTAGATAGGATCATGTGATACTTCACATGTATCAATCATAATGAAACTCATGTATCACATGATCCTACCTACCCATGTATCATGATAGATGATTTTCCTGGGTAGGATCATGTATGATACTTCACAGGTATCACACCATCCTACTAAAGTATCATATCTGAAACCTCACAGGGATCATGTTACCAGAGATGATACCCAAGTAGAATCATGTGTGATACCTGTAAAGTATCACACCATCCTACTAAGTATCATCTGTGAAACCCATAGGGATCATGTTAGAGGACATGATACCTAAGTAGGATCATGTTAGAGGACATGATACCTAAGTAGGTTCATGTTAGAAGACATGATACCTAAGTAGGATCATGTGTGATACCTCACATGTATCACACTTAATGATACTTTTTTTAGTAGGATCATGTGTGATAAGTATCACGCCATTAAGTAGCATTTGTGAAACCTATTGGGATCATGTTAGAAGACATGATACCTAAGTAGGATACATGATACCCAAGTAGGATTATGTTAAAAGACAAGATCCCTAAGTAGGATCATGTGTGGTACCTCACATGTATCACACTTAATGATATTTTTTTTAGTAGGATCATGTGTGATACCTGTAAAGTATCACACCATTAAGTACCATCTGTGAAACCCATAGGGATCATGTTAGAAGACATGATACCTAAGTAAGATCATATGTGATACCTCAAATGTATCACACTTAATGATACTTTTTTGAGGAGAACCATGTGATGCTACAGAGGTATCACATGATCCTACAAGATAACAAGAGTACCATGTGATCCTCAAGAGTATCACATGATCCTAATAGAGTATCATCTTTGAAAACCACAAGAATCATGTGCTACTTGTGTGAAAAATTTCAGCAATCACATAAGACGCCGGATTGCAGAGGAAATTGGCAGACAACGTGTGCGCCAATGGAATCAGTCGAGGAAACGAGCATGGAGGCACGCGATTCCGCGAATGAATCTTCGGGATGCGGAGGAGCTTGCGCCGGTGAGGAATCACGCACGGAGGCGCGCGATTCCGAGGAGGATTCGTCGGGTTGTGGAGGAGTTCGCGCCGACTCGGAATCGCGCGCGATTCCGAGGAGGATTCGTTGGGTTGCGGAGGAGCTCGCGCCGGCGAGGACGCGCGATTCCGAGGCTGATTCGTCGGGATGCGGAGGAGCTCGCGCCGGTGAGGAATCGCGATTCGTCGGGTTGCGGAGGAGCTCGCGCCGGCGAGGAATCGCACGCGGGAGCGCGATTCTGGAGGAGGATTCGTCGGGAGGATTCAGGCGGGGCAGCGAGCACTGGTACGATACGTTTCTATTCCTGTTTTTGTTGACGCACGCGCACGATATTGTGTTGGTTTCAGAATTATCCCTTTTTCGTCGGGATACCGGTATATAGCAGCCCTCTATGGGAATAGATAATTGGCGGCGGCCCCCTAGCCTGAGACGACGGCGAGACGGCCCTCTTGACAGCTGAGTCTTATACTCAAGCAATTCCTTACGCTGACAGATGAAACCAATTCAGGCAGAAAGCTTAAAAAATAAAATACTGATGACATCCCATATTTTAGTGGTGCAATTAATATAGTAAACATCATTATATTCATCAGAACTTGGACACAAATAATATACCATAATGATTGTTTTGGTCGTTGTATTTTGGTTGATTCTGGAAAATATTAAGAACCGTATGATGAAACGAGAGGAGGATTTATGTACCTTTGTGCGAATCAGAGATCCGTGGCTGTGTGGAGGCGGGTGACAGGGCGGGCGACGGTGTTCGGGTGGTGGAGATCAGGGGTGGCACGGAGGACGGGACGAGACAACCGAGGCGGGCGACGGTATTTGGCGGTGGAGATCAAGTGGAGATCGGAGCCGGCACGGAGATGGGCGTCACCGAGTCTAGCGACGCAGCTCTGGCGGTGGAGATCGGGGATCCGCAATGCCGGTGACAGTACTTTTTGTAAAATCTCCTCTGAGGAAGAAAATACTTTGAGCTATTATCTTCCTTAAGAAAACTAATCACATATAGCTTGACCTATAAACATCATATACATTAATGGCTACATATGTGTTTCTCATTTCTGTGTAAATTAATGACAGATAGTCAAATATTCAAGCTAGATCTATCCACTGATTCCTTCACATTATAACAATTAAAATATCCAAATTAAGAAATACCTGCTGGCGTGTTGCAACCTGCAGCTCGCTGATGTCCTGCAGGGAGGTCTGCTGGTGGCAATTACTTGAAAGATTGTGGGCGTACAGGAGCGGAAGAACCCTAAAAAGCCAGACATTCAGACAGGGTGCAGAAATTGAAGAGAAATAGACGAAATCAGGCTACCTACCTACGATGTTTTGAGCGGTGACGATGGTAGTAGAGCAGTAGCTCCTAGCACAAAGCAGGTCCTAATGTTGCCTAGATGCATGCGCTGCGGCCTTTGTCGGAGCTCCGACTGGAGAGGCCAAGGCCTTTCCCGAGCTGTTTGATGAACCAGCAAGCACAAGCACAAGCATCTCTTCTTTATGAGACTCGACAGATCCAACTGGTCCTACTGATAGTTGAGGGATAGCATTAACAACAAAGCATTCAATGAAAAATGCTATACAAGAAATCATGATATAAAATCACAGTATCAAATTTATTAGAGACAATACTATATGATCATAAAGAGTAGGCAGTTATGGATATTAGAATATACATAGTTCGAGATGGGCAGTACTATTTGATCAATTTGAGAAGAGGGATAATTAGTGATCCAGCATGTTGTACTTAAGCCCAGCATTTTTTTTCTAAAGCCCTTCAAAGCATAATCATGTATTAATCCCTTGAGACTTCACTTGATACTATCAAGTTTTTGGAAATCAAGTTGTGTAGATTAACTGAGGAGATAAAGTAATTAACCATGCGTTTATGCATAAGTGCGATTTAGCTTGCACAGAAACATACATCTTCCATGCCACAGTACCTATCTTTAGGGGTAGGAATGAAATGAAAAATTGAACACCACTTAGGTCCTACTGTAAATCAGTAAGATATAGTACAAACGTAGGCACCAAATGCGACGAGTTACATAATACAGAATCTGAAATACAAGAAAAGAGGATATCGAAACACAGTATTATTCCTTTTTGTTGAAAAATAATGTTCCGTAAAGGTCAAAGCAATCTGACACAATCATGGTACCCCTATAGTTACAAGCCCTTCCCGTCTATCTCTTATACATGCAAGCCATCGAGATGACACCATGAAAAGCTATTGGAAATGCCATACATGACAAGATATTGGAGGAAAAAGCTCTGATATGAAACATACTATTTATCAAACATACTTCCTTTAGCAAACAAGAATATGCCGATGACCATATAAAAAACAATACATTTCAAACTGCATCTTATATTTTTACACAAAGAATAGAGGAAGGAAGATTTAAAAAAAAGGGCCAAAAAAAACCCCACATTGATATTGAAGCACCATTCGAGATAGAAATTGAATATGTCACTATGCTGGAGGTAAAATTGAATCTGAGTTTTTGGTGGGATCTAGAACTCACTCTGTCATAGTAATTTCTTCAATCTACCTATGAGATGTATCATAAATAAAGAAAAATAATTTCATAATTGGAAAAGGAGATACCAGAAAGCTCATTTTCACACCTTCACACACTGCAGGATTCTAAAATGAAATTTCATCAGTTCTCCCAATTCTATTTGAATATTTGAAAATTTCAAGGATTTGGTTACACTCAGATTAGTATTTTGCATTACTGGTGGCAGATAAGACCACACTACCACAACCTGGCTAATGAATTTTTTCATAGGGAATCTGTGTGTAGGGACTGAATGAAACCCTGCGTGACATTGACATATAGTAATATTATCTACCATTTTTCTTCACCTGATGAAAATACTACTCACTGACAATGACTCATTTTGATTATTCAGTCACTCGAACTATCAATATAGTTTGCATATAAACGACAGGATAATAACACATGTTGTCTGCACGATAGATGGTTTTCACACACAGGGAGATCAAACTCACCTGTTGTCTGCACAGCTTATATGGTCTTTCACATACAGGGAAAATATGTGCAATGAGGTGCTGTTTTTGGATTAGAGCTGACAAACCTTTGCTAGCCTCCTGCTTGCTTGCTGTGCCCAGACTTCTCGTACCGCCGTGCTGATGAGGAGATGACTGACTGGGCTCTGTACTTGCAATTTCACACGTCATTCTGAAACAAGTGCTGGGAATCAAACAACGCACCAAGTTAACAGGAGCAATGGGATAAATAAATCGATGTCGTGATTGTCTGGGAGAGAGGGAGGAAGGAGTCCGTACCTGTAGGCTAGAACTGGGTCGCCCATTACCGGTAGGCAAAAGGGGATCGATTCTGGAGCTTGGTTCTAGGGTTTAGGGTCTCCCAACCGTCGACTTCGCTGCCGCTGGTGCTTGCTACTTCCTTCTAAAAGGTTTTTAGGAAGCATTATCACCTCTTGTCGAGGCCGCACGAATATATTGATCTCAGTTGGAAATAGCCTCCAACGTGGCTTACAATCAGGAAACAAAATCTGTTGTGATCCGGTTTTATCTCAACCAAATCAATCTCATTCATATCACATGCACCGGACTCCCTGCATATGCATGCATGCATATCTCTAAACTATCGCTACTTCTAACAGCCCCCCTCAATCATAACTTATCTAAGTTAAGATTGTGTCTAAAATCTCTAAGCTGTTAAACAGTAATTGGTTTAGTAAAACCATCTGCAACTTGATCTCCTGAAGCTATAAACTTTATCTCTAGTTGCTTCCTAGCAACTCTCTCTCTTACAAAATGATAATCAACTTCTATATGTTTTGTTCTAGCATGAAACACAGAATTGACTGACAAATATGTAGCTCTCAAATTATCACACCATAACCTTGCCATAGGAGGAACTTGAACTCCAATTTCTTTAAGAGTTTGAACCCACATTACCTCTGCTGTAGCATTTGCTACTGCTTTATACTCAGCCTCAGTACTTGACCTGGATACTGTAGCCTGTTTCCTAGCACTCCATGACACTAGATTTGATCCAAGAAATACTGCAAAAACCTCCTGTAGATCTTCTGTCATCTACAGATCCTGCCCAATCTGCATCAGAAAAAGCACTAACAAGAGTAGAAGAAGATCTGTTAATCTTTAGGCCAAGATCAACAGAGGACTTAACATATCTCAGTATCCTCTTAACTGCCATCCAATGTTGTAAAGTAGGAGCATGTAAAAACTGACAGACCTTATTTACTGCAAAAGAAATATCTGGTCTAGTCAAAGTCAAGTTCTGCAAAGCCCCAACAATACTCTTATATCTAGTGGCATCATGTTCTCCTAGTTCAGTACCATTATGAGCTGACAACTTCTCTGAGGTAGACATAGGTGTGGCAACAGGTTTACATCCTGACATACCTACCCTTTTTAACAGATCAGATGCATACTTTTCTTGGGTTAACAAAATACCATCGCTTACCTTGTTAACCTCTATACCCATAAAATAGTGCAGATCACCTAGATCTTTAAGGGCAAAATCTTGTTTTAAATCTCTTAGCAACGCTTCAGCTGCATCTTGAGTTGAACTAGCCACAATTATGTCATCCACATATATAAGGACAAAAATAGTCACACTCCCTTTACTATAGAAAAATAATGAAGTGTCAGCCTTTGATGACTTAAAACCAAGATCACATCATTTACTACTTAGTCTAGAATACCATGCCCGTAGTGCATGTTTCAGTCCATATAAAGCCTTGTCTAACTTGCAAACATAACTAGACTTACTCTTATTCTCATATCCAGGCGGTTATCTCATGTAAACCTCTTCTTCAAGCAAACCATGTTGAAAAGCATTCTGCACATCAAGTTGTCGAAGGCACCAACCCCTAGATATAGCAATAGACAAAATAGCTCTAATAGTAGCAGCCTTAACCACCGGACTAAAAGTATCCTCATAGTCAATACCATACCGCTGTTTAAAACCCTTTGCAACCAGCCGAGCTTTATATCTATCCAGGCTACCATCAGCTTTTCTTTTAATTTTATATACCCACTTACAATCAGTAACATTCCTACCATGTTGTGGTGGAACTAAATGCCAAGTTTTATTATGAATCAAGGCTGTAAATTCAGTATCCATGGCTTGTTTCCAATTAGAATCAGCTAAAGCTTCATTTAAACTCTGTGGCTCTTCACTAGAGGAAGCAAGAAAACTGTACCTCACTGTACCATCGGTATAGACTTTCTCCTTACGTATCCCCCTCTGCAGCCTAGTGGTAGGTCTAGTTTGCTGCTGTTGTACCTGCACAGAGTCATCAACCGACTGATTAGCAGTAACACTGCTACCTATTGCTGTACTGCTGCTACTGCGACTCGCAGACTTGCCACCACCACTGCCATTTGCAGGTTCGGCTGTGGTACTTCCAGCAGCAGTAGCACTGTTTTCATTTTCTGCGCCGTGTGTATTTGCTGCAGGTTCTGAACCACCTGCATTAGTACTATTTTCAGCTGAACCACTTGCATTAGCCTGTGTTTAGATTCAAAGTTTGGATCCAAACTCTAGTCTTTTTCCATCACATCAACCTGTCATACACACATAACTTTTCAGTCACATCATCTCCAATTTCAACCAAAATCCAAACTTTGCGCTGAACTAAACACAGCCTTAGTACTATTTTCAGCATCAGAAGCAACAGAGAAATCATTGCCACCATCATCAGGATTTTCTGTATCATGTGCAGCATATGAATTTTGCTCTCCTTCTTCTCCCTGTTCAGATACTTGCTCATCAAAAATATTAGACTCAACAGGAGGACTATTAAACATATAACCATTTTCTTGTATACCCCTACTAGCAACTTCAGGATTCAACAGTGTTGAGGGCAAGAGTAAAATTTCAGATTTGAGCCTAACTCCAGCATTGGAGTGGAGATTAGAGAAAGGAAAAATATTTTCATAAAAAACAACATCTCTAGAAATATAAACTCTGCCAGTTGCAACATCTAGACACTTGAATCCTTTATGAATATTGCTATAGCCAAGAAACACACATTGCTTGGAGCGAAACTGAAGTTTGCGAGTGTTGTAGGGTCTAAGATTAGGCCAACAAGCACATCCAAAAGTTCTCAAAGAGGAGTAATTTGGTTTTTGATGCAAGAGACGCTCTAAAGGCGTGGAGTATTGTATAACTTTGCTAGGTGTGCGATTGATGAGATATGTAGCTGCAAGAAAAGCCTCATCCCAAAATTTAAGAGGCATAGAAGCGTGAGCAAGTAAAGAAAGCCCAACTTCCACAATGTGTCTATGTTTACGTTCTGCGGAGCCATTTTGTTGGTGAGCATGGGGACATGAGACATGATGAGTAATTCCTATCTTAGTAAAAAAGGAATGAAGTTTTTCATATTCTCCCCCCCAGTCAGATTGCATAGCAATAATTTTGCGATTAAACATCCTCTCAACAAGTTGTTGGAACTCATGAAACTTATGAATAACCTCAGATTTTTTCTTAAGCAAATAGATCCAAGTAAACTTGCTGAAATCATCTATGAAACTGACATAATATTTTCTGCCACCAACAGAGTCAGGGGCAGGACCCCAAACATCAGAAAACACAAGCTCTAAAGGATTATTGGACACACTGAAAGACTTAGGATAGGGGAGTTGATGACTCTTACCCCTTTGACAAGCATCACACACACCTAATTCATTAATATCTCCTAAACATGGGAGATTATTATTGTTCACAACTTTTTGAACGATAGACAAAGATGGATGACCCAAACGACTATGCCACTTCGAAATAGTGGGTTTGATGGCTCCAAAAACTTGCTTGGATGAAGATAGCGACGACTGTGGAATGGGATAGAGACCATTGCGGCAAGGCCCTCTAAGAAGAAGATTCCTCGTGACCTGATCCTTAATGGCAAAGAAACGAGAGTGAACTTCAACAAAGGCATGATTATCAAGGGCTAAACGACGTGCAGAAAGGAGATTTTTCTTGGCCTTAGGAACATGTAAAATATTCTTAAGATATAAATTGCGAGTAGGGGTATGAATAACGGAATGGCCAATATGTTTAATGTCCATACCTGCACCACTTGCCATGTAGATTTGATCCTTCCCATTGTACTTCTCCCGGGTCGTCAATTTGTCCAACTCTCTAGTTATGTGATCCGTAGCTCCGGTGTCAACATACCAATTTGTGTCCACACCATAGGAGGCTGCAGCTGCCATCTTATTATCAGAAACAAAGTTCTCATCATACCTATACAAACAGTCAGCGACGACGTGCCCCGTTTTTCCACAGAGCTGACAAACAGGGCGCGGTTTGCCGCCACGGCCTCCATTGTTGTTGCCGCGACCACCACCACGCCCGCCATTGTTGCTGTTGCCGCGCCCACCATTGTTGCCGCTGTGTCCGCCGCGGTTGAAGGGGGTGTAGCCGCCCCTTCCACCACCACATTTGGCGCTGTTGGCGGAGGACTGATGCGCTGCTGCATGGCGAAGTTTCTGCCTTGATTCGAAGCTCAGAAGTTGAGAGTAGAACTCGGAGAAGGAAACTGCATCTGGTCTCCCGACGAGGGAAGACACCACTGGTTCCCAATCATCATCAAGACCGGCAAGGATGTAGGACATCAATTCCTCATCATCCATTGGCTTGCCGGCGGACGTCATCTCGTCGGCGAGGATCTTCATTTTGTTGATGTAGTCCGAGACGCTGAGATCGACCTTCTGGGTCGTCGCTAGCGCCAGGCGCGTGTTCAGAGACCGCGCACGCGACTGGGAGGACAGCATCTCGTTGATTGCCTTCCAAACTTGAGCCGCAGTTTCCATGTGGATGACTTGAGTCAAAATTTCCTTGGATAGGGTTGAGAGAAGAAACCCCAACACCTGCTGATCTGCCGCAATCCAGGTTTCAAATGCCGGATTGGATTTCTTGACAGTGGCTTCTCCTTCCTTGGCGTCAATCACAGCCGACGGGGCTTGTGTTGCACCTGTGAGGTAACCTTCCAAACGCGCACCGCGGATCACCGGGAGGATTTGCCCTTTCCATAAAAGGAAATTCGTCCTGGTTAGCTTCTTAGGGACGGCATGGCCAGAGAAGGGATTGCCGGCGCTGATGGAGGAACTCGCCATAACAGATGCGATCTGATTCTGGCGATTTCGGGCTCTGATACCATAAAAGGTTTTTAGGAAGCGTTATCACCTCTTGTCGAGGCCGCACGAATATATTGATCTCAGTTGGAAATAGCCTCCAACGTGGCTTACAATCAGGAAACAAAATCTGTTGTGATCCGGTTTTATCTCAACCAAATCAATCTCATTCATATCACATGCACCGGACTCCCTGCATATGCATGCATGCATATCTCTGAACTATCACTACTTCTAACACCTTCTTCCTTTCAACACCAGGGTGATGAGGCACAAGGAAGAGGCAGAGCAGCGAGAAGCCACGGCGGTCTGGCACCGGGTGAGAGGAAGGGGAGGAGATCCCGTCGTGATCCAGGGTGAGGTGGGGGCGATGCGGTCGGTGGGGAGGGGCGGCGTCGGTCTGGAGGCGATCAGCGGGGAGGGGTGCCGGTGGCGAAGGCTGGGCGTCGGAATCGACGGCAGCAGCGGCTGCGCTGCGGTTGGCGTGGGAGGGATGGAGCAAACAACGGCGGCGCTTGAGATGGCAGGGGCGAGGGGAGGCGGAATCAGCTCGTGACGTCTGACTTCAGCCCTCACGACGGCAGAGAGCAGTCGAGCAGATCCATCCGTCCACCTAGAAAGCGCACAACCGCGTCGTGAGTCTGGGCTAAGGCCGGCCCAACAAGCCTCGTCCCCCAGCGCCGTCTGTCTCGCTCCTATCCTTTTTAGGAAAAAGTATATTTAACCCCCTTAACCATCCCTTAGGCCCTTCACAGTGCTCCTAGGTAGAGCGTTGCCTTGTTGTGCTAGCTAGGAATTTCGCCGACGTGTCGCGTAGCACCACGTCCTTGTTGAGCCGCTCGCTCCCAAGCAAGGAAACGCGATTCCTCGCTCGCGCGAGGCAGAGGGAACGCCTAGAGCTCGCGCTGTGGAGGGCGTGCCTCCAACTCGTCGTCCCCTCGCGCCCTCTCCAGCGTCGACCTCGTTGCCGTCTCCCGCTCCGCGTCACTGACCTCGATGTCGCCGGGGAGCTCGTCGCTGCGCCGCTTCGATCCGTGCCGCCGCCACCGTCCTCGTCGGAGAAGCTCGCCGGCTCGATGGGGAAAGCGCGGAGAAGGAGAGGAGCTCGAGGTCGATGCCGCGTCCGACCTCGCCGTCGTCGCCTTGATCCAGTGGGCCTAGGCCGGATCTGGCCGCTCAGCCCAGCGTCGTCGCCGTCGCCGCTCGGGCCGCCGCTCCACCCGGCTTTGAGAGGAAGACAAGGTCGCGTGGCTCCGGTCGACGACGACCGTGCCGCCGCTCGTCGTCCGCGAGGAAGACGAGGTCGCGCGGCGACCTCCGCGAGGAAGACCCCACCGAGAGCCCGTTGCTGCGGAGCGGGGTAGGGGGAGGGAGGCGCCGGCGTCTGTGGCCTCCGGCCCCAACGATGAGAGGCGCCGCCACGCCGGCGTCCATGCCTTCTTGCCCGCCGTCCTCGCCCCGGGGCTTCCCGTCCGCCGCGTCCCCGGCATCGTTCGGCGCCACTGCCACCCTCGCCGGCTTCTTCCGCTTCGGGATTAGGGGAGTCGGCGCCGGCGGAGGGAGGAGGGGACAGCCGGCGCCACTCGGCCCCGAGGACGCCGCCGCCACAGGACCCGCTACCTCGCCATGCGCGCAGCCGTCCCACCGTCGAGGTCACTGCCGTCCGGCCCGACAAGGAGAGGAGGGGGCGGGCGGTTCGCCGTCGTGCGCCGCCGTGGAGCCGAGTGAGGGAGGGCCTCGTCGTCGTCCACGCTCTCCGCTCCGCGTCGCCGACCTCGGTGTCGCCGGGGAGCTCGTTGCCACGCCGCTTCGGTCCGCGCCGCCGCCACTGTCCTCGTCGGAGAAGCTCACCGGAGGTTGAGGCCGCGTCCGAGCTCGCCGGCGTCTGTGCCTTCTTGCCCGCCGTCCTCGCCCTTGCCGCTTGCCGTCCTGGTCAGTGGCATGCGAGAAGAATGGATAGAGATAGAGAGGGAGAGATGAATGTGAAAAGAGAGATGGTGGGACCTACTAACATGGGTGGGACCCACAAACATGTATTGTGCACTGTGAAGTGTGGTTCTTTACGGCATGTGTGTTACCCGCACTGCTATTGGCCTTAGGGGAAGATGGTGGCCTGGCCCCTGAGTCCGGGAAAAGAGATACTAATGAGGTCAGGTTGCTCAGCAAATCAACTTGCTGGAACACTCTTCCCAACTCGGTAGTAATATGAGCCCTTTGAGGAGAAGTGAAGATGGCGTGATTGCAACAAACAACTCTAATGCACAATCGGCGCTCTCCTTTGAGGAGAGTGACCGGGCACAATGAAAATACTAGCATGGAACTGCGGCGGGCAGTGCGAGCGCTTCTGGATTTACAGAGGCGTGAGAGACCCGATGTGTTGTTCCTGTCTGAAACACATTTGGGAACAGCTAAGGCAGAAATTTTGACCATCTCAGCATTTTCGAGAGTGACGGGCCAAGTGGTGGACTGCTTATGTTATGTGCAAGATGTCTCTGAATATTTCATTGATGTAATTGTTGATGATGGAAGGGAATGGAGACTTACTGGAATTTATGGTGAGTCGCGTTGGGAGCACAAAGGCAAAACATGGGAGGCCTTGAGATATCTTCATGGGATGATGGATAGGCCATGGATGGAGTTAGGAGATTTCAATGAGATTCTTTTCCATCATGAGAAGGAGGGAGGGAGACCGAGAGAACAACGTCTTTTGCAAGCTTTTAGTGATTCTTTGGCTGATTGTGCTCTCTCGGATATGGGCTATAGTGGTGACATTTTTACTTGGCAAAGGGGGAGAATAAGAGAAAGGCTTGATCGAGGTGTCTCAAACGCGCAGTGGAATGCTCTTTTCCCTACTGCACGACTGGAGAATGGTGGTATGCTCAATTCGGACCATAGTCCGCTGATTGTTGAAACTGTTGTGCGGGCAGATTCTGATGCCAATACAAGGCGAGGTCCTAAATGCTTCGAAGCACGTTGGCTCAAGGAAGAGACGGTAGTGCTGCGGCCAGAGGAGATGTGCCAAATTTCTCGCAAAAAACCAAGCAAGTACATGAAGAGCTCCACGTCTGGGATAAAAAGGTGTTGAAGGGACCTGTTAATCAAATAAAAAAGCTGCAAAAAAAACTTGAAGAGATTAGAAGGGGCCCCTCACTGATGATAGCATCGCTGCCCAAAAGGAGTTGTTGATCCGCCTGGAACTCCTAATGGAGCAGGAGGAACTGATTTGGTTACAGCGCGCCCGTGCAAATTGGCTAAAGCATGTTGACCGAAATACCAAATTTTTTCAACAATTTGCCTCTAGTCGAAGGAAAAGAAACATGATTACTGGGTTGGTTGATGAACAGGGGGTGAGACAAGAGAATAGCGACACTATGTGTTCTATGGTGCAAAATTATTTTTCCCATCTGTTTCAGTCTGAAATGCAGGAGCTTGATGAATCAGTTTTGGATTCAGTTAAGGTCAAGGTCACGCCTGAAATGAATCGGAGCCTTTTAGCTCCATTTACAGCTGAAGAGGTCAAAAAGGCACTTTTTGATATTGGAGATCTGAAAGCTCCCGGGCCAGACGGTTTGCACGCCATTTTCTTTAAACGGTTTTGGTCAATGCTAGGAGATGATCTGATAAAGGAAGTTTTAACAGCGGTAAATACTGCAACAATTCCTGAGGGCTGGAATGATACCACTATTATTATGATACCAAAGGTGTCTAACCCAGATATGGTGGCTCAATTCCGCCCTATCAGTCTTTGCAATGTGGTGTATAAAGTTATTTCAAAAATGCTCTCTCGCAGGATGAAGAGCATCCTTCCTGAGGTTATAAGTGATCAGTGCTTTTGTTCCAGGTAGATTAATTACAGATAATATTCTGATTGCGTATGAATGTATTCATACTATCAAGAGGAAACAAGGGAAAAGGGGGTTATGTGCGATTAAATTGGATGTGCATAAGGCGTATGACAGAGTTGAATGGGTTTTCTTGGAAAAGATTATGTTAAAATTGGGTTTTGATGATAGGTGGGTGTCTCTTATTATGTCCTGTGTGACTTCTGTAAGATATACTGCTCGGTTTAATTCAATGGAAACAGAAACTTTTACACCTACAAGAGGAATCAGGCAAGGGGATCCCCTATCCCCTTACCTATTTCTCTTTGTTGCAGAAGGCCTATCAAGTATGATCCAACAAGTGGAGGAGAATGGAGCATTGGAAGGGATTAGAGTATGCAGAGATGCCCCAATGGTTTCCCATCTTTCATTTGCTGATGACTCCTTAATTCTTATGCATGCTGATAAAAAGAATGCGGACTGCCTGAGGAACTTATTAGACAGATATTGCAGAACTCAGGTCAATTCTTAAGTGCAAGCAAATCTAGTATTTTCTTCTCTAGGAATACAAAGCCGGATATGAAGTTGGAGGTATGTGAATCTTTGAATATTATGACTGAGTCTCTCAATGATAAATACTTGGGTCTGCCTTCTTTAGTGGGAGCAGATAGAAGCGATTGTTTTCGACATCTTATTGATAGAATTGTTCAGAGAGTTAGTGGATGGAAGGAGAAATTGTTAAGCATGGGTGGTAAGGAGGTTTTAATCAAATCCATTGCCCAAGCCGTGCCAACTTATGCGATGATGGTGTTTAAAATCCCCAAAAAAATCTGCAAAGGGATGACAGATGCTATATCACATTATTGGTGGGGTGACGACGATGAAAAAAGAAGGATTCATTGGCAAGCTTGGTGGAAACTCTGTGTACCGAAGGGTAAAGGTGGCATGGGTTTTAGGGACTTCCACAGTTTCAATTTGGCTTTGCTCGCAAAACAAGTTTGGAGACTCTTATGTGAGCTAAATTCTCTCTGCGCAAGGATTTTGAGAGCAAAATACTACCCTGATGGGAAATTGCTCCAGGCCAAGATGAGAAGTGGGAGCTCATTTACATGGCAAAGTGTGTTAGCCGGCTTAGATTGCTTCAAAAAGGGATTTATATGGCGAGTGGGAGATGGCACACAGATAAATATTTGGGACGATAACTGGATCCCAAGCAGCCCCAACATGAAAGTATTGACTCCGAGAGGTAATATTCTAGTTATTAATCCAGTTGATGGTCGATGGGATGAAGCTTTGATAAGATCACTTTTCTGGTCTGTGGATGCGAACCGAATCCTCCAAATCCCGATTGCTCCTCAGCGGGAGGATCTGATCGCTTGGCACCTCAACCGAAACGGTTTGTTCTCAGTCAAATCTGCCTATCACTGTCAATGGAGTCACAGCTTTAGGAGCTTTATCCAGCAACCCGGGGCAACTGCCCCCCCTGGCAGCATCAGTATGGAGACAGCTTTGGAGGCTATCGATACCGAGCAAAATCAAAATTTTTGGATGGCGCGTGCTTCATGGTTGCATTCCTTGCTTCGTTACGTTGGCAAACAAGCATATTATGTGCAAAACAGAAGCTGAGGACGTGAGACATGCTTTGTTTGCCTGCTCTCGTGCTAGACAGGTTTGGAGCTCTCTTGGGATTGAGCAGGAGATTGAAGCGCTTCGTGCTTCAAGAAGCCATCAGAATGGGAGGGAGAGCTATGCATTGGAACAATATTGGTCTAGCGGACATTATCTTGACAGGGTGCTGGTATATATGGTGGCAACGGAGACAGAGTGTTCATGGAGAGGAAATTCAGTCACCACCACGATCGGCGTTGTCCATCGTAGCAATCACAACAAATTATAAACTGGTGTCAAAGAAAACCACTGAGATTAACAAGAGGTGGAGGAAACCTCCTGAAGGATCAATGTCGACGCGGGCTTTGATGAAACTAAAGGAGCTGGTAGCACGGGAGCGGTCATTAGAGACTCTGCGGGTGGGTTTATTGCTGCTTCACATAGTTATATTCCTCATGTGGTGGATGCAACCATGGCTGAAGCAGCAGCTTTAAGAGATGGATTATTATTGGCACAACAAATCGGTTGTAGTCGTGTGGAATTCCAATCGGATTGCATGGAAGTCGTCACAACAATGCAAGAGGGAGGTTTTTCTGCCACGGCAGCAGTTGCGATTTATGATGAATGCTCCCAGTACTAGAAAGATTTTCTTTCTATCTCCATTAGTCATTGTATTAGAGATAGTAATGTTGTGGCTCATGAGCTAGCTAGGCAAGCTTTGATAGGCAAAAATTCTTTTGTTTGGATAGATGATCCCCCTGCCTTCATTCCGCAACTTCTTGTTAATGATGTAACTATATTCTCGAATGAATAAAGCTAGCTGTGAGAATTTAAAAAAAAAACTACAATACGAGTATGATTCATGACCTCCAACCACAAAACCGGATATATTGACTCCTCCAACTATCAAAACCGGTGCAACATGTATCCCAGGTGGTTTTGGAAGTGGTTTTGGCTTACGTGGTGCTTACGTGGCAGTGTTGACCCGGTCTCCGTCCTACGTGTCGTTGACATGTCACTTATGTGGCATTTTAGAATAAAAAACAAAAACAAAAATACGTGGGACCAACATGTAATCCACACTAAAAAAAATAGTGGGACCCACCGACATGTGGGCCCCACATGTCATCATCTTCATCCTTTCTCCTTCCTCTCCCCTCTTCTCTCTCCTTTTCCCCTTCATCTTCCTCTTTCTGCGGCCTCCTCGCTCCCCTCGCTCTCCTTTCTCTTGGCCCAAGCGCGCCGCCGCCCACCGCCTGCGCCGCACCGTTTGTTCATCTCTATATATTCCTGTAATTTCTAAAGAAAAAGCTGGATATGAAAAGAAGGATATTCATATTGATGGTATTAGGCAGGGGTAAGTCTCGAACCAAGACCGACTAGCCCACCAACTTGTGGTGCTAGCCGGTAAGACTCCTGGTCTTTCTGACCATTTATGTTAAGCTTTCTAATCATAGGCCAGAAACAGCTTATATGTCAGTTTATCCTTTATAGTATGGCACGTCAAAAGTTAGCTTGGATACTTGGAGTCTTACTTTATCTTATTTTTACCTTCCTTTTTTCCTTCTACCAAACTTTAATGCTGTATGGAATACAAATACATAAGATAGTTTAGACAAGCATAATATGTTGAAATTAGTCCTGCATGTATGTATTTGCACAGAGCATCATGAGTATTAATTTAGTTATATAATGATTTCTCAGAGAGAAACGGGTTAACAGATCTTACAAGAATCAAAGAATAGCTACTCGGTCATCTGTGACAACCTTAAGAAAGTGTACCATGGAAAAGATGGGAATGCAAAAAAAATTGCTGTCAGAGGGCTATCTCTTTCTATGCCACGTGGGCAATGTTTTGGTGTTCTTGGACCAAATGGCGCAGGAAAAACCACTCTCATTAACATGGTAAGTATGATTTAATTTTAGATCTTAATAATAAAAGAAATAAATAATATATTTAGATAACCATAAATCTCTAGTATGTAAACCATTTTTTGCACAATTCCTCTTCCCAAGTACAGGCCACTTTCAAGGCCAGGAACAGGCATATACATTTCTAAAAATCTGAAACATGTCTAGGTAGTAAGAAATGATCCACATTTTCTGTTTATCACAAATGATCCCTATATAGATCACTTACAAATATAACTGATGTTTCATTTGGTCACATGACATTATTGGATTTAAGGGGGTTAATTCTTATCCTGACAACAGTTGACTGGATTTACTAAACCTACGTCTGGCACGGCGTACATTGAAGGAATGGACATACAATTCGAGATGAACAAGATTTATGCAGGAATCGGTGTTTGTCCACAGCACGAGTAATCTAAGCTCACTCTGATGTTTCTGAATTACAGTTTTGTTTAGTTTAGGACAGCCTTTAAATCAATTTAGTATTGGTGAACTTTAATTAACTTTTCCCCTTCTTTTTTTTTCTTGTTGCAGCTTGCTATGGGAAACACTGAATGGTCGTGAGCATTTGTTGTTCTATGGTAGACTTAAGAATTTGCAGGGTGCACCATTATCTCAGGTAATATGTGACCATTTGATAAATAATCGTACTATCTCTGTATTTAAATATATAATTTTATTGATTTTATCCAGTCTTAGTGCAAAACTTTAGCTACTATTTTTCTATTAGAATATAACGATAATATCTAACAAAATTATAATATTGTAAAAGCAATAATAAGTAAAATTCTACCCATATGATTTTTACGTTTTCAAACTAAATATCTTGAGAGCTATTGATAGTCAAAGTTTTAAAAGTTTGACCCAATAAAGTCAATAATGTCGGAGGAAGTAATATATGGTGATTTCTTTTCCATGGATGAACATGATGGATTCGACTTCAAACACTATTTACAAGTGAAAGATGAACTTATCATCTGCATATAAGATCCAAGACACATTATCCTCCAAGGCACTTTAGCACAGATTATTATAATACTAGTTCAACAAACATTTTCCCAGTGGTTATTCTGTTCTTATGTGATTATGATTTCACGAGAAATTATTATAAATACAAGTTCTGAAGCAATCATCTAAGATCTCCTATTTCTTATTTTTTTAGGCCATTGAGAAATCTTTGAAAAATGTGCGCCTGTTTGCTGGTGGCATTGCCGATAAGCTTGTAAGCAAATACAGTGGTGGCATGAAACGTCGTCTCAGCGTTGCAATCTCTCTAATTGGTGACCCTAAGGTACAATTCATATATGTCAAATTCAGGGAAATTTTGAACATTCTTGCATGTATAAATCATGCATTTTGAACATTCTGCAGGTAGTTTATATGGATGAACCAAGCTCAGGGTTGGACCCAGCATCAAGGAAAGACTTATGGAATGCTGTCAAGTCTGCCAAGCAGGACAGGGCCATAATTCTCACAAGTACTGCACTTTGCTTTCAACTCTGATACAACAGTATAACCTTAGTCCAGTTAATCACCATGGAAATCTTTTGCACCACATCATATTATCACATCATACTTTCACCTATTCCAGCGCATTCGATGGAAGAAGCTGAATTTCTATGCGATCGGATAGGAATTATCGCAAACGGTAGCTTGCAATGCATCGGGAACTCTAAAGAGGTACATCTACACATGTAAACTGATCACATTTTTCATATGTGGCCATTGATTCCAAATGCTAACTTAGTAACTTGAACCCCCATAATCTTGCCTTTTCAGCTGAAAGCAAAATATGGAGGCTCATATGTCCTCACAGTAACAACCGCGACGGGCGAGGCGGAGGAGGAGATGAGGAGACTGGTCCAGTCCATCTCCCCTACCATGAACATTGTGTACCACATCTCCGGGACGCAGAAGTTCGAGATGGCGAAGCCCATGGAGCATGCAAAGCGCAGGATGAACGTTCTTGCCTGGGGCTTGGCTGACACAACGAACGCTGGAGGATGTCTTCATCAGAGTTGCCAGGGAGAGTGACAATACATCATCCTCGTGGCCTGATCAGTAACCATAAAGAATTGTTCATCTCTTGGTTGGGGAACTTCTTGTTTTTTTAACGAACCAGACAACCAGTACTAAATGTCCCAATTTCATTGAATAAAGTAGGAGTAAAAATTTTGTATAAGTAAAAACGAGAACCGCACTAAAAGTAAAACCAAGGATGAGCTATGAGCAGGGGTGGAAAAATGTAATGGCTGGGTTCAAAAAGAGTTAGACTGAAATTTAGGACTCCCTCCGTCCCAAAATATAATAACTTTTAGGTAGATGGGACATATCGTAGTACTATAACATATTCCATCCATCTAAAAATTGCTATATTTTGGGACGGAGGGAGTACATTTTTTAGCTAAAAATATTTAAAGGCTGAAGTGGGTTGTGAAAGGACCCATTAATACTACCCCTAATTCTGAGAGACGTTTTGCTCTTGCTAAAGCTCAGGCCTTGACTTCCTCCTTGATTTTTGTCACCGCCGTTATTGTGGAGAGCTTTTTATGTTGGAAGGCTCTTTGGCTCATTTTCTTTTACAAATCCCAAGCTGTGAGGAGGATGAGTTTAAGCAGATTCTTTGTTTGGTATATCTTAGAGCAAATTTAATAGTACAGCTGACTGATGGCTCTAAAAATAACACATCAGTATAATAGAGATAGTGCTAAAAATTACTCCCTCCATTCCAAATTGATCTACATATAATTTTTTTGAGATTATTCCTAAATGATCTACATATTTGTGTTCATTTATTAAGTCTATTCGTTATTTGTGTATTGGAGTAAATGGACATTGATGCATGTATGCACATAAGTATTTATAACCCACATGCAATATCTTGATTTGCTATTGGCTAGGAAATAGTGGGATGGTGCATGCATCGAGTTTGTTGCTAGAGTAAATATAGTATGAGAGAGTTATTAGCTTTTCTTGGTCTTGGTGTACCTATGAAATATGTAGATCAATTTGGAATGGAGGGAGTAGTGTATGCAATAAGCTTACACAGTTTCCAACAACTCTTTTCTTTTCAGTTAGCGATTGAAAAGCTAGCCATCGCTCCGTCCTGCCGTTCGTGTGGACCCCATAACCACTACGTGGGCCAGGAGGAGGAGACCTGTGCCGCTTTGCTCGTCTTGGAGCTGCAGTCGGCGATTAAATAGTTGCCGGCTCACACCCTCTGTCCTCTTCAGCTCATCCGTAAATCCAACATGGCACTATTACCGCCGGCTTAAATAGCCTATTGTACCTGCTCTTAGGGAAACTTCAGTCTTCAGGCCTAATCTTTCAGTGGTCAGACGCAGAAGCAGTCCACTTGTTTGTCCTCTCAAAACAAGCATAATATTACTAGTATACATTATAATCAGAACCTGTGGCTGATTGAGCAGGATTTGACACTACAGTTCGAACTGTATACTGCTCTATTGAGTGATGGACTGCTCACTCCTAGCTGGCTAGCAAGTAGAGAAGCTGCATTGTCATAGCAAACCGCGTCGTTGCGTTTATATGTTATATATATATGGGGGCAAAGCCTTGGACGTGAAAACCACAGCCGAGTGCTACCAGCTTCAGATTTCAGAGAACGATTGATCAAGTATAGTAGAGCGAGCTCGATCTGCGGCCATGGGAGCAGCTCGTCGGCTTCGCTTCGGGCTACGAGCGGCGGCGGCGGCCATGGCGCTCCTACTACTGCTGCTGCCGTCGTCGCTTTCGCTCGCGCTCTCGCCGCCGCCGCCTCCGCCGCCCTTCTTCCCACCGCAGTGGGCGCCGCCGGTGCCCGGCGGCGGTGGCCCTTTCGCTGGTGAGGACGCACGCCGGTGGAACATTTCCTCTGATTTGCACTCTGGTTTCAGACGAAGTAATTGGTTTTTAACATTACTAATGGAAGTTTAAAATGGTATATTAGATTATTTTATTGTCTTTCATTTATATTTTACTATAGAAATATGGGAGTTACTTATGAAAGTAGTAGCATTTACGTGACAAGTATAAACTTGAAATAAAAGGTAAAATAGTGTATAGACGTTCTGAAACTACTTGCAATGCATTTCGGATAAGAGGAAATAGTCATATATGAACATATGCTACCTATTGGGTAAAGGAAAAATATAATATATTAATTCTCAAAACACAAACATGTTTAAAAGTTTACTGCATAAATTTATTTAAAGTGGTTGATTTTGTAGAAGCTGGAGGTGGATATGGAAGCGGAGGTGGCGGACCTGGGGGGATTCACGAGCCTCCAATCTCTTTCGTGTACAACAACCCGTACATATCTACAGGCAAGTGCATTTCACTTGAAACTTTAGATACTCATAGAAAAAATAGTTTATCCATCAAGAAAATATATCAGAGTTTTCTGTAAAATATGAGACAATTATTTTTGAAAGTAGTAGCATTTTGGAAAGATAACAAACATGGAATGGAAATAGAAAAGGTGTATAAAAGCTGTAAAACTACTTAACTGTACTGCATATTAGAACCAGAGGAAATATCTATATATAACATCGGCTAGCTATTATATAGTTAAGGAAAAATATAACATATTCTAATACGTGAAATTCAACTTGGTTTAAAATTCATATAATTGCTTTGTAGAACATGGAGTTGGATATGGTAGTGGTCCCGACGGGTCTCACAATCCTACAGTCTCGTCCGTGCATGGCAACCAATACATGCCGACAGGTAAGTGTATTCCACCAGAAAATGTAGTTACATGTAGAAAAAAGAAGAGCCTTTTAACCATCTTTCTTTTCAAGTACAACCCTTTAACCATCTTGGGTGCACAAGATATATATAATCCTATATACATATAACTAATATTCCCTCCATTCCAAAATATAAGACACAACCACCCTTAATCCAAAAACTAAGAAATAATTATTATCATATTGTAGTTTGGATCATCCTAATAAATACTAATGCATGCATCCAATAGGATTAGATAACATGGGAGTAGAGGATTTAAAAAGTAATAATTTAATGGAGAAGATGTCATAGTTAATGGTATGCTTGCATGTATGCCTTATATTATGGAACATATAAGAAAACTTATATTATGGAATGGAGGGAGTAAGATGTATCGAACTTATTTGTCTAAATATTAATTATAGAACTTTTCCTATGTTATAAATAGTACCATGTCTTGATACTATTTTTAAAGTTGACAATTAAGAAACCTCGAAAAAACATGGTAGGAAAATCGTCCGTTTGTACCCACAAAAGTATCTGTAAATATTCCTTCACTCCCCACCCCCCACCCCCCCCCCCTAAATTTATAGCAGCATTATTATAAACTGAATTGCTTTTGCTTCCATAGGTCGACACGGAATGTATCGTTGGCCAGGCCGCAGGACATAGCAAGCCAAGCTAAGTAGGACATAGATCACGTCTATTTTAAATTCTTCTAAAACTTGTTACTGTGTGTCCGTGGGCAAAGACTGGAGATATAATTCATTTTCATTATTAAAAAAATATAGCACATAGCTAGAAATTCATGCCCAAAAGTTTGTATTCAAATCGATGTAAATTTGCTCCAAACGTATCTGAAACTGTTGAACAAAGATGAACTATTTCCTCATACGTATAAAAATATTTGAAACTAGGAAAGACCGATATGTGGTGGTTCAGCTGGTTCAAATCATGCTGCTCATAAATATCACACGACGAAAATGCCTTCAATAAAATTGTAACTATATTAAGAGTGTTTCTTATAGGATGTGTTAAAGCGCACATTCATGCGTATATGCGCATGTGTATGACTTCCTTAAATGAAAAAAAAATATAATTTAAATAAACGAAATGAAAAAAAATGTTTGGAATTTACATGAGATTTTTTTGAGAGGAAAAAAAAACTTGCTACTCTCTCCGTCCCAAAATATAAGCATTTTTAGATCTTGGCACAGTCTTCACGATGTTACTTTTTTTTTGCGGGGATTCAAGATGTTACTTTAACCAACAATATACTCCCTCCGTACCATTAACTTTTTAGCATATGTTTGACCGTTCGTTTTATTTAAAAACTTTTGTGAAATATGTAAAACTATATGTATACATATAAGTATATTTAACAATGAATCAAATGATAGAAAAATATTAATAATTACTTAATTTTTTTAATAAGACGAACGGGTAAACATATTTAAAAAGTCAACGGTGTTAAATATTTAGAAACGAAGAGTATATAAAAGTAAAATATTTTAAATAAAAAGAGTTGCATATTAAGATAATTTGTTTAATGATAAAACCAGCAACATCAAATTTACATGATTAATCATTTTTATTTTTTTTGCTATTAGTTGTCAAAGTAAAAAAAATTAATTTAACATTATGTTAAAAATACTTATATATTAGGAGGAGGGAGTAATAAAAAGTTATTAAGAGAGAGAATGGAATAGATCTATGAGGACGGCCTGCGCAGCATCAACAATTTGTCACCCTCCCTCTCTCTCTTTCTCCAACCCTTCGACGGCGTCGAGCCTGTCGCGCCGCCGCGGAGCGGCGGAGGAAGACGAGACGATGGGCGGCGCAGGCGCGGCGGAAGATGGCAGGTTTGCCAGGCCGGCGCCGTCGTCTCCGAGGTCAGCGTGCTACTGCTTTTCTGACTTTTTTGCGTATGCCTGTGTGCTCGATTTCGTGTATGGACTTCGAACGCGCGTGGCGTGTTTGTGGAAATGCCTCTGAAAGTAGTAGCGCGCAGCACGCATTAACGCACTTGGGCAGGCGCAGCTGTGTGCCCGTTTTGCTCTATGCGCGTTATTATGCCGTTGTATGATGTGAGTTGTGCCGCTGACTAACTACCGTGGAATTGTAACCATATCTTGGGTGTGTCGACAGCCTGCTAACATTGCATTTGGTGCTGTCCTAATTCCAAAACACATAATAGATTCATGAGGTTATTTATATACAGTGGCGAACACAGAACCGTTTTTTTTTTTTTTTGCGGGGAAACACAGAACAAAATTTTTGGAGGTGTTAGTTAAAAAGACCAATACGAGATTATCATTAAAGTAAATAGTACCATTGTGTTATGAACACTATCGAAGCTTTTGTTGTTGATTTATACTGTCATGAGCTAAGCTAAGAAAAGTTAGCAAAAATGGATGTTAATGGCCAATACTAGCATCAATGGCTGTGTTGACATGTGTCTGCTTGCCTGCCATTAACGAGTGGCTGCAGCCTATACGCAATATCGCACCATGAGACCATGAGATTGGCTTGTATTAGTGTGGACTTGGTTGCTGAATAATGTATGGTTTCCAGGGGGCGTGCCGACAGTAGAGGGTGCCCAAGCCCTCTTTGCCCCCTGCTGCGTCCACCCCTGTTTATATATAGACTTAGTTATGGTAATAGAAGTAGCCTTACACAGTAGTTGCAAAGCAACATAGCTTTGCGCACCACAGGGGAGTGGGCACTCTACCAATTTGGAAAAATAAGAAAGAGAGGGCATACTAGCTAGGTTTATTCACACTACTTTTCCTCCACTGGAGAGCTCAAGGAATGCTTGCTTGATGGAGTGTAGTTCAGTGGAAACTTGTGCCATCCCTAACCGGTCTTTTGGTGATGCCATGGAGCACATGAGGGCCACCTTAACCAATGGGAGGAGACAACTTTGCATCAGTTCGGAGTTTCCACCATCCAAATCATTGTGTAGCATGTTGGGGTCTAAAATCTCAGTTACTCTGTGGGGAAATGCAGCATCCACGCGATCGTGGAGGCTCAAACCATCATTGAATTTTTCATCAGTTGGACGCTTTCCAGTTAATATCTCTAACAACAGCACTCCATAGCTGTAGACATCACCCTTTGTTGATATTTGCCCACCCATTCCATACTCTGCATTTTCATTTGAAAACATAAGAAAGGTGAATGGCAGAAAACTACAATCCATGTAACATTGGATAAGTTAATAAGATGGCTGAAGCATACAGGTCAATAAATCAGTATAAGTTTCCAATTTCTCTCACCTGGTGCAATATATCCAATGGATCTTTTTAAGTCAGCCAAACTTGTAGAGTTACCAGGCGCTGCTGTTGAATTAGCACACATAAATCTTGCCAACCCAAAGTCACTGACATATGCAATCATTTCAAGATCCAAAAGAACATTGCTTGGTTTGATGTCACAATGTATTACTGGGGATACACACTGGTTGTGAAGATAATCTAAAGCGTATGCAATGTCCAAGGCTAAGCTAATCCTTTCACCCAAAGTTAGGAATCTCTTTTTACCATGCCCATGGTCCTCTGGATGTAGCCACATTTCTAGACTTCCATTTGGCATATACTGAAAGACAAGTGCTTTAAAATCATAGCCATTTGGATCAATCGTAGAGCATAAAGTAATGATTTTGACAAGATTTCGATGGCGAATATATCTTAATGCCTCACACTCCGCATTGAAGCTTGTGGGTGCTCCGTACTTGTTAAGATCGGAAACCTTAATAGCAACTGGATTGGTCTCAAACGGCAACATGCCATTGTAAACAGCCCCAAAGGATCCCAAACCAACCAAATTTGTGGGAGAGAACCCATCTGTTGCTTTGGCGATATCTTCATATGATATCTTCCTCATGTTCACACTGGATTGCTGCAAACATGGTTTTTGTTTTCTTCTTTCGATAAGAACAGCCATTAAGCATAACAATGAAATTACAACAGACACTGCGATTGGAATTACTATTTTCAAAATAGTAGACTTGTGTTTACTTTGTGATCCTGATTCAGGGCAAAGGGGCAGGCTATACCCTGGATCATTCGCACACAGTCTGTAGTTTCCGGCCAAGATAACCCTGCTAGCATTACCAAAGACACCATTTGATGGTATTGGCCCTTCAAAATCATTGAATGAAAGGTTGAGTTTCTGCAAAGAACTTAAGAGAGTGAGGAACTCTGGAACTTTTCCTGACAAGCTGTTACAAGAGAGATCCAGCTCCTTGATGCTTTTTAAGTTCATGAAAGATCGTGGAATGCTTCCAGTAAGAAGGTTCCCTTCCATGTGAAGGTATTCCAAAAGCACACACTTCCCTAGAGTTGACGGTATTTCGCCAGTCAAGCGATTGTTTGAAATACTGATGCTTCCAAGATTTATGAGGTTGCCAATTTCTAGTGGTATGGGCCCAGTAAACAAATTGTGGGACAAGTCCAAACTTTGTGACAGGGAAGAGATGTTGAAGACCTCACTTGGCAGGCTTCCACCAAATGAATTGTGGGAGAAATCAAGCTTCTCTAATTGTCTCCACTGCCCTAAGTTTGAAGGTATGCTCCCGTTGAAGTTGTTCCCATCTAGATGAAACTCGGTTAGTTGGGCAAGGTTGCCAATAGAATCAGGAATAAGGCCCGAGAGGTTATTTTGTGCCAAGCTTAGAACCAGTAAGTTGCTAAGATTTCCAATGGTTGGTGGGATGCTCCCACTAAACATATTCTCATCCAAATACAGAACACTGAGACTCTTAAGGTTACCAATCTCTGATGGAATTGTCCCAGAAAGTTTGTTTTGCCTGAGCCACAACCAGTTGAGCTGTGAGGGAAGATTACCGACTGAGCTAGGCAAGGTTCCTTGGAGAAAATTGGCATCCAAGGCCAACTTTTTCAGTTGAGTGCAGTTTGCAAGGGATGAGAGGAAGCTCCAGTCCCCTGCTTCAAGCTGGTTGTATCCAAGATCAAGGTCATGCAAGTTTGGCAAGGATCCAAAAGATGGCACTATACCAGTGAGACCAGCAGCAGCAAGATAAACCATTTCTAGCTTGGACATATTGCGAAGAGAAGCTGGGATCGGCCCATTTAACTGTGTTGTTGATAGGATTAAGGCTTCAAGGTTTGGAAGTCTGTTGCCTATATCTGGTGGTAGTTGGCCGATGAGTGAGTTATTGGCCATGCTAAGATATTTCAAAGATGATATGTTGAAAATAGCCTGTGGCACATGACCAGTCAAATTGTTGTATGTGAGAACTAGCCTCTCTAGGGTTGGGATCTTACTTAGGCTCTTAGGGATGCTCCCCACCAAGTTATTTGCTTTTAAAGAAACATGAACCAAGGAAGAAAGGTTGCCCAGTGAGGCTGGTATCCCTCCTGTGAGTTTATTCTGCTCTAAACTAAGGTATTGAATAGGTGCAGCAATTGCTGTAATAGGTGGTATGGAACCAACTAAGTTGTTACGGTCCAGGTAAATGGTTGTCAATGTGGAGCTGTTGAAGAGGGCTGGAGGGATCTCTCCTGTAAGACTATTTTGCGTGAGCCTAAGCACTTGAAGGGATGAGCTATTTACCAAGAACTCTGGGATTCCTCCTGTGAGCTGATTGCCCCCAAGATCAACATATACAAAAGACGGGCTACTGCCCAACAATGGTGGTATGTCACCTCTGAGGGCGTTGTTGGAGAGATCCAAAGTTTTCAGCTCAGGAAGCGTTCCAAATCTGGTGGGTATACTGCCTTCAAGCTTGTTGTTGTATAGTATAACTTGCTGGAGGCGAGTGCATTGGGTTAAGCTTGGTGGTATCTCACCTTCGAAGGAGTTGTTCGATAAGCCGAGTACCTGGAGATTGCTGCATGAGGACAGCTCATCTGGAATACGGCCTTCAAGAGAGTTGATGCTCAAGTTCAGGTAGCTGATTTGTCCCAAGCGTCCGAGCTCACTTGGAATTTTTCCAAGGAATGCGTTTCTTGATAAGTCGAGGCTTGCGATGGAGCTCAGATTGCCGATGCAAGGTGGTATTGAACCACTGAGGCCTTTGGAGCTGACGTTGAGCACCATGACTCGGAGTTGGGTCTGGGTGTTGTTGCATGAAACACCCTGCCAGTTGCAGAAGTTCTGGGAAGTGTTGCTCCATGAGCTTAAGGATCCGTTTGGATCAGAGATTTGAGACTTGAAGCAGAGCAGGGCTTCTCTATCAGTGTCAGTGTCATCGCTGATTGCTAATGGCAGAGAGCATGAGATGATAAAAACAGCCAAGAGTGGAATGAATTTTGGGAATGGAGCAAACAAGCGGATCATCTTGCTGTTCATGCTGTGGCTTTCTCTTGCTTATGGCATTTTAAGTGCAGGCAGGCACACACTTGTCTTATATTCGTATATTCCAATGATTGTGCCTACTGCTTTTTGCCCCAAATGAAAACTGCGTTCTAACTCTGAATCAGCTGCTGCATTGTTTCTTAGCCAGAACCTTTGAGTTGACTTCATTTTCTCAGGTCAATCACATATTATGTGCTTGGTTACTTTATTTTTTTTTAATATTGCTGGGTTACTTTATACTGTCGAGTATTGGTGGAGATGCCTAATGTGATGTCCCCATTATTGACTGAAGGATTACAATACATATAATTATATATGATTTTAGATGGGAGAGTGGTGCCTAACTTGTATTTCAAAGATAGCCGACAGTGAATATCTTATGTGTGTGATCATTTCACATATGATGGTGCCAGTTGAGTTTGGTGGTGAAAAATGACTGCAAAATTTGCATGCTGATAAATGAGTTGGATGGGTAGACGCACAACACTAAAATAAAATCTACCATTGTTGACTAGAATCCTCTTCTTTCAATATGCTTCTTTCTCACGTAACTGACTTTTCGCATGCTATCTAATATCCAGTCCACAAGGTGTATTGGTTCCATGTAATTTCTGAATATGCCCATGCAGTGATCGACCTATGCTATTTGGCTGCTTTTTTTTTTGTTTACTGAATAGCAAGGTAGGGGAAGCTAGAACCATCAGCTAAAGATATGCTCCGGTGCCTTATGTGGTACTCCCTCCGTAAAATTATATGCCTACGTAAAAATATATTTAACAATGAATTAAATGATAGGAAAAAAATTAATAATTACTTAAATTTTTTGAATAAGACGAACGGTCAAACATGTGCTAAAAAGTCAACGGCGTCAAACATTTTGAAACGGAGGGAGTATTTTTCATATGCGAGTGTGACTACAACCTGGTTAGTACGGGTATTTTACTTCTGTTGAGTTGGTCATCAGGCTAATCAGAAATATCAGATGGGACCTGATGGCTTTTGAGGCTGTGAGCTCAGAGTGAAAGATAGCACACAAAATCTTCAACCCGGAGCTCAGAGCTCGGTTTCTGTTGCTGTTGGTGCTGTGGCTTGCTTTCGCTCATGGCATTTTTAGTGCTGACAGGAACACACTTGTCTTAGGCCTCCTCCAACAAGGGTGAGTCAGCTAGCTCATAAATCTCCACATCAGTTTTTGTATGATGTGGAAGAGAGAGAAGATAAGGAGAGAGAGTGCACTATCTCTTCTTCAAGAGCTAAGCTCCTAAACAAAATGTGAGAAGGGTTGTGGAAACCAAAGCATTTTAAACAATGTGCTATGAGACAACCTATTAAAAAGATAGACTTTTTGCTATCTCTTGTATGAGGTGGACAAGCATAAGCTAGTGCACTAGCTCAACCATTGAAGGATGCCTTATACTGCTTCTTGCCCCAATACGAAAGCTGTGTTCTAACTCTGGGAAGGAAAATATGAATTATTGCTGCATTATTTCTTAGTCAGAAATTTTGAGTTGAGTTCATTTTCTCAGGTCGATCATATATTATGTGCTTGACTACTTTTATACCGTCTAATATTTGAGGAAGCGCCTAATGTGATGCCCTCTATGCAGTGCTGAGTGAATTATATGTTGTGCATCTCGCATGTCATGTGTGCAGATGGTAGACATGCGGCCAATTAAACAATAGGCTAACTTGATGTTATAAGTAAAAGTAACCAAAATTAAATATTCATATACTTACTGTAATAAAATGTGTGAAAACAATAAAAAAAGGTGCCATTGCATACGCACTGCCTTGTTTCTTTATTGAGACTTAAGGTTTCTAATAAATGAGAGAAAATTCCAAGCATCATGTTGGGTTTTAGCGAGCACAGCTGGACTTGAGTTCCATGGGTCATGCGTGTTACTACTAACACCCTGTCTCCGGCATCTGCATTAGTTGTAATAAAAAATAGTCATATGTTTCAATCTATTAACATTCTTTGTTGAGTAAATTTCACAAAACTACGTATTTAACTCAGTGTATCACAAAACTACACATTTAACACCAAATTTATCATAAAACTACACATTTAAGATGAAGTGTCACAAAATTACATGTTTAGTAACTAAATTATCATAAAACTACATGTTTAGAACCAATTTAATCACAAAGTAATAATGTTTATAGCTCCACCATAACAATGGTGCTAGGGATTTAAACTCCAAAAGTTGTAGTTTTGTGATAAGTTCAATATTAAATATACATTTTTGTGATACTTAACCTAAAATATGCAGTTTTGTGATAAATTTGGTGCTAAATGTGTAGTTTTATGATACAACTTCTTAAATCTGTAGTTTTGTGATAATTTAGTCAAAATACATGTAGTTTTGTGAAAATTACTTTTCTTTGTTTCATACGTAATAGCGATATGTTTCAATGTGTATCTTCAATATGTTTCACAAAATTTCTAAAATTAACTGCACTACTCTCTCTCTCTCTCTCTCCACCTCATCCATACATGCATGCATGCATGCATTTTAACAAGTTTCAAAAAAAAAATTTCTCCTAAACTAATTATCCGATCTACGATCCGATCACACCGTTGTATTCTTTGTAATTAAATCTTTACAACAAGATATCACATGATTATATTTTGATGAAAGAAAAACATATGTTTCAATCCATTAACATTGGTTGTTTTATATGTAATAGCGATATGTTTCAACGTGTATCTTAATCATGTTTCATAAACTTTTTAAATGTTTCAGTTGCTGATTTTTTTTCACACTAAATAACTTGATGTTTCACTCGTTAGTTAACTGGGACATTTGTCTGACTGATTTTTTTTTTGCATGCTGCATACGCAGGTGGTGTGATGACGCGCGGCATCCAATATTTGGTGGAATATCGGATGTCCGACGCGGAGTCTTCTCCCAATTTAAGGGATCATTGACAGCTGGAAAAAGCCAAACAGTTCACGTTACAGGTAGAGGATACTCAACCACGTTTTTTTTTAGGTACATGGGGGTCAGGGGACTCCCCACCTCAACCACGTTTTACATTATACCATTTGTAACCATCAACTATATTATCGTTCTTCTTCTAACTATCATTTCTTTCTATATACTCCCTCCATTCCTAAGTATTTAAGTATTTGATGCCGTTAACTTTTTTAAATATATTTAACCGTTCGTCTTATTCAAAAAATTTAAGTAATTATTAATTCTTTTCTTATCATTTCATTCATTGTTAAATATACTTTTATGTATACATATAGTTTTACATATTTAACAAAAGTTTTTGAATGAGACTTATGGTCAAACGTGTATAAAAAAGTCAACGATGTCAAATATTTAGAAACGGGGGGAGTAGTTGGTACCCACTATAAGCATTAACTCCTATAAAACAAGCTCCACGTTAAGCCACATCATCAGCGCATTAGAGCCGACGGATCTAGCACATTGGAGCCATTAGATCAATTGCCATGTTGGTTTAACAAGCATATGCATGAATTGTCCAAGGCCTCAAGGGCCATTCATAATCTATATCTATATCTATACTAATATAAAAAGGAGGAGTTTACCCCTTTAATCCTACAGGCTAAATCTCTACCGTCCATCCGTAGATCAAGTATAATCCGTACCGTCCACCAATCTCCACCGCATGATCTCATAATCTCCACGCACAACGACTACGCCTCACCCTCTCCAGGCGTGACTGGGGGCTCCTTCTCCTCGCTCCTCCTCACATGTACTGTTGCCACCGTCTCGCTCCTCCGCTGCCTTCTCTAGAGCCGACTTCTTCCCCAGCCGCCGTCCCCGGAGCCGAGGTCGTCCCCTTCCGCTGCTGCCACGCACTCCACCTACCCACGCCGGAGCCGCCGTCGTCCCCAGCGGCGGCCGCCGCCGAAGCCCACCGCTACCCTCGCCGGAGCCGACTTCTTCAGTCGCCGCTGGCGCCGTGGTGGTTCCTGACGGCGAGGTCTTCCCACCTCCGCCGCACTACACTGCAGCCTCCCCTCGCCGACGCTGTGGTGGTTACCGCCGGCAAAGTCCTTCCCCGCCGCCGCCGCACTCCACTGCCCCTGCTGGCACCGTGGTGGTTCCTGACGGCTAGGTCCTTCCCCGCCGCCGCCGCCGCACTCCACCAGTTGGGTTGATTGCCGATACTCTCTTGCTTCTAGCTACCTCAAATCATGAGAGAGCAGGGAAATAAAGGCATTCGTCCAGCGCTAGCGCCGATAGCCCGCTTGCCTTACCTCCACCGTGTCAATCCCCTCAACGATCCCCTTCGCCCCCATCGTCTCGTCCCGCTGGTGCTCACCTCCTCCTACTCTGCCACACAACTCGGTGCTCTCTCTATTGTCGCATGTTCCCCTCTCGCCTTGCATGGTTAACGCTGAGGAGTACTAATGTTTTGGATGCTATAGATTTTATACCAGAAGTCCAGAACAACATCCATCGGCATGAATATAGTTGTTTCAGGTTGTTGAATTGCTTGTCAATCCCCTTTCGATTTTCCATATGAAATATACTCAGATCTTAGATCCATCCCCTCATGTTGGTTCATGTGTGATTGTCCGTTGCAGAGCATAGCTTCATCAAGCCAAATTTAGGGCCTATTTGGATTGTTACCCTAACAATTTTTTGGTAGTACCAAAATGTAGGCAAGTTTTGGCACTACCAAATCTTTGGTAAGGTAAGATTGCATTGATCATATTTGGTTTGCTACCAATATATAGCTAAAATGTAAAATTGTAGTGAAGAATGTTCTAGATGATACCAAATCTAAATTAGGTATTACCAATGAATAGGCTTCAATCCAAATTAAACACAACTACTATTCAAATTACCAAAATATTGGTAGGGCATGTTTTTGGTAGCAATCCAAATAGGCCCTTAATGTTTGATTGGGACCAAACCAAGACCTTCTCCAAGTTCACTTCCATCTCACCACGTCACTTTTGATCCATATAAGACAAGATATAAAGTTCTACACGTTTTGGATTCGGATTCAGACCTCCTGACAGCATCAACTTCAAACGGACCTAACCGCTGATATAGAAGGAATTTCGGGGCCCATGAGTACTTGTTGGAAAGCTTATGCAGTCTACTTTCAGATGATTTTGGTTCCACATCAAAATTCCTACCGAGCTGCCGGGAATATGCAAAACAAGCCACACACCTCATCCAGTCCGAATCTGATTTTGGTTTTGGGCCTTGTAATTGTGTCATGGGCTTAGGCCAAAGGGGTGTGCGCCCTAGGGCAACCCTAGGACGTTCCTAATCATATTTATTCAGTAGCCTGTTTAGATTAATCTGTCAAGAACAGTTTTGCCGCTATATCGGTTTGTGGAACTCCAAATTTGTGTGCTTAATCATTCATATGCAACTGTGTTGTAATATATCTTGTTCTTGCTTGTGTTCTTCGATTCATATTCAGGGATTAGCCTTCTCGGCAAGGTCAACTGGGTTTCGGCACAGTTGATAACTAGAGGAGACGTGGTGTTGTGATTGTGGGGCTCAGTAGCACGCTCGTTCAGAAGCCGGATCGAGTTGCGTCACGACTCCGCTCAAATCAATTGTTTATCAATACCTATTGATAGATCGGGATCTAACATCCTTATCACCAAGTTCCGCTGGTGATAAATAAAAACCTCGGAGAGAATGATAGCAATGCGCCAAGAGTAATTGTATTTATCCGTGAGATAAATTATAGGGATCCTGGATATACAAATTTATACATATAGACCGATAAAAGTTCTATTTAGATACGATACAAACTTTTGTAAAGATGAAAAAAACATTCATAAATACAAAACTTACCACCCATGTCGTGGTAATATTAACTCCTCAAACTCGATCTCTGTTGTATAAGTCATGTGATACTTCGTTAATTAAATGTACTTAAAAATTCTTACCAAATTTTAGCATGCCAAATTTTGTCTAAGGCCCGGTTTAGTTCCCACATAAAAACTTTTCACGCTGTCATATCAAATGTTTGAACACATGTATGAAGTATTAAATGTTAAGCCTAATTACGTCATGGTTTGACAACGTTGTGCTACAGTAAATATTTACTAATAACGAATTAATTAGATTTAATAAATTCATATCGCAGTTTATAGGCGAAATCTGTAATTTGTTTTATTATTAGACTATATTTAATAATATTTTTAATATATATTCATATGTACCATGTCTCATGTGACACGCATAAAACTTTTTTTCGGCGGACGATGGGCCCAACACAACATCTCGATCTGGTCCGATGAGATAACTGTCCCGTATGGCCGTATATATTGCCCAACAAAAAAAAAAGAAAAGAAAAAAAAATTGCTCCCCGACCTCCCGTGCCGCCCGCTAGGCCGCTACCGAGATCTCGCCCCGCCGTCCCCGAGATCCCGCCCCGCCGTCGAGATCACGCGCCACCGAGGAGAGGAGATTCGGCGGTCCGCCTATCGCGTGAGGACGAGCGAGACTGCATACTCCAGAAGGTGCGTGATTTCTTCCGGATCGAAGATACTCTTTGTCAAAAGGAAAAAAAAAGGGTATATAGAAAAGAAAAATTTTGAGTAGAAGAATATCAACAGAGACGATGATGCGGCGGTTTGTGAATTTGGTGGTGGACACCGCCGGCGGCGGCGGCGACGCGACGGCGTACAAGCTGTACCGCGTCGCTGCATCGGCCCTCTTTTCATGTCCAGCACGTCGGCAAGCAGCCAAAGTACTAGATCCAGATGACGTGGAGGACGCCGCCGGCGGCCTGCCTCCTCCGGCCATCACCTTCCACCCTTCCTCATTGTCCGGCCCTGGAAACGTCGATTTCTTGTACCTCTACGGCAGTGGCGGCGGCAGCGACGGCGACGACAGCCTTCTCGCCCTCGACGTCGACGGCCGTGGTCTGCTCTACAGCGCCGCCTCCGCCGCCGTCCGCTACATGCCCGACCCGTGCAAGCCCAAGATCGAGCCAATCTCCTTCACCGCCGACGATGGCCGCCTCTACGTCATCGAGAGGGTGCCCTTGTCCGGTAACCCCGGCTGCTTCGAGGCTCTCACCTACGGCTTACTCCCCGACGACGACGACTCACTGTCCTCCAGGATGGGCTGGTACTGGCGGTCTCTTCCGCCGCCTCCTTTCGCCAAGGCTGGCTACGACATCACCGCCTCCGCGGTGGTGCAGTTGAACGAATCGAAGGAGCTCTGGGTGACGGCGGCGCACGGAGCCGGGACCTTCTCGTTCGACACGAATTCCAAGGTTGGGGAGTGGAGGGAGCTTGGCGAAAAGGGGATGCCGTTCATGGGGCGCGGCGAGTACGTGGAGGAGCACGGGCAATGGTTTGGGCTCTCCTCCACGCCGAGGCTGGGGCTGTACCTCTGTTCCTGCGATCTCTCCTATCTCTGCTGTTCCTACGATGCGCAGGTGATGGTCAGGTGCTGGTTGGATGGCCTAGACCGGCTGCCGGCGGCGGCGCCGCCCAAGCGATCGTTACTGATGGAGACCTATGCCGTGCACCTCGGCTCCGGTAGGTTCTGCATCGCCAGGTTCATGGAGGAGGAGGAGCAACACAACATCTCACTTCATCCATTCTTCCGCGTCGCCGGCGAAAAAAGCAAGAACGACAGGTTCTTGCTGCTCACCGGCGTTGATGTGGTGGGCAGTGACGACGCCGTCGTCGTGCACAAGTCTATACGCTACGCATTCCAAAACGGTGATTTCGTTCGTGGTTACTCTCGAGTCTTTTAATTTCATCATCCCCTAATTTACTTATTACACCTCTCTAGTCTCCGGTAAAACTAGCTATATTTTGTTTTGTGACGGAGTGAGTATATCATTTATATATATCCCTTTTCCTTTTCATTTCGAGCGAGATTGCAATAATAATAATGGTACTCCATTCGTTTATATTACCAACAGACAAGGAATTCACAGCCTTATTAAGAGGTTGTCCTCTTATTATATATGCTCCTTCTTCATTCTGGAAAATTTAGCTGCAGCTATTTTGACAATTAAGAAAGCAAAATGTTGTAAAATTTGGGCACAATAAAATGATATATCTTCCTTAGCAGTTAGCAGAGCAACAACATCCCAAAGCTGAAATGTTTTTGACCGGAGTGATGCACCTGCAACAGATATTCCAAATAGATTCGCTCTACAAAATTAAACTATTCAACTAGTTCCATCTCATTGCGCGCCTGCGCCTGCCTGATGTGTTGTTCATTGTATCTCAAAAATCATATTTGCAGCAGAGCAGAAAAAAAATCATTTGCAGCATCAGTAATCCATAGTTATTATTAATTGCTCACATCACATCCGGTGGCTCATGGACGCGAGCAAATGGGTAATAACGCAATATATATAGCTGGATGAGATGATCATGGCATGTTGGCGGCGTGATCGTGATCGATGGCGGCGACGGGGAGGTGAGTGGAGGAGGAGGGCGGCGGCTGGTCGTCGTCCTCGTGGCAGCAGAGGCAGAGCATGCCGCGGAGGAGGTTGCACTTGCCGCCCAGGAAGCCGAGCTGCTTGCAGCAGGCGTTGCACTTGCCTCTTATGAAGCCTGATACTGTGCTGCACTTGCTTTGATTTCTGCTGGACTGCAACTGCAATCTAAACAGTTTGTTTCAGTCTCCCAGATGATCAGCTTGCAATTGACCAATCATTCAACCAACCGTGTGTGCTGATTCTGGTCATCAGAATATATACTCATATCATATTTGTGCTGCATTTTGTTTCTAATCCTGAAAGATCAACATTCTGTGATCTCTGCAAGACTGCAACCGCAAATCCAAATGGTTTTGTTTCAGTCTCTCAGATGAACAGCTTGCAATTGACCAACCATTCAACCAACCGTGTAAGCTGATGACCGAATGAAATCCAGTTGTTCAGGACACAGCAAGTTGGGGAAGAAACTTTGCAGAATTGGATAAAGGGGCATTGATACTAGTATACCTTTGCTTGATGCAATCAAAGGGTTGACTCAAATCGGGCTGCACCTAACTCTTGACAGCCAGAGGATGGTGCTGACCAAAGATTTCAATGGGCAGAGATGTGCAGGCCATCAAGGGGGCAGCAGGCAGCTGAGCTGGGGATTAGCTGTGAGACCTTGGCACTTTGTCAATTGACAATTGTCACCGCTTCACTGCACAACTGTATCAGCTGTATGTACTCCTAGTTCAACTAATTTGTCCTGGACCCCATGGATGGTAGTAAGATGATGGGCCTGTTCACTTTGATGTCAAAAAAAACCTTAATAAGGTCAAAATTTTAGCAAATTTTGGTAAATTTTGGCATGATTTCTTATATAGTTACCAAAATTTAGCAGGAAACTAAATGTAGCCACTTTTTTGGTAACTTTACCAAAATTTGGTAAGTTTGAAAATGGCATCAAAGTGAACATGCCCGATACTACTACTACTAGTATTTTGTGACTAATCTTGCAGCAATCCTGAAGCTGTACTACTGTCTGTGAATATTCTAATCCATCATTATATCCTTTCTGGAAAGGAAAAAAGAATGTGTGCGCTTAGCTGCTGCTGCTCTTGTAGGAAATAGAATCTTCTTTACTTATGTTATCCTTATGATCAAAAGTTGACTCCAGTGGCCAAAGGATTTGTGGTATCAGAACACTAGTGCACGTCCACTATATATATATGTCTCAGAGGGCAATTAGTTTCTTGTTTTTGCTTCTTGACAGGATCATATCAGCAACTGTTCATTCAGCATTTAGAATTGGATTTGATACAATTACAGCAGTGCATAGTGAATGTGCAAATCCTTGTTTTCTTCCAGCAGATGATCCTCGTGGTCCTGATCAGTAGAGTGATCTGGATGCAGCTGCCTTGAGCAGAATAGAGAAGAAGAACAACACCGCTTTACATCTGAAGACTGTAATGAGCAATGTTCAGTCTCAGCTATTTATGAGCCCTGGAGCCTTATCATCCATCTTTCCTTCCATCACTTGCTGGGGTAGCATTGACGAAGTCATGTGGTAATAACTCATTCATCAACAAAAGTACTGGTGGCCGTGCTGTTTGACCCTTGCACAGTTGCAAGGTCACACAGATACACTACACCGATGTGCCAGCCAAAAAAGCTGATGCACTCCAAATTGCATTCTGAATTAATTTTTTCTGATGGATCGTCCGGTCCAGATTGTCAAGAAATTGGATGTATATGGCTGGAAGGAATAGATTCTCCACAGTTTGTCAAGCAGTAGAAATGACCGGATCAAATCAGGGCCGAAAGCTCCAAGCTTTCCAATTTTCAAGCCAGGAAGGATGAGAAGAATCAGTCAATCCACCCCCCTGTAAATCAGCTGTCTCTCTCCAAAATCCAATAGGAATCCTGCATCTTCAGAGTCATCTCATCTTGTCGATGTTGATCTCAACTTGTGCATGCAGATTTCACTTGGGTAGATGCTGCAGGAAGGATCAGCAGCTTATGACAATCCATTCACAGAAGAGAGCAATATGACAACTATCTGTATCTTGCAATACTCCATGGGAATGACCCCATTCATGTTACTGGACTCATTTCTATTGTCCATATTGCTACTAGCTAGCGTTAACAAGATAAACAAAACTTATTAATCCCATCAGGGCGCAATCAGAACCCAGGACTGAGTAAATAATTTAGAAAAAAAGAAGACATAATGTCAAAAAAAGAAAGAAGACACGATGTACATGTAAATTTGTTCGTGACGAGCACCCGAACGGAGCGCAGCAGAAAGTGAGCGGGTTTATACTGGTGAGATACTGATCGTCTAATGTTCCGGTGGTGCTTACAAATGAAAAGGCGGTAAGAATTGAAAGCAATTCATGCCATGTTTAAAAGCTCAATTTAAGGGATCATTGACAGCTGGAAAAAGCCAAACAGGTCACGTTACAGGTAGAGGATACTCAACCACGTTTTTTTTAAGGGAACACCGGGGGGTCCCACATGTCAGTGACTCAGTGTCACCGAGAATCTCACTGAATCTGCGTCGGGGGGGGGGGGGGGCTCCCCACCTCAAACCACGTTCATTTGTAACCATCAGCTACGTTATCGTTTTTCTTCTTCTAACTATCATTTCTTTCTATATACTCCCTTCATTCCTAAATATTTGACACCGCTAATTTTTTTAAATATGCTTAACCGCTCGTCTTATTCAAAAAATTTAAGTAATTATTAATTCTTTTCTTATCATTTCATTCATTGTTAAATATACTTTTATTTATACATATAGTTTTACATATTTCACAAAAGTTTTTGAATAAGACTTACGGTCAAACGTGTGTAAAAAAATCAACGACGTCAAATATTTAGAAACAGAGGGAGTAGTTGGTACCCACTGTAAGCATTAACTCCAATAAAACAAGCTCCACGTTAGGCCACATCATCTGCGCATTAGAGCCGTTGGATCTAACACATTGGAGCCATTAGATCAATTGCCATGTTGGTTTAACAAGCATATGCATGAATTGTCCAAGGCCTCAAGGGCCATTCATAAACTATATCTATATCTATACTAATATAAAAAGAATGAGTTTACCCCTCTAATCCTATAGGCTAAATCTCTACCGTCCATTCGTAGATCAAGTATAATCCGTACCGTCCACCAATCTCCACCGCATGATCTCATAATCTCCACGCGTGAAGACTACGCCTCACCCTCTCTAGGCGTGACTGGCTCCTTCTGCTCGCTCCTCCTCACATGTACTGTTGCCGCCGCCTCGCTCCTCTGCTGCCTTCTCTGGAGCCGACTTCTTCCCTAGTCGCGGTCCCCGGAGCCGAGGTCGTCCCCTTCCACTGCTGCCACGCACTCCACCTGCCCACGCAGGAGCCGCTGTCGTCCCCAACGGTCGCCGCCACCGAAGCCCACTGATGCCCTCGCCGGAGCCGACTTCTTCTCTAACCGCTGCTGGCGCCGTGGTGGTTCCCGACAGCGAGGTCTTCCCACCTCCGCCGCACTACACCGCAGCCTCCCCTTGCCGATGCCGTGGTGGTTCCTGCCGGCGAAGTCCTTCCCTGCCGCCGCGACACTCCACTGCCCCCGCTGGCATCGTGGTGGTTCCTGACGGCTAGGTCCTTCCCTGCCGCCGCCGCACTCCACCAGTTGGGTTGATTGCCGATACTCTCTTGCTTCTAGCTGCCTCAAATCATGAGAGAGCAGGGAACCGATAGAGGCATTACTCCAGCGCTAGCGCCGATAGCCTGCTTGCCTTACCTCCACCGTGTCAATCCCCTCACTGATCCCCTTCGCCCCCATCGTCTCTTGCCACTGGCGCTCACCTCCTCCTACTCTGCCACACAACTCGGTGTTCTCTCTATTGTCGCATGTTCCCCTCTCGCCTTGGTTAACGCTGAGGAGTACTAATGTTTTGGATGCTATAGATTTTATACCAGAAGTCCAGAACAACATCCATCGGCATGAAGATGAGTTGTTTCAGGTTGTTGAATTGCTTGTCAATCCCCTTTCGATTTTCCATATGAAATATACTCAGATCTTAGATCCATCCCCTCATGTTGGTTCCTGTGTGATTGTCTGTTGCAGAGCATAGCTTCATCAAGCCAAATTTAATGTTTGATTGGGACCAAACCAAGACTTTCTCCAAGTTCACTTCCATCTCACCACGTCACTTTTGGTCCATATAAGACAAGAGATAAAGTTCTACACGTTTTGGATTCGGATTCGGGCCTCCTGACAGCATCAACTTCAAGTGGACCTAGCCGCTGATCTAGAAGGAATTTCGGGGCCCATGAGTACTTGCTGGAAAGCTTATGGAGTCTACTTTCAAATGATTTTGGTTCCACGTCAAAATTCCTACCGAGCTGCCGGGAATCTGCAAAACAAACCACACACCTCATCCAGTCTGAATCTGATTTGGGTTTTGGGCCTTGTAATTGTGTCGTGGGCTTAGGCCAAAGAGTGTGTGCCATAGGGCAACCCTAGGACGTTCCTAATCATATTTATTCAGTAGCCGTCATCGTTTAGAGTGTGGGTTTTGCTTAGATTAATCTGTCAAGAACAGTTTCGCCACTAGATCGGTTTGTAGAACTCCAAATTTGTATGCTTAATCATTCATATGCAATTGTGTTGCAGTCTATCTTGTTCTTGCTTGTGTTATTCGATTTGCATGCAGGGATTAGCCTTATCGGCGAGGTCAACCGAGTTTCGGCACGGTTGATAACTAGAGGAGACGTGGTGCTGCGATTGAGGGGTTGAGTAGCATGCTCATTCGGAAGCCGGATCGAGTTGTGTCACGACTCTGCCCAAATTGACTGTTTATCAATACCTATCGAAAAATCGGGACCTAACATCTTCATCACCAAGTTCCACCGGTGATAAATAAAAACCTCGGAATGAATGATGGCAATGCGCCAAGAGTAATTGTATTTACCTGTAAGATAAATTATAGGAATCCTGGGTATATATATTTATACACATAGACCTATAAAAGTACTATTTAAACACGATACAAACTTTTGTAAAGATAACAAAAACATTCATAAATACAAAACTTACCAGCCATGTCGTGGTATTCTTTAACTTCTTCTCAAACTCGATCTCTGTTGTATAAGTCATGTGATACTTCGTTAACTAAATGTACTTAAAAATTCTTAGCAAATTTTAGCGTTAACAGTTCTCCATGCCAAATTTTGTATAAAGCCATTTTCACGCTGTCACATCGAATGTTTGGTCATATGTATAAAGTATTAAATGTTAAGCTTAATTGCGTCATGATTTGACAACGTTGTATTTACTAATAACTGATTAATTATGCTTAATAAATTCATCTCGCAGTTTATAGCCGGAATCTATAATTTGTTTTATTATTAGACTATATTTAATAATACATATTTTAAATATATATTCATATGTACCATGTCTCATATGACACGCATAAAACTTTTTTCGGCGGACGATGGGCCCAACACAACATCTCGATCTGGTCCGATGAGATAACTGCGAGATACTCCAGAAGTACGTGGAGGAGCACGGGCAATGGTTTGGGCTCTCCTCCACTCCGAGGCTGGGGCTGTACCTCTGTTCCTGCGATCTCTCCGATCTCTGCTGTTCCTACGATGCGCAGGTGATGGTCAGGTGCTGGTTGGATGGCCTAGACCGGCTGCCGGCGGCGGCGCCGCCCAAGCGATCGTTACTGATGGAGACCTACGCCGTGCACCTCGGCTCCGGTAGGTTCTGCATCGCCAGGTTCATGGAGGAGGAGGAGCAACACAACATCTCACTTCATCCATTCTTCCGCGTCGCCGGCGAAAAAAGCAAGAACGACAGGTTCTTGCTGCTCACCGGCGTTGATGTGGTGGGCAGTGACGACGCCGTCGTCGTGCACAAGTCTATACGCTACGCATTCCAAAACGGCGATTTCGTTCGTGGTTACTCTCGAGTCTTTTAATTTACTTACACCTCTCTCCGGTAAAACTAGCTATATTTCCCTTTTTCCTTTTCATTTCGAGCGAGATTACAATAATAATCTTCTTCGTTTGTAATAGAGTAATAATCGAAATGCTGTATATGCTCCATTCGGCCATTCGTTTATATTACCAACAGACAAGGAATTCACAGCCTTATTAAGAGGCTGTCCTCTTATTATATATGCTCCTTCATTCTGGAAAATGAAAACTTTTTTTTTTGCTAGTTCGACCGAAGGATTGACCGACCAAATTTTACTAAGAGAGAAAAGGGGTTATAATTGTTTAACATTAAGCTGTCAAGGCAAAGTGACAACCAAACCAGTCATCACCCGAAAAGAAAAAGGGGAAACAGAACAGGGGCCAACTAATCACATTGTCAAAAAAAGTTCTTGCTTCCTTCTAATAATATGATGATTTCCTCTTACAGTACTACAATTTGGCTGCAGCTATTTTAATAACAATTAAGAAGGCAAAGTGTTGTAAAATTTGGGCATAATAAGATGATATTATCTTCCTTAGCAGTTAGCACAGCAACAACATCCCAAAGATGAAGGGCCCCTTTGAATCAAATGAATTACGAAGGAATTTTATAGGATTGAAATCCTATATGAAATTTTCTTATGTAGCCCTTTGATTCAAAGGATTGAAGTTTTCCAAATTCTACAAAATTCCTATGGAATGGCTTGTTGCATATAGGTTTTGGAGGAAACTTAGCAAGAGGTCCAACCTCTTGATAAAAATCCTTTGAGTCTATCTCTCTTATTTGATTCCTGTGTTTTTCCTGTGGTCCAATCAAACAATCATTCCTGTGTTTTTTCTGTGTTTTACAATCCTCTGTTTTACATTTACATTCCTGTCAGAATCCTATGTTTTTCCTATTCCTCCGTTTTTTTATTCCTACAATTCAAAAGGGCCCGAAATGTTTTTGACCGGAGTGATGCACCTGCAACAGATATTCCAAATAGATTCGCTCTACAAAATTAAATTATTCAACTAGTTCCATCTCATTGCGCGCCTGCGCCTGCCTGATGTGTTGTTCATTGTATCTCAAAAATCATATTTGCAGCAGAGCAGAAAAAATATTATTTGCAGCATCAGTAATCCATGGTTATTATTATTATTATTATTATTATTATTATTATTATTATTATTATTAATTGCTCACATCACATCCGGTGGCTCATGATCCAGCCAACATATATATGTACTCCAACTATACATGGGAGTAGGAGATGAGATTGGTATCTGCAGTGCATGCAAATAAGCAATATATAGATGGATGAATGATGATCATGGCATGTCGGCGGCGTGATCGTGATCGTGATCGATGGCGGCGACGGGGAGGTGAGTGGAGGAGGGCGGCGGCTGGTCGTCGTCCTCGTGGCAGCAGAGGCAGAGCATGCCGCCCAGGAAGCCGAGCTGCTTGCAGCAGGCGTTGCACTTGCCTCTCTTGTAGCACACCCCCTCGCACTTGTAGATTGGGTAGTTGCACGTCTCCGCCTCCGCCGCCCACTGCATCATCGCACCATCTGCATTTCCATTTCCAAATCCCATCTTATTTCTTTTCTTTTCTTTTCATTTTCTAGCTAGCTATAGCTGTTTGCATTTGCAATAATAATAACAAGGAAAAAGTACGTTTTACCCCCTAAACTATTTGGGTCGTTCGAATTACCCCCTTAGACTCTAAAACCAGTTATTTTACACCCCAAAATTTTCAAACCGGCCAAATTACCCCCCTAAGTCAATCCGGGGTGGTTTTGGTTTGACGTGGCGCACACGTGGCACTAGTTTGATTGATGTGGCAGTCCAACATGGAAATAACAATAATAAAAATGGTGGGCCCTACCTGTCAGGCACCTATTCTGATTATACGAGAGAGTGAGAGAGGGCAGAAGGGGTGTGGGCGGCGGAGCTCAAGGCTAGAGGCCATGGAGAGCGGCCGCCGGCGTGGATCTCGTCGCACCGGCCACCGAATCTCTCTCACCTCCTCTCTCTCATCTTCCTCTCTCTCTAACTCTTCCTCTCTCTCTTGCGCGTGGCAGCAGGCGGGCGGTGGGCGGCAGCAGGCGGGCGGCACGGAGGCGACGGTCTCTCCCGCGCCATCGCCACTGCCACCGCCACCGCCACCGCGGCTACGGTCGTACACCACCCGCGCGATGGCTTACTCCAGCTCGGTGCAGAGGAGGTCGCCACCCATGATGAGGCCCATGCCGAGCGCACGGAGGGCGGCTCGTCGGTCGTCGTGCAGCTGCTCCCACGCCATCTCCCTCGCCGCCTTCGGCCGCCGTCCTCGACTCCTCGCCCGCCGCCCGCAGCTGCCTCCGCCCCCTCCGGCCGCAGCTGCCTCCGCCCCCGCGCCACAGCTGCCTCCTCTGCTCACCGAGAGAGAGAGGGAGAGAGAGGCAGAGAAGCGCTACCTCTCGGCGACGCCATAGCCCGCTGCCCGCCGAGCCGTCGTCGGCTCCAGCTCCCCCTCTGCCGCCGCCAACCGCCCGGCCCCGCGCGCCGCCATCCCCCGCACACCACACACACCTACTCCCGCATCGCCGCCGCCCTTCACCACGGCGTTGTCGGTCGCCCACTCCGCCTCCGCCTCAGCCGCCCGCCACCCGCAGCGGCGCAGCCCGAGAAGCTCCGCTTCCGCCGCCAGCCACCCGCTCCGCCTCCGCCTCAGCCTCAGCGGCACGACGCCCGCCGCACAGGGACCTCCGCCTCCACCGTCGGCCGCCCGCTCTGCTTCCACCTCAGCTGCCCACCGCCCACCGCCAGGGGAGCTCCGCCTCCACCGCCCGCTGCTCGGGGAGCTCCGTCTCCGTCGCCGGTCGCCCGCTCTGCCTCAGACACCCGGCCGCCCGGGGAGCTCCACCTCCGCCGCCGGTCACCCGCTGCCTTGCCCGAGCGCGTGCGTGAGAGAGATGGAATGGTTGAGAGATTGGCAGATTGGTTTGAGGATAGGTATGACAGGTGGGCCATGTTTTTTTTTATTTTTTTTGCTGGTTAGATTGCCACGTTGGCGCCACGTGTGCGAGGTTAAGTCAAAACCACTCAAAACAGTGTTAAGGGGCCTTATTTGTCCGGTTTCAATAGCTGAGGATATAGAATGTCTGGTTTTTGAGTTTAAGGGTGTAATTCGGTCGACCGTGATAGTTCGGGGGGGTAAAACGTACTTTTTCCTAATAACAATAATAGTATTTTCCATCTTCTTCTTTTATTGCTGCATGTATATCAGTATATGCATTCATGCTAACTTGATAACTGAAACTAATAGTTAAGCACAGAAACTAGCTACTAGCTAATTAGTAGTAGTAATTAAGATGACTCACGCGAGGCGATGAGGACGGTCACTAGGAACAGCGCCACCACCGGCTTCATCATCTTCACAATCATCCTACTCGTACGCCTCAATGCTCACTCGCTATCTAACTGCCTGCAGGCCTCTTATATACTACTCGTTGCAAGCCTGCAGCGAGACTAGCTTTTGACATGGCAGCCCACAAAATTATGCTCCAGAGTTAATTAATTAACATCGTCTTGCAGGGGGTAGCCAACTGCCCAACTCTACTTCCTCTATGAATCATGAGAAATTTAATCACAAAATTTTAAACAGCCAAAACAAAAGTACAAGTCAAAACAGTCACCTGGGCCCTATATTGCAAAAGGGGACTTGTTTCAACACTGTCTCGCATCCCACTAGTGCTACTTGTTTCCTTCTGCTTTGAACTGACCTATTTTACACAGGGACATTCAATTATTTTGAAGATGTCAGACATGACATAATTAGTAAATGTTGTTAAAAAGCATGATAAAATACTAAGAGTTACTATCTGATTCAAATTTACTGGTTGTGAAGCCACAACACCAGGAGTAGTAATGCTACAACAGATTATACGCAGTAAGAGGTATGTTAAATGCACATCACATACCACTGCTATGATAATAACAAGATCATTCCAGTGTGCCTCATCAGCAAGTTGTACAGCTATGCTGTCACTTCCATCATTATTCTGTAAGTATAGTATAAAATTTATCATTACTCGCTAGAAAGGATATGCGATAAATTTCACCAAGGCTGTTCCTCTGTCATAGCATCAGATAACTCACTTTTCCCATACACCATTTCACGAATCCCCCATATATACTGCGGCATGCACTTCCAGACCCTTGCCTGCATTTGAATTTGTCAGTTATACCAGAAGGAGAAAAGAAGCAGTTCCATAGCATACTGATCAGTAAAGATGGAGTACTAGCAACAAAATACCTTGCTATGGAAGAAAGTTCACCATAATCTTCTTTCACATTCATTAGATTTCCAAGGGTGAAAACTACAAAAAGCAATCAGGTAATAAATATGTGCTTCCATTCACCTATTTAGATTTTTTTAAAAAAAAATCACCAATAAGATGATTGAACCATTGTCTGATCTTGGGTGGCATTATCAAATTTCAAAATATTTTAGACAATAAGTAGGGAAATATCATTGATATCAGAAGTAATAGACTTTACCAAAACAAACCAAGCCAGCAACCGAAGAGGCCAAACCAGCAGCAGTGGGGAAGTTGTTGTACGATGCTATGTGTACATGTAGCTTCCCCCAGTCCTCTTTCTTGATCCTGATCCCCTTCTTCTCATCCTCGACATCTTGAGCACGCTTCCGGATCTCCCTGAGGCAGCTCTGGAACCTCCCTCCTGACAAGGAGATCTCCTGCACAATTCCAAACCAAAAGCTAGCTTAAGACATAGTGATCATCCCTTAAGGTCTAGCGTGGTGGTAGATCACAGCTTTAAGTTTCACACCGTGTAAATATAGGATTTGACAGTTCGTAGTTAGATAGGATCAGTGACTGTAACAGCAACAAAGCTAGAAACACATACTAGATGCTAGTGCATATGAAATCAGAAATGTGATTCTTATTAAAATAACCAAAAAAAAAACTAGAGCTCCACTGCCTGTAGAATTTGTAGATGGGAAGAACACTGGAACCGAATCCCATTATTCAGATCTAAGCAGCAGTTGTCATCAGTTTGATGAACAGAGTCCCATTATTCAGAGGGGACAACAAAGCATAAGCATCAATGCGAAGCAACAACAAAAAAAAAAGTAGGAAGCAGCAGAGCAGAGAGATGGAAGAGTAGAGAGGAGGAGGACCTTGCCGTTGAGCCACATCCGGTCGGAGGGGAAGGAAGGGCTGACGGCGACGGTGGTGGTGGCGGAGAGGTGGTCGGGGTCGAGGGTGACGCTGATGCTGTCGTTGACGGGGAGGATGAGCGCCTCGTCCCTCTTCCCCCAGTACTTGATGACGGCGATGTTGGTGGGAGATCGGCCGGTGGCCATGAGCACCCACTGCCCCTCCTCCGCCGCCGCCATTGAAGGAAATCGATCTGCTGCCGCCCAGAAGAGCGAGCAACGCGCGTCAGGGATTCGGACTAGCAACCTCAACTAGTACAGTCCCAGGCAGCTTACCGGAACGGAAGCAACGACGGGGAGCGGGCGCGGGAGCAGTCGCCGGCGGCGGAGGCGGGAGGCGGGAGATCGGTGACGGCGGGGCGGAGACACCGAGAGGGAGGAAGACGAGAGTGAGACCGAATCTTGATGCAAAGCATGGAGTATTGCAACCAACAGATCCTTCGTTCTGAACAAGATGCAAAGCAGTCATACAACATACTCCGGGAGATTTACAATAATAACACTGCAAACATTAACCTTTACTGTAATGATACTGGGTCCATATTTTATAGACACAGATGGGCCCATTTGTCATCGTACATGCTTACAAGATTGGATTTGGCATTAGAACGAAGAGGCATGTATGCAACGCAGATGTCAGTGTGGCTTCTGTTGAGCTCGCATGTGCATGCTAGGCATGAATTTAGACTGCTGAAGCTTTGTTTTTCCTTTCCCATTTCAGAAAATTACTGAATTTTTGTTATTTGCTCTCAGTATATTGCATCATGTCCTTCTGTATACATACAATATCTGAAGAAGAAAAAATGGCTGTGAATAAGAGCAGACTCTTCAAGTGATGACAAGAGTATCTGTAATTCTTCAATCACCTTGAAACATTGTAATCGAACTATTTGTTCTCTACGTACAACTGAAATTTTGGTAGCATAGGATTCAAGTGCCAAACACATGGTTCATTGGTCATGGTCACGCAACAGCACAATTTACATGGTCCAACACTCATGCAGTCCACAATTTGAATCGAGTTTTTCTTCACAAATCAGAATGAGTAATATTGTGCACCACTTACGTCAAAACAAAAGTGATAACAGAAACGAAAATGATACCAGAAGTGCAAAGCAAAAACAGTGTTAAGAGCCTAAGAAACATTTCAAACATAACCATTCCCAGTTAGCATTCTTGCTATCCTCCCTCATCGTTGCTAGGCCGATCAGTGCCTATATGGACTCTTTCAGGATGTTGGGTGGGGTAGGGGAAAATCTTCTGCTCTCTTGGTGGTATAGGCAAATAATCTTGCCGGGTCCAGTAAGTGGAGAAGACCTGCCCTCATGAGCTTCAGGTGCAGATCAGGTAGAACCAAGGGATTTTTACCATGGATTAGAAGGTGCAGCTGTTCCCAAGTGTACATGCAAACACCCTTCCTGGCATAGTCATCCGAATGACAACAAAGCACTCTGTGGGCCCACAAGAACTCAATACCAGTGGGTACTTTGATTGTACCATCATCATTCAGCCATTGTTTGTCGCGGAACCACTGTCGCAGGAAGTTGTTCCCGTGCAGAACTTGCGGCCACTCCGTCCTATGAGGCAATTCACAAGAAATCCAAGATGCATATCTGAAGTTCATCCTGTTTGTCAGCAAGTTAAATGCATCAAGTAGAGCCTGCTGCCTCGAGTGGAGGGGTAACAATGATGCATGATAAGGTATGTTCATGCCCTTTGGTTCATATCGGTTTTCCATAGTATTGCAAAGGTGCAGGAAGTCAGGTGGAAGATCGAAATTATGTGGATTTGCGTACGCAAGCATTTGTTTCAGGAGCTTCATAGCTTCAAACCAGGTAGAATTGATGATTGCAGCTCTGCGAGACTCAGCTATAGGCCTCATAAGAATTCCATCTCTCAAATGAACTCTGCCAAGGGCACTGACTACCATGTCATCCATGCTAAGAGGTTTGTGAAGACATTTTCCTTGTAAAAGCATCACATAAATCTCCTCAAGATATGACTGCGCAAACACACTTCCCCTGCCTGTGAACATGAGTTGTTCTTTCGGTGAAATCAGCATTTGCCCCTTTGGTAGGTAAGTTTCACCCAGAAGTTGCACGTCCCCTGGAATACTAAAGAACACTGCATGACCCTGCAAATACTCTATCGGGTGCACAAATGGAATAGCAGAACGGGAGGATTGTAGAATGCTATCGTATTTTCTGCAAATTAATTAACTATTTTCAGTTCAATATAAACAAACTTGCTTTCAAACAGAAACAATAACTTTTTCTCTCTTAATGATCGGAGATGAATACTAGCACACAGAGTAAGCATTGAACATGAAGCAAAGGCAAAGCAGGAAAGAGTCATACAGTAAACTTATACTTCGATTCATCATAAACGAGTACTGAATCTGAAATATTAAGCAAGTCACACTTCAACTATAGAATCTGAAGTATTAACCAAACAACACTTCTACTATAGATACATGTTCCCAACTAACATAAGAAATATCAGCATACATGTAAACATCGAACATGAAGCAAAGGCAAAGCAGGAAAGAGTTCTTATACTTCAGTTCCTCATAAACAAGTACTGAATCTGAAATATTAAGCAAGTAACACTTCTACTATAGATACAGATTCCTAACTATTATGAGGAATACAGTTAAGCATCAAACATGAAGCAAAGTGGGAAAGGGTCATACACTAAGTTATACTCCATTCGCACACAAGTAATGAATATGAACCATTGGCAAGCAAAGCAATACGTGTACTATTCCCAACTAATAAGAAGCATTGAACATGATGCAGAATTACAGAATGAAGTATTTCACACTGAAAAACTGCACATAAGCAAAAGTGTTAAAGACTGTATAAACATACAAACTTACATCACATCTTCAGGAAGTTCATCCTGTGTTGGTGCATTGCTGCTGCTGCTGCAATACGCCTTGTTCTGGAGCCGCATGGAAGTCATCGATGTAGCCGAGGATCTTGTCCAAGTAGATCGCGGCGATGGTGAGAAGACAGCAAGGGCCCTGTTCGGTGGCGGTGTTAGCGGCCACGACGACGTCCAGGGCAGAGAAGATGCCGAGAGGAGTGAGGCGGGCGAGGTCGCCGCGGACGTCACCGACGAGGAGGAGCTGCCGGCAAGAGTCGCCGCTGTAGAGGGCGCGGTGGTGAAGACGGAGGCGAGGAAGGCGGGAGGAGTCGCCGCCGACGTCACCGACGAGAACGCGTTGGCGGTGAGAGTCGCCGCCGCAGAGAGCGAGTCGGTGACGATGGAGACGAGGGAGGAGCGGGAGGTCGCCGACGGGGAGGCGCGGGAGGTCGCGGAGGCGAGGGAGGTCGCCGCGGACGTCGCCGACGAAGAGGCGCTGGCGGTGAGCGTCGCCGCTGAAGAGGGCGAGGTGTTGACGAAGAAGACGGTGGAAGCAGGAGGAGTTGCCGCGGGCGTCGCCGACGAGGAGGCGCCGGTGAGAATCCGGGCGTGAGGGAGCGAGGAGACCACCAAACGGCGGATCATCTTGAACACCGCCATGACTGCAGCGGCAGCGAGGACGTACGCGGAGACCGGAGAGGGGGCCGATGCTTGCGACCGGTGGTCGGTGGCGTAGGATGTCGCGCTGCTTGGACCGAATGGCGCGCGGAGAAGCCCAACGGCGCGCGGCGAGGACGCGGAGAGGGTGGCGGCGTCGACGCGCCGTAGCGAGCAAGCGATCGTCGGAGAACCCCCTCACCTCTCACCGCCTCGCCCTCACGTTGGCGAGGACGACAAAGCAGCGCGGGACCCACCCACTGCCCTGGCAACCGCAACGAGAATCAAAACTAAATGAAGTACTCTGCAATGCCATGCAGGTGAGAAGATCACATACGGCAGGTGAGATGACGTCATCTGGGAATCTATCCGGGGGATCCCTTTTTTTTCTCCCTGTCAAAAGTTTGAATTCAACATTAAAAATTGATTTTCGAATTGAAAAAGGTTACATTCCGAGCCTTAAAAAAAACAATAGGCTAGATATAAATGCGATTACAAACACATAAAAGTGTGGATATTACAGACAGATAAAGGAGAGTTTTGAGTTTGTATGTATATTGTCTCTCTGACTTGTCCAAAAGCATATTTTAGCAACAGTGGATGTATGAACAAGTGGACCCGGACTCCAAAGGGAGTCATGCAGTAGTGGTTTATTATGACCACCATTATTCACGGACTATATCAAATCTTAAAATCATTTAGCATTATGCAGCACATGTACACTACATCACTACTTGTTTCCAAAACAAACCGGTTCCAAGATTGCTCAACAATAATACGCTGGAGTATCAGGCATTGCCTGGAGAGGCTGGACTGGAGCAATCTATGAGCAGAGTATCATATGAGATGTAACAATTAATACGGGCCAAACCAACGGCATGATAAAATGATATAGATAAGAATCAAAACGTTAGTGACTTGCTTTGATGAAACAGGAAGACAAAAACACAATAAGAAGGATGATCACAAGAAGCACAGCCATAGGCTAGCTAATAAAGATCCCCAAAGATGACCACAGGTAGCAGCAGAGGTGAGCATCAGTTACACTAAGAAAATGGCTAAAGATAAAAACGAGTACAAACACATACAAGTGTGGATAGGACATTAGGAATTGCTACGAGCGTACAAGCAACCACCCAGCTCCATACACACCTGGGGGCTGGGCAAAGCTTTCATCCTCTTTCTGGCCTTGGGATCAATCCCCTCCAGCATCCATGACATCGACGGTGAACTCGTACTCCTGATCGCAGCCCAGATAAGAATCGGACATCAGGTAGATCATGTACTCCTTTCTCCCAGCTTCTGAAGCAGCGGTGAACTCAAGCTTCACTCGAGCCCTCTTCTGAAGTGCAACCCTCTTGATTGCAAGCAACTGATTGGTAGAGCTATCACCAATTACCAGCCACCAGCCTTCTTCCTTGGGCTTTGGGTACCTGGGGGCATGAACTGGCCCCACCTCAGAAGGCAAGTTCGTCATGTCACGCTCCAGGGTCACCTGTACAGTTACATTGTCACCAGCCCTGATATCATCACCCTCGCGAACTTCGTAAGCCATATCGACATTGGGGAAACGCTTGAAGAATTCAATGATATCCTGCAGCTGAGGGTTTGATTGCTGCAACAGATCCCGCATCTCATCGATGCTCATCTCAGCCAGATCAAAGATGCTCTCAATGGGCCTCCCTTCATTCTCCTGACATCTCCGTGCCAACTCCTTGGTGAAATGTGGAAGTTGTAAAAGAACAGAATCACGATCCCACATGCCTTGTGTCACCATTTGACTCAGCTCCATTGCATTAAGAGCAAGCGTAAGCCATCCATTGCTGGAGATAACATCAACCATTGCCTGGAGCAATCTATGAGCAGAAAGGAGTATCTCCCGCTGGTCGGCTGCCAGGTTCCCTAAGATAGTGTGCCTTGAAAAATGAGCTTGCAGCAGTGCGTTAGCCTTGACATGTGGATCACCATACTTGGGCTTCTCGATGGAAAATCTCTGGTGGCGAACAAGCTTCTCAATGAAATCCTCCTCACCAGGGCGACTGGGAAGCTCAGCATATTCTGAAGCAGAGGCTAGAATCTCCAGGAGCCCTTTCATCTTAGTCTTTTGAGTTAGCATTGAACTGAACCTCTCAATAGTTGTGTAGCTAATGTAGTAGTACGAAGCAATCAGACCAAGGTTGAGGGGCTTCAGGTACATATCCTCCTCTATAGCCACACACTTGCTTGATTCTAGGTCATTCAATACAGTCTCAACCAACTCAGATAAATGGTCCGACAAATGCCTGTGGCTCACGCCCTGCAGATTGTAGTAGTTAGGGTTCTTGGTCAGCCGCCTGTACATGAAGGTCCAAGTAAGGTAATCCACAGCATCTTGCTTGTTTTCTATGACACCAACCACCACCTCAGCGTTCATATGATCATGCAAGAAGTGGTGAAGATGGCTCTCAACAGGGAAGGCCTCAAAAAGGAACTTCTTGTAGTATTCCTTGCGAGGCGCATGACACAATATAACACATTTCCCTGAGTTATCTTGAAGAGGCCTGCTAGCATGACCCATCATTTGGAGTAGATCAGTGATTGGATAATCAGTATGAGCATTCTCCCGGCCATCATAATACTGGGTTCCCATCACAACCACCAGATGGGCAGGCAATGATCTTCCCCAGCACACAGTGCTACTCGCAACACACACTTGGATCCTCCCACCGAGAAACAGCTGCGTTACAACTTCCTGTTCCAGATCACTTAAACCTTCATGCAAGTAGCCTACACCACATTTCAGAGTATATTTAAGTGTTTCATCACTGATACCACCAGTGAAAGCATCCATCTCATCTTCTGAACCAAGAAGGAAAGGTGTTCCACCACCCTCAGCACTCGAGTATGCACACAAGTCCAATGCAGTCAACCTTGCATGCTTCCGTGTAGGCACAAACACCAGGGCAGGTTTACCATTCTTTGCATGTTGGGTAATAGCAGTGTATGTCGGCTTCGTCATTGCCTGCATCCTTGCCTCAAAATTTGCTATATCCACACCCTGAATGTGTATTTCTAATGGCACCGGCCGGACAGCTGGAGGAAAGTTGAAAAGGCCATGAGAGGTAGCACCAATCCATTCTCCGAGATCTTTAGCATTTGCAAGTGAAGCTGAAAGAGCCACAATCCGGATGTTACTGCCGATATGACTTGCAATACGCCTCATCCTAGAGACGATGACTTCCAGAACATGTCCCTTTTCAGATCCAATCAGATGAAGCTCATCAACAATGAATAGGCTGACCTGTTGGACTTGTTTCCGCTGTTTCCACCGGCGAGAGAGTGCATCCCACTTCTCAGGAGTACTAATTATAATCTCCCCTTTATCCAGAAGCTTCAAGTCAGCTGCAGTTTCACCTGTTAGCTCAACTACCCGAGCAAATTCTCCAAATTTCTGCTCCCAATCCCTGTACCTTTCTTTTGCAAGGGCTTCAATAGGAGCAATATACACAACTCGCATGTTGCTCTCACCAGATACAGCCTTCTGATGGTTTCTTAGTATAGCAAACTCTGCACAGATGGTCTTTCCACTGCCTGTTGGCGCAGCAACCAAAACACTGTCATCAGTGTTGTACAGAACAGTGAACACTTGAGTCTGGATTGGGTTGAAATGTTTGAAGGCACTATAAAGGCCTTCGTATCGTGCATTTCTCAATGCAGTAACAGGCAGTGGCTGCAGATCAAGCAATTCAGTTGGCGGAGCATATTTTTCTGGAAGAATTAAGTGCCTAAAACAGACAGGAAGAATTGTCTGAGAACCAAGCCACTTATCAGATACAACACGAATAAAGTATTGAGGGGGCAGTGGCTCGTATATTGGCACTGTGAAGTTGAGTGTATGATCTTCATCTACGTATTGTTTCTTAACCATGAAGTACTCATGGTGAAGAATGTTCTCGCCATCGTTGTCCTCAACAATAACCCAGAAAGGCTCCACATATCCATGTACCTTATCATCCCATTGGAAATCAGGAGTTATAGTCAACTCAAAACCCAAAACCGTACGAGTAATTGGCTGAACATGGGCTGAAAGATTCAACTTTGGTAACTGGTGGATGCACTTGTGCAGTTGCCTGCCCATCTTCGGGAACCGAATTAGTTCACCAATTTCCTGAGATGATAGGTCGTAGTACCTCTCCCAAGCCAATTCTTTTTTCTCCAGTTTCATTAGGATTTCCTTCGGAATACCAGGGAATTGGCGCAGGGGAGTTTGGACATTCCACATCTGCTTATCTATCATCTTACAAAGATTCAAAGCCTTCTCTGCTAGTTGGGCCCATCCTCTCTTCAGAACTATCTCAAACAACGCTCGTAAGAGACGGCCAGCACTCTGTGTCATAAAACAGATAATAATAAGCAATCAATTGTCATAAAACAGATAATAATAAGCAATCAATTCAAATTCAGGAAGCTTATTCAGCAGGGAGAACATGTTACCTGTCTGATGTAGACCATATCGGAGCTAAGCGAAAGACCCTCCAATTTCAGCCTAGAAATATATGCTTGCAGCAGAACATTGATCTTTGCACTGGGCTCCTCCAAGCTTTCTTTCACAGGAATAGGCACACGATCCAAAAGCTTAGCCAGCTCCATTTTCTCATCTTGTCTAACACTGACATACTTGAATTCTTCACTGAGTGAAAAGAGCCGACATAGCTCAATATCACCCATTGTAGGCTTCAGGTACTCATTGTAAGTTGAAATAGTCCCGTGGCTAATATAGTAATAACTAGCAATCCTTCCTAGGTCAGTAACCTGGAAGTATCCTGTTTTCCTGTCATACTTTATCAAATTGTTCCTATCGAGCAGATTTGCAGCAGAGTGCACCTGCAGAAGCACAGAAGTACAAGAATCAACAATTGATTGAGCATGGACTAGAAGGGGTAACAAAGCAGTTAAACATCAAGAGAGCATACAGAGAAACCATACAATATGAACAACACAAGCATGAATCAATTGTCAACTAGATGCTTCAGCTATGGAATTCAGCCAACAAAAATAATGAGTTGAAGTTGCGCACTTTTTACGCATTTTTTACATGCTACCTTACCCTGTAGTTCGAGTGCTAAATTGATGCACAATGCTACATCGGTAGTCAAAGATGCGCATACATTTCAATAGAAGAGACTGGCTTGTATCATGTTGCTATTGGTCAAAGAGAGCAAATATACAACTATTAAGTGTCCAGCAACAAAATATAAAGCTACACTGCAAAGAGCATTCGGACAAATAAAATCCAAGGCCATTATCCTATTTCTATTATACACTAGTACATGCTAATGAGTCTATGATGCTAGTGATGATTAAAAATACCCTATTCCAGTGTGAGGGAATTAACTTTCTGTAAACAGCATTTCAATACTGAGAATTGAGTACCTCAGTAAATGCTATATTAGATTCATGTAACTCTTGAACACCAATATTCAGATAAGAGTTAAAGAAAACTTGGACAATGAATTAGAGAACATTGTGGCAATTAGTGCATATGTACAAGGATAATATGTGAACAAACGCTAAGGATGAAGGGATAAGTATAACAACTCTATAGAAGATAGAATATAAGTATGGTATCCTCTTACCAAGTCAGCTCTCCTTTCATCTAGTGTTTTATCAGTCTCCATGATATCTGCCGGTAGACCATACAATGTTGGATTCCGGAGCATCCGGATGTAGAGGTAGGTGTAGCCAAGCCATGAGCATGCCTCCCGAGCATTCTGAATAGTCCCAAGAACAATCTCTGCATTTAATTGATCAGCCAATCTGGATATGAACTGACTCTCAATAGGCAGTTGTTGATTCATTAGAGACAGGTAATATTGCAATTCACTGTGGCCAGTTAGGATTATTCCCTCTCCATGTGTATCATACTGTGGCCTGCCAGCACGGCCAAGCATCTGCATGACATCTAGAGGACTCAGCTCTGTCCACGCACCCTTTTCAGGATTGTAAATCTGGGTACCCTTTATTATAACAGTGTGTGCAGGCAAATTGACACCCCATGCAAGGGTGGCTGTTGAGACAAGGACCTGTATATGCTTATCGGCAAAAAGCTCCTCTACAAGCTCACGGTCTACCCTTGCCAACCCAGCATGATGAATAGCAAACCCATAAGGCAAAAGGTCTTTAAGGTCACTGCTTTTTACTAGTTCTGCCTGACTCCCAAGAATCTCTTGGCTTGCACTATCATCCTTCAAGAAGCGGTTTAACGTGTCATTAGCCAATGCAGTATCTCTGATGGCACGGGCAGTTTTCGCTGTCTCCTTCCTCGAGTGCACGAATATAAGCACTTGATGCTTTCCAGCAGATGCCATAACCTTCTCGTAGCAAATCTCATTCATCAGCTGAAACCTCTGTAGTGGCTTCCTCACAGTGATCCCAATGTATTGCTGAGCAAGGGGGCAAGGTCTGTAGCTGTTATCGAAATGGAAGAGGCCATCAGAGCGAACACGCAGGAAAACCGCGACATCTTCATAGTTCGGAAGAGTTGCTGAGAGACCAACTAGACGGATATGTTCTTTGGTCGTCTCAATCTGCCGGACAGTTCTAGAAACAATGCTCTCCAGAACAGGCCCTCTGTTGTCATGAAGTAGATGGATCTCATCAATGATTAGAAGCTTTACCATTTGAGTATAGGTTCTGTCACCTGATTTTCTTGTGACAATGTCCCATTTCTCAGGTGTGGTGACAATTATCTGTGTTTCATCAATCTGCTGTTTGGTCAGGTTCTGGTCTCCACTGAGCTCTCTTACAGTAATACCATATGCACTCAGCCGAGCCGACAAATTTCCAACAACTTCGGCAACCAAAGCTTTCATTGGGGCCACATAGACAATTTTGTACTTGGTATTGTCAAACACTCCATCCTTCATATGCAACCCAATCTGCTGAAGGATTGTGAGCACAGCCACATTGGTTTTCCCAGCACCTGTTGGAGCACAGAGGAGAATATTATCTGGTTTGAAAAGGGCAGTCTCATAAACCTTGCTCTGAACCCTGTTCAGCTGTGTCATCTTAGCAAAAGCTGGTTGAGCCCACTCTGGCATATCAGATATCTTGACAATCTTCTCTCCAGTTTCATATGGCTTAGCTTTTAGCGCCGGCACATGGACTTCCTCATACCCCTTATGAGGGGTTCTGAATGATCCTGGAGGAAGCTCACATTTCTTGTTGGCCATCAAGAGACCACCTTGGTGGAAGGACAGGCTGTCAAGATCAAGCAGCTGCCTCTGGCCTTTCAACCATCCACTCTCCATATCCCGGTCAACTGCCCTACGATCCCTCGCACCATCAATGCCAGTGTTTTCGCTTTTAGTAAGCCTCTTGGCCTCATCCCTGATACTTTTCTCTAGATTCTTCTGCCTCTCCTTTGCAGATGCCCTCGTTGCATGTAGCTGCTCCAATATCGGAGTTAAAGTTGGGTTACCCATCATATCTTCCTCAATCTTCTTCCGCTGTTCCTGATCTTCAGCCCTTGCTAAACGGGTACACCAAACAATCTTGAGTCGGTTGCGTAGTAGCAGTTTAATGAGATCAAACTTTTCATAGTCCAACAGCATGACAAGCCGATTCTCGACATCTCTGTCATCACCCTCAGCAATTATCTTCAAGATCTCCTCAGCAAGCTTCTGACTGTGCTGCGGATCAATATCTTCGTATGCTTGCGAGACCTTCCTCTGAAGCCAGTAAGCATCAATGTCTTGTACATTTATGGTCAGCCCCTCGTTGGAGTTCTGCATATCATCATCATCTAACTCGCCACCCATTTGCATAGCACCAGGGGCATTCGACTCAGGCAAGTCATCATCTTCATCTTCATCCAAATCATCTTGCACCTGACGAGGAGAAATAATGAAGGCCTTGTAAGTAAACACTAGCATAACATGCTTTAGCCATATGCAGGAAAAGAATTGTAAAGAGAAACACCAAATGTACCTGATCGAAATCGCTCTCCTCGTCATCTTCGTTCTCTTCAAATTCAACAGCAACGCCGATGTCATCATCCAGCGCTGTGTCCATGCCATCACCAGATGGCGCAGCAGCTGAATCACCAGCCGAGGCATCATGGAAATCCGTGATGAGCTTCCCTATGGAGACGATCTGGTCGAACATCTGGTTGGAGATAGGGTTGAGGAGCTTCTCGATCTCCTTCTTCTTGTCAGGGCTCTTGATCTTGTCATTCTTGAGGACGGCGAGCACCTCGTCGGCAGCGCCGCCGAGCACGTCGAGCGGCTGTCCGCCGAACTGCTGCTGGATGACGCTGAGCAGGGCCTCGTAGGCGGCGCGCGTCTCCTTGGTCTGGGGCTTGTAGACGACGTCGTCGGTGAGCGAGAGGACGCTGACCTCACGCTGGGCGGCTGCGGCGCGGCGCCTGCGCTTGGCGTCGCGGCGGTGGAGGTCGTCGGGGTCAGCGGCGGCGGCCTTCTTCTTGCGGGACTTGGTGAGCTTCTCCTCGAGCTCGGGGGGCTTGGCCTGGACGGCGCGGTCGCCGAAGCTCCTGGGGTCGATCCTGCCCCAGAGCGTCTCGGGCTCGCCGGTGGGCTCGTGGGTGTCGCGGGGGCGCGAGTCGGTGGTGAGGACGAGGCTGGAGTTGGCGCGGTACTCGTACTGCTTGAAGCGCGCGTGCGCCTCGGCGCCGCCGCCCAGGTTCGCCATGGCTGCAGATCGATAGGGTTTTTCAGTTGGTTTTTTCGTGCGGAAGCGGGAGGAGAAGCGGGAGGAGGAGGAGAGGGATAGCTGGGGGTTACCTTTTGGCGAGCCGAGGGAGGGTCGGCGCCTCCGGTGATACCGCCGCCGCCGCGCCGGAGAAGGGGGAGAAGAGGAGGTTGGATTTGGAGGAAAAGGAAAAGGCGGCGATGGGATGGGAGGGACTGGATTTTCTCGCGGAACGAATCGAGGCGAGCCCTAACTCTAAAAGATGACGACATAAGCTAAGCTCAGGTCGGTTCGTTCGAGAGACGACGGTTTGGGCCCATAAGCCCATCCACAAAATAGTACTGGGCTGCTGGATTAATGTCGGTTTCGGCCCATCAAGTTGTAGCCCTCAGGCTCTCTCGAAAGGAAAACAATTTGGGCCAGGTGGGCTCAACTACCGCTCAAACAATTAGGCCCAGATTTCACCCGTTTCTCTGGGCCATATATACTCTGCACAAGCACCCTACTGCTCTCCTCATTCGGTCATTAGAGTCATGGAAATGTAAAATGGCATATATCAACGAGAAAAAAGTTTTGGAGTAAGTATTTTAGTAAGGTTTTTGTTTTAGGGTGCTACTTTTTGAAGAGGCAAGTTTTGCCCTAAAAAGGAACTGGAGATACTCTACTGAAAGAAAAAAAAATACTACTCACTCCGTATTTTAATGTATGACGCCATTGACTTTTCGACCAACGTTTGACTATTCGTTTTATTCAAATTTTTTGTGTAAATATGAACATATTTATGTCATGCTTAAAAAATATTTGATGATAAATCAAGTCATAATAAAATAAATTATAATTATATAAACTTTTTGAATAAGACGAATGATCAAACGTTGAAAAAAAGTCAACGGCGTCATACATTAAAATATGGAGGTAGTATCATTTTCAGGGTGGAGCAGGAATGATCACTCAAAATTGTTACTCCTCTATCCTAGACTGTGAAATAGGGTATTCCTTTCAATGAAAATGTGCGTCGCATTTTATGAACAAGAATTTTCAATACAAAAGAGTTTGAAAAATAAATTAAAGTCAGTATGCCATTCCTATAAGGAAACTCAAGAAAATTATTCTATTGTTAACAACTACTAAAAGACAATTGGCTTTTACTTTTGGGGACTGCTTCCAATTAATCCCTGAGACATAGTATGATCTTCTAAACCTAACCAACGATTATATTGATTGCTTAGATATACTCCAGGTACAGTAGTAGCTACTCCACACAAATGCACTCAAAATCTGCTGGATTTGGATATGCAGGATCTTTAGGGGGGGTTTTGTGTGCTTCCAATATTTTGAGCTAGATTAGGTTCTTCATAGCAATTTATTATTTGGTTGCATTGCTCTAAAGCAGGTAGGTTTGGAAGAGTGTCACTTTAAATTAGCCGTCCCTTTTTTTCCTTATTAATATCGCTTAAATTTGATTGTGTGATGTTAGCATCAATAAATCAAACAATATCATGAAAGGGAAGGCGAGTAATTAAGCGGTAGAAAACTTGTGCCAGGTTATTGTCGTCTTTGAGTAAGCTCCTTTTTCTCTTATCCTACTATTTCAATCGATTAATTAGTTCGGTTAGGTTTTCTCTTTGCTTTATCAAGGACTTGTCTTTCTTTTTGTTTATGCATGATGAAGTATGACAATCGCAATTCTTTCTGTTGGCATTATTACTTGGGTCCTAGAATTTTAGTTGGGCACTGACTTTTTCTCCCCTTTTGAATATGTGAGGTAATAGCTATGTACTAACTAGAACAAGAACCTGATGGTGTGTATATTGATCTTGATCTTTTTGGATAGATACAGTGCAGCTGCTATGACAGTGAGAGTAGTAGGAAGTAGGAACGAATCAATCAACTGGTTCTTAATTAATTACATTTAGCGTTAATTACTCCGTTCCAAACATGAGTGACTTATATTCAGAATTCAGTCTATTCACCCTGCAGCATAATAACAAATCTACTATCCTTTTTTTCCCCATCTGTAAGCAGTTTGAGATACCAGAAGGTCCATTGAATCAGCTAGCTGGCTAGTTGTACATGTGAGCAAAATGGATCATCAATTTGTCTGCAGCCTAGCTCGTATTGCTTATGAATGACTTTGTCAGTATGAAACCAAGAAAGCGACGCTTCACCAAAAGTCCATAAAGATCAAGCATGCGATGCGTTTTTTCCCTTGTCCACACGCATGCAGCAATATAATGCAGCTTCTGAACACAGGGGACAGATTTAATCCACAGAAAAAACTGAAGCAGCCAGCCTACAGCTGCTGACAAATCCACAGATAAATCCAACCTAACCTCTTTGCTTGCATTGCATAAGTGCATAACTAACCCAACAATATATATATGGAGTATACACATGATGCAAATTAAACCTTAAATGATTGGCTCCAGCTTTAGTTACGACAAGCTAAAACAGATCAACCTTAATCAATCGTTGGGTTTTCTTAGCTAGCTAGATCGTACCACTAGGTGAAGAGCGACATGAGTTACTTCGAGCTGGATAGATAGAGCTCATCAATGATAGGATGTAGTAATTAGTACTACTCCTGCTTAATTAGCTAGCTAGGCATATCACAGTTGCCTCACTCACACGGCTAAATTAAAATCAAGGCAGTACCACTCTACACTAGCTATACGCCGCTAATAAGTTGGTTTGTGATTCTCTTGTGTTTAATTAGGAGTACTAATTAATTGTAATTATCTGGTAGTTCGTTAGATTTGTTTGTTTTCTGTCTCTTGTCACGTTCTATGCCTAGTACACCTCTAGCTTGCGTGCAAGATACTCCCTTTGTTTTCTTACGTATCACATAGGAGTTAAAAAAAAGGAAAGAGGGAGCATGTGTTTAAATTTCACTGAAAAAAATCGTGTTTAACTAGCTAGCTTGAAAAACCATATCAGTATAAGATAAGATTGTTAGCACTTTCACGAAATGAACACACTAGTATGTTGTACTTTATGAAAATAAAATTTAAATTATGGATGTTACACGTGTGTATGGAAATCAAAATGATTCATGACACTGTGTTGGCTGGCAGAAGAACAGTAGTCGCAGGTGAAGAAGTAATTAACACAAGTATTGCACAGTAGATTAACTGCAGGGCATGGGAGAACCCACCACTCATTAACTCATTGGTCGTAAGCTGTCGTCCTCGTGGAGTCCGTTAAACTGATCGATCGTCGCTAAAATACTCCAAAAACAACTCAAAATTTAAATTCGAGATTACTTGCGCTGTCCAAATTAACAACACTGAGTATTTGGAGGAGTGTTTATATATTATAATGCGCCGTCCACGCAAACTGAGTACAAACTGCTGGTACTGACAGGAACAACATTAACTGGAAGCACTGTTCATTCTCGATCGGCAAATTAATCCCAAATTGATTAGTAGTCGCTAACTCGTGGGGATTTGATCCAACCAACTGCGTATACGCGTACGCCGTGCATACGTGTCGGCGTGTATATATCTTTACTCACTCCCAAAATTTAAATTTCATATATCTGTATCCGTACATCGTAAGGACCCAGAGATTTTCAAAATGTTGTTGTACTGCAAAATTATTTAATGCATCCTACTATCCCTCTCTTTAATTTTCATGTGATGCTGTTGACTCTATATTCACCGTATGGGAAGGTACTACTCCTACTGTAATAAATAAATAAATTAAAAGAGACAGTGTAATTATTCACATTATGAATTAAAAACAATTTTTAACAGCAACCATGTATATACAGAGACCAGATGAGACCATGGTGTTAATATAATCATTCGTTGACCAGAATTGAGGGGCTAGCTTAATATTAAATTCCCACAGGGGGAATCAAGATTAGGGATTAATAAATCAAATCAAATCAAATCAAAGCTGTGGTTAAGTAGTAAAACTAAACTGCCACCTGTACATTAATCTGGCCATGCATACTTATTATGAACCCATTTTCTGCTCTGCTCTTGCTTTGCTTTGCATTTCTTTCCCAAACTGAAGAAGCTAAGCTTAGCGCGGCGCCATGGACGTGGCCATGGCGCTCGCCGTCCTCTTCTTCTGCCTCCTCCTCCTCTCCTCCGCCGCCATCACCTTCCTCCTCCTCCGTCACTGCCTCTCCGGGCTCCGGCGCCGCCACCGTGCTGCCGCCGCCGCCGACGTCGACGCCGAGGCCGCAGAAGGCGGGGCGGGAGCACGACAGCTGATGCCGCCGTGTTCTCCTCCTCCTCAGCAAGAGCTGCCGTTGTTGCGGCCGGCGGCGAAGTTGGTGCCGTCGACGAAGGAGGAGGGGGAGCCTTGGAAGCTGACGTGGCGGGAGGTGGAGGCGCTCACCGGCGGCTTCGACGAGGCGGCGGTGGTGGGGCGAGGTGGCTCCAGCACGGTCTACCTGGCAAGCAGCTGCAGGGTCGCCGTCGTCTCGCCGCCCGTGGCGGTGAAGGTGCACCGGTGGTGCGGCGGCGAGCGGTGGCTGCGCGCGTTCCGGCAGGAGCTCGACCTGCTCCGCCGCCTCCGCCACCCCCACATCGTCTCCCTCCTCGCCTACTCCGACGACCACGGTACACGTCACTCTCCTCTCTCCTACTACTCCAACTGCTTGAATTATGTGTGTTTTTTTTCCTTGCACAAATTATTGAAGCTTTGACTCTAAGCTTACGTTACCTCGTCTCGGTGTGGTTAAAAGTCTTAAAAGGGAACATCTTTTTTCTGTTCTTCACTTGCTTTACACTGCATCTGCATGCAACTCTGATGCTAGCTACTCCAGCTTGCTGCTTGCTATGTTCTTCACTTTCTTATTTATTTACTTTGCTTAATTTCTTTCTCCTCTTAAGATTTGTTATTAAGTTAGTTCAATATGAATACTACTAGTATGATGTTACATTTCACCTCACAAATTAAATTTCAAATCGACCGAATAAAACATGTGTAGAGAATGGCATGCGTACGTCGTACGGGGGGAAAACAATAAGAAGAAGAAATGGAGATTACCTCCTACCTACCGATCGATTAAGAACAAACGTCACTTCACTGTTGCCTATTTATGTCTAGTACGTTAACGAGTAACGACCTGTGTTATTTTCGTCCCATTTCGTCGTCCAAAACTTAACTCAACACGATCGCTTTCGATCGTATATATCATTTTAATCCTAATTCTAATTCAATTTTGATCCCCAGATGAATGAAATTGCAAATCCCCCCAAAAAAGAAAAAGAAATTGCAAATGATTTTATACTTCATCTAATTAACCTGCTACCCCTCCGTTTTATATTATAAATCATTTTGATTTTTCTTTGTTAAACTTATTTAAGTTTATATACAAAACATAAAACAAACTTGTTATCAAAATATATTTAATTTTATTTTAATAAAACTATTTTGGTATTATATGTATGTCAAAATGATTTATAATATTATACGTTTGTTACTAAGAGAGAGATTTTTTGTTAATTAAAGAGATTAATTAATTAAAAGAAATTTTATTACTGCGTGCAGAGGAGGGAGGTGCACTGGTCCTGGAGTACCTCTCCGGCGGCACCCTCGCCGACCGCCTCCACGGCGGCGCATCGCCGCCTCTGCCATGGCGCCACCGCATGCGCGTCGTCCACGACGTGGCCGGCGCGCTCGAGCACCTCCACGACGGCGCGCCTCCGGTGGTGCACGGCGACGTGTCGGCGTCCAACGTGCTCCTCGACGGCCGTGGCCTGGGCGCGCGGCTCTGCGACCTGGGCTCCGCCTGCGAGGGGTTCTCCGCCGCCGTCGCGCCCACCAGGGCGGCCGTCGGCTCGCCGGGCTACGTCGACCCCTTCTTCCTCCGCACCGGCATCGTCTCCAAGAAGTCCGACGTCTACAGCTTCGGCGTGCTTCTGCTCGAGGCCATCACCGGCTCGCCGGCCGCCGGGATACCCGGCCCGGATGGCGGCGCCGGCGGGGGCAACCTCACGGCGCGGTTGCTGCCGCGTGTCAGGACGGAGGGGGTGGACGGGCTCGCCGACCGCCGGCTGGGCGACGACTACGACGCGGCGGAGGCCGGCGACGTGGCGAGGATCGCCGTCGAGTGCCTGGCGGCGCAGCCGGGCCTCCGGCCGACGATGGCGCAGGTGCGCGCGGCCATCGCGGAGAAGGCGGCGACGTCCATCTCCATTGCTCATCACGACCTGCACGATGCCTCCGATTCCACATGATGGATATCGGATTGCAGTTTATTTTTATTTTGTAGATGATTTACTTAGTTATTTTTGTGTCTGTGTGTTTTATTATTGGCAAGGTAATTAATTAATTGTAGGAAACGATGAACACTGCTTAGGAAAGAACTGGAATCAATTGATTAGAGTGATGAAATACTGGAATGTAAATATTGATTTCTAAATTAAGAGTGCAGCTTGTGCATTTGGATGCTATGATCTTGGGTTTCAGGTGTGGAACTGACAAACAAAAACTAATCATACAGAGATGAGATGGGCTCAATGATTCAATCATGATGGTGCATGTCATTGGATGGATTGCATATGATTAGACACAGTAGTTGAAAGAATTTGAGGTACTAGAACAGAGGCTACCGCAATCAGAGTGATACACAGTAGCGAGCTCCGTTGCCTTTTGCTTTGTCTCAAGCACTGATGATTGGCAGGTCTGCAAACTTGCAAAGGTTTCTTGCTGGACCACAGCATGGAAGATATTGCCAATATGCAAGCTCATAAATGCAGAATGTATTCCCAATAGGTACAACAGTATGTCCAAAACAAAATTCCATTGTCTAAAAAATGGGGAACAAAATGGTTATCACACACTCCTGACTTTTCAACCAACAGGTAAAGGGTTTACAAGCTGCCAATTCTTCTATGTTAGTTCTATGGATTAAAGACCAACCAGAGGTTGTAAGAACACAGATCATACTGATGAGTTACAACTCTCATGTCCAATCAGACCAAATGATTTCTATTGATGTTTCTCTATATCACTGGGTGTTCTGCATGGAACCCTTCAAACACAAAGATAGAGGAACACAAATTCTGATGGCACTACATAAAAAAACCTGTGAAACATTCAAACTTTGGACAAGACTCTGAACACGATTCTAATGCCACTAAATAGAGCCACAGAAGCATTGATATGGTCTGAGCTGTGGACTGTTCATTTTCAGCATGTTACTAGCTCTCTGCAATTAGAGCCACGGAATCTACTGACTACTGACATAATACATTATTGTTCTCTGCAATTTTAGGCAAGCGCTGTTAGCACATACAAATCACATAAATTTAGCGTTCCCATCTGTGGTAAAGTTAACAGTGTTTTTAATCGTGCATTGACCGTAGAATATGAACTTCAATGTGAAACAATTACCAAAACACAAAATCATGGGCAGCCAAAACAGTTTATGGATTAAGGGATTTACAAGAGAGATGGTGTGTCAGCATTCGCTGTTTCCAAGCATGGAGTCACCATTATGGGTCACTTTGTCAATTTTGGTGTTGGCGACTGAGATCCTGCCTGCTCTTTGCTCTTTTCATTTTTGCTTTGAACCTCAATTTTAACATCAAAGTCTCCATCGTGTTGACAAAGTTGCCGACTGCCATTACCACCAGCAAGATCCCACAAACTACAACCTGGCAAGTGAAAAATGGCAGCGTTATAAATTATCAGTTGAGGACAATCAGCATCTCAAGGATGCTTTGGGATTGTTTAGCTTATAGCTTCATCAGCACATTACATTTTCTAAAAAGTTCTTTTTCCTTTCAAATATTACGGAAATGCATTTTATGCAGATGACTGAGCAAAAAGGCCAAACAGCAGTAGATTTGAGCAAGGAAGCAATCTAAGGCTGCATTCGTTTCTGCTGGTTGGAAACGTTCCCCTCCGGCACGGAAAACGGAGCAGTTCATTAGTACATGATTAATTAAGTACTCCCTCTAGTTTAATTTTAATTGACGTTTTGGACAAAGACACGGTCTACAAGATATATCTTTGACCTTATCTATTATATAATTAAAGGAATAGAAAAAGGAGCTTCCACGTTCGCTCTCATGGCTTAGAAATTCTCACATTAATCGGAGAAAAAGAAAAAGCAGAGTCCATATAGAAATACAATTTAGAAATAGCTGAAATTCGGAATTAAAAAATAAGGAATATTAGAAGAGGAGACTAGAGTCCATATAGAAATACAATTAGGAAATAACTGAAATTCGGAATTAAAAAATAAGGAATATTAGAAGAAGAGACTAGAGTCCATATAGAAATACAATTAGAAAATAACTGAAATTCGGAATTAAAAATAAGGAATATTAGAAGTAGAGTATAGAGTCCATATAGAAATACAATTAGGAAATAACTGAAATTCGGAATTAAAAACAAGAAATATTAGAAGTAGAGTATAGAGTCCATATAGAAATACAATTAGGAAATAATAGAAATTTGAAATTAAAAATAAGGAATATTAGAAGTAGAGTATAGAGTCCATATAGAAATACAATTAAGAAAAAAAATAGAAATTCGGAATTTAAAAAAGAAATACTAGAAGTAGAGTATAGAGTCCATATAGGAATTTAAAACTAACTAAAATTTGGAATAAACATAATAAAATTAAAAGTAGAGTCTAGAGTCTGTATAAAAAATACAATTTACAAATAACTAAAATTCGAAATTAAGAAAAATATGGGAAGAAGAGTTTAAGGTCAACATAAGAATACAATTTATTAGTAACTGAAATTCGAAATTAAAAATTGAAGAATATTGAAAGATGAGTTTAGAGTCCACATAGAAATACAATTAGAAATAATAAAAATTCAGAAATAAAAATAAATAATATTGAAAAAAAAGCATAGTCTATATAGAAATACAATTTACAAAAAGTTCGGAATTTAAAAAAGAAATATTAAAAGACGAGTCTAGAGTCCATATAGGAATATATATAATTTACAAATAACTAAAATTTGATATTAATAACTAACACGTATATAAAATATAATATGAAAATTCAGAAATAAAAATAAATAATATTGAAAGAAGAGCATAGAGTCTATATAGAAATACAATTTACAGAAAATTCGGAATTAAAAAAAGGAAATATTAAAAGACGAGTCTAGAGTCCATATAGGAATATATATAATTTACAAATAACTAAAAATTGATATTAAAAATAATTAATAACTAACATGTATATAAAATATAATATGAATATTACACATATTGCAAAATTTAAAATTATGTTGTCATTTTAATATATTTGAATAATATAATGAGAAAACATATATGCTATTATATGATAGAAAATATAATGATGCTAGCCGCGCAATCTGCGCGGGCCACCATGCTAGTTTTTCTATTATAATATATACAATAAATAAATGCATGTTTACTTTTATTATAGTGCTTTGAAAGACAAATTTATATATATTGTTCTAGTTTCTTTAAACTAAATATTTTTAAAGTTATTGATGGTCAAAGTTATAAAAGTTTGACCTCAACATTGTTCAAAACGTCAATTAATATAGAACCGGAGGGAGTATTAGCTAAAAAAACGTGAAAAATGGATTAATTTGTTTTTTAAAGCAACTTTCCTATAGAATTTTTTTTGTAAAAAAACACAGTTTAATAGTTTGAAGAGCGTGCACGCGGAAAATAAGGGGAATTGGGAACTCTAAGAAACAAACTCAGCCTAAGTCTCATGAAGATCTGATTAACTATCAACTGCAAACATTACATAGTTGATAATTCTTGCCTGCCATTCCGATGCAAGCCCGTGCAAAGCCGTCTTAAGAAGTAATACTCCAACATATCCTTCGAAAACCTGACAACACATAGCATCCAAGATTAAGCGCATTAGTGCAGAATATGGAAGATATATATAATGGTTAATTAATCATCTTTGTGCTAACATCCAGAAATCGGAAGCAAACTTCATCAAGGAAAAGAAACAAGTGACTAAAATATCAAGAACCAACAACGTGAGACAACATATTCTGGGTGGGGGGCTACAATTACTAACAACTTGGATCTGCCATGCTTTCAGCTCACAAGACACATTTACACATACCTGTAATGTGAAAAGGACCGGGTAAAGTAGCAAGAGCTGCCCTTCCACACCAGCTGTTTCTCCAGCAACAACATCCATTCTTTTAGCCTGCATGCAATTAAATATGAAACAGAATAAATAACAACACCGATAAAACTTGAGAAAGGTACATAGATGATACAATATACAGCATCATTTCAACAGTCTATTGAGCTGTATGAACAACCATTGCCTATAAGACTTAGTTTGATTAAAAGACCAGAGCATCTTCTCTAAATTAGTTTCAGTGATATTCCGAACTCTTAGCTGATATGCAAATATCAACAAACATCAAGCAAATTAGTGCATTAAATTGCTTTTGATAAGCATCTGCATTGTATACATATCATTTGAAGATGATACTCATTTGAATCTTATTATTGGAACATGTTGTACACCTTCACTTGGCACTAAAAGAATATGTTGTTGAGTACTGTCTTGAAGCAAGACGTGAACCACAGAACCTTACCTTTCCTAGAGCTATCCGGGTGCGCAATCTTTGACGCTGGTACCTATTCTGTAGATGCATTGCAATTCCTTGCATGATTGCCCACCGCAGGAAAAGTTGTACCCCCCTCTGAAAAGAAAGCCATAGTGTCTGAGTTCAGCGTTCCAAAAATTTGAAGGTTTGATGACAAAGTGAGTGCTAGTTTTCTCTGAAAAATGATCATTTACCTGCTTGCTGGAACAATCAGGCTGTCCTTTTATCTCCCATGTAAGGCTAACGAGAGCCATTAGCATTGCTAAATAGTGGTGGTATATCCACCTGAAAAGATGATAATGCATTCTAAGAAAGGAATTGATTTTGCTAGATTAAGTGAACAAACGAAACATGGGTTTTACGAATATCATTAAAAGATGTTTTGATATAAGATCTTTCCCATACCAACAAATTATAAGTCGCATATAGTAAAAAAATCAAGCACTTTTGTCTGTCCGTGCATTAAAAATGGGTATTTGCCATAAAATTGTTGAGTGCTGCAGTTGACAGTTTCTGTAAGCAATGAAATTCAGACACATACCAAGGACGAATATCACTTCCATTTACAATCAACACATTCTCCCGCAGAGCAAAACTTGTGTAAAGGAATAGTAGCCAAGCCTGTTAAGTGGAACAAATAAACTTTAGATCGTTTCTGCTGGACAGCAAAGTCATACATAGAGAAAATATATTCAGGGTCAATCACTGCACGGCACTAAATACCTGGTACATCTGAACTGCCAAGGCTGGAAGGCATCCATCCCATATCCACCATCTAAGTAGGAGGAGAATGGATGGGAACAATAGAAACATATAGGCAGCCCTATCCTGCAAATAAATGAAACCATCAATACTGTCAGGCATGACATAAAAATTTATAGTAGCGAAAATTATACCAAGTATACTCTACCAGTTAAGCCACTATGTTCAATTTAGAAAGGACTGCTTGAATTCGACATGAAAAGGAACACTTACATAACCTTTCAACATGATTTCTAGAGTATTAGTCCAGAATTGCATGTTTCCCGTATTTACTAATTAAACCATATGACATACAAAACAGGTTCAAGGTTTTATCAGCATGCTGTCTGAGATTGAATACACACCATACTCGTTGACCTTGATAATCTGAAATTTACTTAGATTTTTGTAGAAAATGGTAGTAGTTCTCTTCAATAGTGATTCTTATCACAGATCAAAATTTAAAGAATACACCAATTGGAGTAATCATTGGAAATTTAGAATGCTTAAGTCATCAAAATAAAAGTAATAAAAAGTACAGATAGCTTTATTAAATTGGTCCAAGAAATCATATCCAAAGTAAATGCATAAGCTTTCTAAAAAAAAATTATCGAAGAAGCATCTAAAATCTACCCTGTAGTTGTTGTACTCGTCCTTCACTCTGAGCTTATCTTCTTTTCTCGCCACCCGCACATTTACAGGGCCAACAAAGGTCTTGAGGAACTTCCCTAAATTTCAAGGAGAAGTGAATTCCATAAATAACAGTTATATTTCCCCGAGACGGGCATGGGGGGTGAGATAAATCATAGCATACCATTCCGCTTGCTTGGGAGAAATGCAGCCACGTCACTATCTGAGATTGTTACCCTGGCACGCTCCAGTTCCTCCTCAACCTATATAGATAAATGGCAGAATGAGACAATTCTCACAGATGACACAACAGAAGTACAGAAGAAAACTATATATTAGAAAAGAGGTACAAAAGGTAAGTAGAAAATCTAAAAAGGAGTGCGATAAACTTGGACATGCGGACGGAGACTCTTATATCAATTTAGAAACAGGTCAAATTTTGTCACTTGTGCGTGCTAAAGAAATGCATGGGAGACAGTGGAGATTAAATCTAGATAGGTTGTAATAATTCTCTAGGTTGAGATTAAACCTTTTGGCTTAGCAACGACGGAGCAGTGGACAATGTTTCTCAATCCAGGTACTGAGCAACCTAGTGGATGCATTACAAATTTGCACAAGCATGAGGGAGAGCGAATATTCCAAGGATCTCTAAACGGAGCAGTAAAGGATGGGGACAGATTTCTGACGGAATCTATAGTTTGCCTAAACTGCCTCGAGATTTCAATACAAAAAACAACAATAATAATCGTTGGCCATGGCCAGCATCCAGCTCGATGCACACGCCTCAGATTCCTAACTTTGAAAACCAATAGGAAGCATGTAAATTGGAGACATCTCCAGGGAGATGGCGCAACAAATCCAGTGTTTGACGAGCACCAGATCGCGGGCGTGCAAACTTTACATCTCAATCCTCCAGGCGAAGGCGTGAAGCGCGTAAGCGTTCTGCTTTGCGAGATAATCACGAAACGAATCACGATCTAACGTACTAGCAGCTCGTAGGTTTCAATTCCAAGCCGCCGAAACCCGTACGAGGCGACGCGTGAGTGAGAGAGAGAGAGAGATCGAATTGGAAGCAAGCGCGGGGAGAGGAAGAGGAAGAGGGAGATGAGTAGAAGAGAAGAACGAGATGCAGTCACCTTGTCGAGCGTGGTGGGGGCGAGGGTGGAGAGGGAGGCCTGGAGGCGGCGGAGGTCGGCGTCGAGCGCCGTGGCGCGGCGGCGGAGCGCGTCCTCGTCGGCGGAGCGGCGGGCGACGAGGGACGCGGCGGCCTCGCGCAGCTCCCGCGCCGCCTCGGCCGCCGCCGCCGCCTGGGACTCGAGGGCGTCGCCGTCGGTCGCCATTGCCTTTTTGGGTTTCGCTCGCGGTGGAGACGAGCGGTGGTGGCGTGGTCGTCTTCTTTCTCTATTCTCTTGTAAAGAGAAGACAAGAAGCTCCCGTGAGGATGACGCGTGGGCCCATGTCTCCCTAATATCCTACTGACCAATGGGGCCCACAGAGATAAGCCACGGTAGCCTCTCTTTTTCGTGATTCTGTCATCACCTGCTATCTCAACATAAAACATTATTGTCCCCCATTATTTGTTTCAAATTATATATTTTCTAAAAAAATATTGATTGCTTAAATTCATTGATACGTCTTTTTCGTGATTCTGTCGTCATCTACCATCTCAAAATAAAACATTATTATTGCTGATTGTTTGTTTTAAGTCTTTAAAATTATATATTTTCTATAAAAAATTCTATCGATTGCTTAGATTTATTGATTTAAGCTATTTGTTAAGTTTATTTATTATAATAGTTAATTTATGTATATAATCGTGTAGATAATTTAGTATAAATAATCTGATCAAATGATCTGTTTCAAACTGCTCAATGAAAGGAAGAACAATATTACATAGTGTTAAATTGCTGGTAAATAGAGTACACTGCTGTCTCCACTACCACGGTTTGAGTAGTTAACTACCGCTGTCACCAATAATTAATCAGTAACTATCCTCGTCAGGGATTTAATTTCAACGGCTACATTATGCCTGCCTACAGGAAGAGTTGGACGTGCAACTAAATTGCTCTTCTTCTCAAAGCAGAAAAATACTAGTAAAAGCTTTATATTTACACGCGTGTGCTCGGCTCCTTAAATTCGATCGAAATTCCAAAGATAGAATATGGTCGTTTTAGTAGAGAACCATATAATTTTCAGAGATTTTCTGTGTACCACACAGCATGGATAAAGCTCTAATAATGCTAAGGATATCTTCATAAAAAAAATGAATGAAGCTGACAGGGTCTTTAAAAATGAGAAAGAACGCTGAGTAGTGCCGTGGTCTAGAGAGTGCGGCGGATCCTGTTCGTTTGTGGAGGCTGGTCTAAAGAGTGCAAATTATTTTCTTCTCAATTAAATATGTTTACCTCTTAATCTAATGACACAAGTAACTGAACTTATGCTGGGACGCTACAAAGACAGCTAGCTTAAAAATATACCAAATCCCAGTTCCATACCAGATATGACATGGTCAATCGAATTGGGCTTAGCAGCCAGAGTCATTTGCTGGCACTCATTTACTTTCTGCCAAGTGAAATGCTGAACTAATGTGAATTACTCCCTCCGTCCCTAAAAAAAATGAATCTAGAATTGGATGTGACGTATTTTTAGTAGAATAAATCTGAACAGAGATATGTTTAGATTTATAATACTAGGATATGTCACATCTAGTACTAGGTTGATTTTTTGTGGGACGAAGGGAGTGGACCTCAAAATGGATCTGAATTTTGTCAGCACTTCTGCATGACAGCATGTACCACTGTCAAAATATTATATATCGGCTATCTGGACTGTTCATCCATTACAGTGAAAACTGTTTTACTAGTAGTTTACAAAGGCAAGAAAACTATACTAACAATGACAGCAACAAAATACTATACTAACAATGACAGTAACAAAATTTAGTTTACTATGCTCCGCTCAATATGACGAAAGTTGACAAATGTCGGTACAAAATAGTGCAGTTCTATGCACCAATATTAGTGGAAATTGCATGATCTCCCAACGTATTTCAGACAGGGAAAATGAGACCTCAAGGGAGAGGGAAAAAGGAAGATCAAAGGTAGACTGCAAATTGTAAGCACCGAAGATGAAAAGGCGTCGAGAGAACATATGCAGAATGGAATATTACCAAAGTCACGTTCAGATGTTCTGTTTCACATAATAAAAGAGCTACTATCTGCCAAGGAATATTTACCAAGGCGGCATACATTCTAACAGAAATGACAACTACAGATCTTGTCAAGGTTCAGATGACCTGACCAGTTTCAGACAATCTATTGGGACCGATCACCTCTCGATTTGCTATTGGAATCTGATCTTGTAACTAAATGCAACCCCAGTGTTCAGAATCAGATGCATTATGAAAGTCGCCCACTTCAGTTGAACTGGTTGTGACTTGTGAGGGTCTCCAAGAAGGCATCTATAAAATAAAGGCAAACACTCTATGCAGATCAATTCACAACTTCAGATAGTACATGGTAATTCACAGAATAAGATGCAAGAGCTATGCACTGGAATAAGCAATCTGAAGACATTCAGCCTACTTCACAGATCATGTAAGCAGCAGCAATCCTGCCAAAGCATTTCTACGTAAACTGCATCTATACCACAGTAAACAGTTCCAGAATTGGCATAGTAAGGTTCATGGTAAACGCATAATGCTCATGTAGTCAGTTTTGCCAGCTTCAACTACCAGAACCATACAGTATATAGATCCATGAACAACCAGGATGCAGTAAGGAATATTCAACAATAAAGTTAAGAAGTTATACATAGACACGTAATAATACTGACATGAATGTCAGTTGAATGCACATAAAAGTAAAGAATAATGTAAATAGAGGTGAAGGATTGTAATAACAATATGTGCTTACCAATTATCTTCTTAAAGTTCATTGATTCTCATATTTATACTCCTACTTCTTAGATTTGCTGAAATACTGTATCAAAATTGTTCTTATGTTGCTGATTTTCTAATATTTTCACCATGCTACTTGAATAGATAAATTAATTTATATAATCCTAGAATACAAGAAAGAAACCAATGGAACTAAAAAAGAGAGAACAACCATAGATGGAACAAAACTCTAAAGGAAATAATATACATAAAGCTAAAAAAACAATGACTTTAAGGGCATCAATGCTCAGTGTCCGGATAATGTTTAAATAAGTAGGAGCAAAGCAAAAGGAAATTATTGGACTTCTCTATAGAGACAAGCATGACAGGCCATACATACATTATAAAACCCAACGCAGAGCTCAGCAGTCAGCAATGCATCAATGGTCCACGTTTCTCCAAGCAGGGAAGAGCATCCCAAGCCTTGTAGTCTATGTATTCCCCTGTCTCCTCCATTTAACAAATGTTTGCATAATTAGATAAAGACAATTGAGACGACCAATGTTGAATGTCAATAAGTAGGCCAAAATTACTAATTCGTATGAAGCAACAAAATACAGGTATGTAAATCCATTGTTATTTTGCATAAACTTTTCATCAAGTACATCATTGATTATCTTTTGACTTTTCATATACATGAGCGAGCAAACTGTATCATTTTCCTCTATTAGCATGTGACAAAGTAAGACACGATTACTCATTGTACGCACCAGCATTCTAGAACCTGACCAGGATACTATCAATAGTTTTCAGCTGCTCCATTTCTTCTGAACTAGCAATTCCAGGATCCACATAGCACAACTGAAAAATCGAAGGCATATCAGAATTGTATGAACTGCACAACCCTTTCAAAGTTCATAAATTTTGGGTGATTTGATGTACCTGATACTGTGGCTTCCTAAGAGTGTGGACACCTCTTTTCACTAGACGCTGCCATCCTGTCTTGCTTCGAAGAGCCCTCTCCAAATCTGACGTTCTCTGTAAACCGTTAGAGCAAAGTTTATATCTTAATTTGGCAGAGAAATGTAGAACAAATTTTCTGGATGTTTACAGAAGATTGAATAATAAAAAATATGCACAATTGAACAAAAATTAATGATATACTACAAAGTGAATAATAACAACTTTCTTTTTCCTTTTTCTTTTAAAAAAATGAATAGTAGCGACAGCTTACATGGCCAGGGTCCAAAATCAAAAGGGTAAATCGATCTTGATTCCCATGTTGACCATTTTGCTTTTGGATCCCAACTATGGTTCTGGAATGACCTTGATGTTGGAAATACAATGGGCTGCGAATAACACACATTAGTCAGTGTACAACATTCTTAAGCGTAGTGTTAACATGCACTTACGAAAGCTGCAAGCATTTCAGATGGTGAGATTGAACATTTCTGAGAACATCCCTTACGTTTTATCACTCACAAGCACACGCCTTGAACTGTCCGAGTTATCAGAATGCCTGCTAGCAAAGTAGTTCCAGATCCAGTCAACAAGAACCTGTTGGCCTCTCATGTTTTCAGCATCTTCTCGACAAAGTTCAGAAGATGTAGATGTTGGAGAAACATTCTTTATCAAGAACTTGTCCATTGGCCCTTGTACTCTTTTTGGTGCATGTTTTCCGTTCTTACTGTGAGGACCTGATGATTCCGTGCTATCAAAATCTACAACCCTTGCACGCAAACCAAAAGAGCGGAGAAGGGCAGCACATTCCGTGGTCCCTATCCACTTCTTGGCGCCATAAACTTTGTTATGAAAATGGCTTGAGCCAAGGGTATCAAATTTCTTATCCCAAGCAATCTCAAGCCACCTCTGAAGTGAAGGGATGTCAGGAACAAATCCAGAACCACCAAATAAAGCCTCCCTTGCTTCCGGCCTTTGCTTCAGCAAATGAGAGCTCAGCATCTGGATATTTCTCCACCCACATCCCCACCCCTTATCTTCTGATGAAAGACTCTGATAGTGATCAACATGTCCTGATATCATACTTGTCGATGAACCAGCTTCTGATTCCAGGCAGGCTCTCAACAAGTTCATAACACCTCCTTGTATTTCCTGAACATTGCTTCGGAGTTGCGCTTGGAGCAAGCAAGATACTTGCTCATCCAAAACACTTCCCTGAAGTGATGAGCTTCCGGCGATGCTTGAGGAGGCTCCTTGAGCATGAGGATCACCAGCGAACAGATTGTTACATTCTTGATGAGTGTCCTGCAAAAGAGGACAGCTACATGGGAATTTTTTTCACTCCTTATAGGAGAAACAGATGAAGTAGTAGGACAATGACAGCAATATTTAGCTAGTTGCATAATAGGCGGGACAGGAGTGTAATTGTTACTAGGAAATGTTTGCAGCATAGGTTAAACTTAAGAATGAGAAGGCGAGCAGCAGAATAAGAGTAGTGGGGAGGAGTACAGACCAGCAGCAGGGGATTGGGCGTGGATTGAGTGAGGGCGATTTGGTGGGCCAATTCCATGTCGGTTTGGAGTTGATCATCGTCAAAATGGGCATTCGCATGCCTAGCAAAAGATGAAAAGAATCAGTTTGGTGAAGCACAGACCACAATGGAGGTAAGTAAAATCGCAGCAGTAGCATAGCATACTGTACGTTATGTAGAGAGAGACTAGAGAGGAGAAGAAGAAATCAAGAAAGAGGAAGAGCTATACCATTGGAGCTCAGCCGTAAGAACCTGGACGTTGCAGATGGGGCAAGATGAGATCATCTCCTCTCCCTCTCCTCTCAACGGGCGGGCGGCCGAATTGCTGCAGGCTGGACGTACTGCAGCAGATCGAGCAGCTCCGGCCCGGTCGGCGACGAGAGGCGGGCGACCTGGTTGGTAATCGGAGACGTACGCACGGGGGAGGGGAGGGGAGAGCAACAAACAATAATAGACGATACTATTGGAGTGAGTCCCTCCTTCTCCTCCGATCCGTATCTATGGCGGAGAGGGGAGGAGGCGGCGGCGAGGTGACGGCGGCGGACGGTCGGAGTCGGAAGGGAGGGGGGGGGGGGGGGGGGGGGAGGCCTTGTCGATGGTGTCATGGGCCTCATGGGGGACATTAGGTGGGCTTCCATGTTAGGCCCATCTTCTCTTCTGGAGTGAGAAGCCCATTTAACTGAGGCCCACAGAACAATCTTGTTAGGCCCATATTTATCCAACTAGCAGAAAGAGCTGGCAGTAAATAAGCAGCAGCACGCATGTATATTGTAACTCTGTTCGTCCCGATACATGACATCCAAAATTGTAGGTCAAATCCGATACTGAGTTGTTGTAACCTGGGAATGGGATGGATGTACTGGTCTTTTTAGCAGGTGAAGCGGGATCGGCATAACTGCAGGAACATACCATACCATAACCATGTACAATTAGCAGCAAAGGATGCATGGCATAGAGGTAGATAGCTGCCTGCATCGATCAGCTGCAGATGATCGATATATAGATTTGCTGGTCCATCATACATTCGTACATACAGATACAGATACAGCAGTTACAGTAGTGGATGGATGGATCGGGTAACAGCTAACAGTGCCAAGCAATCAATCAGTCTATCTATATGTATCATTTTCCTGAAATGCATGCTTCCCTCATCCATACGGCAACCAACCCAACCAAACTAACCAACGCCCATGCACCATATTCATTCATATCTATCTATCAGCGATCGATGAGCGATAGATACGAGTAGATTGCAGCAGCAGCAGCAGTGCAATCAGCTGCTATCAGTTTTGAGTGGCGTAGCCCAACCTTCTCTTCTCTTTGGTTTTCTCCTCCTCCGGGCCGGGCACTCCATTCAATACACCCACACCCAGGCCGCCCCCCTTGCTTGCATATAGGCCGATTGCTTCCATGCCTGCAGTAGTCCAACCGTCGATCATGATAATGAGTGGTTTTCTAATTCGCAGTTATAGACTTTCTCTAATAATTAGTTGTAGTTTTTTTTTAATCCAAGGCCAGAATAAATTTTATTATCTAACGCAAGCAAGTTTATAAAATAAAAAAATGGTAAGATTTATCCGTTTATCATGGGAAAGATAACCCTTTACCCGTCTGTAAGAGAGAGCTTGTACTCGACTATGCACATTCAGTTTTATTTTTTTGAAAAGAAAACCTTGTCCCTATCATGTACTGATCTATTTGTTTTATGTTGTAAGGTTGCGTTCGATACTATGGTTAGAACTTGTTACTTTCTCGTTTATCATAAGCATGCTTTTCGAATTGACAAATATTGTGTTTCGTGCAAAACGAAAATAATTATATAATTCTCTTTAAAGAAATAAAAAAACCCATTATCAAGTTTTTAAATAGTTAAACCTTAATCAATCATACACTAATCACCCACACTTTGCTTTCTATGCAAATAGACTAGCCAAGCCAAAATCAATATTTTCTGATTTTGATCGAGTTTTATAGAATAATATACCAGCATCTACAATATCAATTTAGTTTCACTAAAATCACCTAGAAGTGTGTCTTGATAATATATTTATTTGTTATCACACATGTTGATGTATACGCTTGATCAAATTGTTAAAGAGGTTTGATTTCAGAAAAAACTTAAATAACTTACAATACGAAAGAAATGAAGTACTATCTCCGTTTCACAACAAAAATCATTATAGCATTTTCTATATATCTATATAGATTCATTAACATCAATGTGAATGTGGAAAATGTTAAAATGATTTATATTGTGAAACGGAAAAAATATTATATATATGGAGTACATCATAGTTTTGCTAATATATATTTGTACTAGTTTACGATGAAAAGAATTGTATTACTCCAAGAAAGAAAAACCGCTTGGGCAGAATCTGTGGTCGCCGCGAAATAGCTATAGATAGAAGATAGGTGTGTCGTTAGTTGGAACAATGAATGGATGGCCCCGGCAGGTGTGGCCTCCTCGATGCATGCATCGATCGTCTATACTCTCACTCATGTCTATCTTTGACGATTCGATGATTGCTTTTGTGAGCTTCTCAGTTTGCTGCTGGAATGGCACTCCATGCCCATCATGCATGTACACTTCTACAGTTCTACTCGATCACTTCTGTAGGTTAAAAATATACTTGTTCTGTTTTGTTAGATTAATTTTTTGACAGTTACTCTGTTACAAAAGTAGTACAATACTTTTGAATATGAGTATAATAAATTTAATCATTTTATAAAAGTTATATCCTAATAGAGCAATTTTGTTAGTCAAAGAGACAATTAGACTGACATGCTCCCTTGTTAGTGATTACAGTACTACTTGCTTGATTCATTTCGTTCCTTCCAGCGGCCCGATCGATCTAGCTAGAACAATCGATCGGGCAATCAATCTCGTTCGTCAGCTAGCTAAGCTAGCCATGTTGCCATCAGGGTGTACGGCGTCTTCGTCGTCCTTGTTCCAGTACGATCGACCAGCGCAAAAATGAAAAAGAAATCATAAAGGGAATGTTGATTGATCGAGTAATTGGGCGATTTAAGTCCGGACTACATACGCAACCAAATCACACGCTAATGAAAACGTACGATTCCTTCTTAATTTTGTTCGCCCATTGGAACGATTTTGCTGCCTGGTAGGACTTTACTATCATATTATCATACAAAATATATAGGGTCCACTCCCGATACCCTCTTATTTTAGGTAGGCCCCCTTTAATTTAAAGAAAAATCTAGAAATTTTAGAGGTTTTTTTTCCTATATAGCCATTTGAATCAAATAAATGAACACTATATGATCATAGAAAATAACTCATTTCATATAAGTTTTGGAGGAAATTTAACATGAGGTACAAACCCATAGAAATATTCTTTTGAGTCTATTATCTCTCCTCAAATTATCTTGTTTTTTTATGGTCCAATAAAAATATTATTACTATGTTTTTTCTTTATTTTACAATTCTCTATTTTATATTTACATTTTTGTAAAATTCCCGTGTTTTCCTTACCCCCCCTCCATTTTCCCAATTGAAAGGGTCCCTTATTCTCTCTTAATTTCTTGTCCTGTTCTTTTATCTCTCTATCTTTCTTTTTCCCAAATGCTGTATAGTCTCCTTGTTTCATTACAAGTAATAAATATCTTATACTTCATTAACCTTACATGTAACTCAGACAAGACAAGTAGCTCTAGTTGATCATGTATATGAATTATATTCCGTATAAAATCCTCCATCATCAGGTACCATAACGTCGACGCATCATTTTTCTCAAAAAGAAATGTGAAATGCAGGACATCAAAAAGCAGTAGGCCCCAATGTTTCTCTGTAGCAGTCAGTCTAGTGTCCCCCATCTGAAAGGAACTGATCTAATAAAAAAGGTGCATATATATACATGTGTGTGTTTGTGGGTTAGGCAGCTTTACCCATTTGGAACCTTTCTTTCTATCCCAAGAACAATTAATCTAGCATTTATATTTTTCGTTCCATTTTTCTCTATTTTTCATCATCAGGGTATCTCATATTCTGATATTCAGGTATACGTGGGTGTACTGTAGCTGTAGCCGACAACAGAATAGAAGAGAGCACAAAGGATACTTACAAGCGGCCTGATAGCTACAGCGTTGCATTGCGCCATATCGGCCGTGAACTTAGCTGATAATGATATAGATCTCAGATGATACTCTTTCAGAAAAAAAGCAAACATTCAGCTGTCCATCCTTGGGTTCAGAGTTCAGACCAGCAGGGCTGCATGCATGCATTTTGCCACTTGCTGAATGCGTGAGAATATCATCTAGCTACACCAAATGTACTACTCCTAGCTCCTTAATGCATCCTTAATTAACTGTATACTCCAAATGAATGTCTTATCATCTATCTGATTGAGAAATCAGAATTTCAGATCACCAAGAGCTTAATTACTGTATGTCCTTCCTGACCTTATCTGAGCGATCGAGCTGACTGACGACCAACCGGCAGCTTATACAGAAACAGTGAGAGCCTGAAAACTGTAGTAATACAGTTCTAGTAGCTAAAAGGACTTGACTTTTCTTAATTAACCAGTATATGTATATGTTTTCGGATGTATACAAATTCTCCTCATGCCTGCCAGATCGATCGATGCACAGTTTGAAGATAGATAGGGGATGTATAGGACAAGAGAGAACACATGCATTGAAGTGACAAAATTAAAAGGAGGGACGCAGCAATCATCAGATGATACTACAAGCAAAGGAACACTCCACATGTAAAAAGGCTGCATGCCACATCACCCCCTCTGCCTGCTCTTGGCTCTTGCTGCATCCGCATGCCTCCAAAATCAACCGGTTTATTAATAACATTCACCAAGCATGAACAGAAATTTACTAATGGATCGAACCAGTGCTTGATTTTTATGAAAATGGATTTAAATCCGGCCACTACATTTGAACCGGAATGTACGTGGCCAAAGGATTTGTGCTCAGGGTTTTAAATTTCGAAACTTGGTTTTCTGCCAGAGGTGAGCGAAAGAACCGAAATTCAGATTTTTTTCGTACGAAATTATTTGAAATTTTGACTGATTTTGAATGAATTTGAATAAAGTTTGACTGAATTCACAAAAAATTGCAAAAAACCGAAAGTTTCGGGCGAGATGTGAGCATTTCGGTGGGGGCGAAATTTCGAACCGAAATTTCAAACCCTGTTTGTGCTTCACGTTCTTTACAATCAAGTTAATAATATTGTAATAAGTAACAGCTAAAGTAGAGGATGGGATTTTCATTGCATTATCAAAAAAATGTATATATATATTCGACGAATATTTCCACCGGTTTCACCTCACAACATAAGCTATAGCTATCTATCTTCATCAGCAGCAGAGGCAGAGGTGAGCTGAGCACAACACATCTCCCCTTGAGTAGTTGAGTACTGCACTTGAGTGATATAAAGCTTAGCTAGTATACTGACTGCACTAAGCTTAAACCTCACTCGACTACTACCACAAAAGTGAAATATTCTTGGCTAGTCTAGTCTACTCGAGAACGCCACCATCACCATGGCGATGTCGCCGCACGACCAGCACGAGCACGAGCCGGACCACGCCCACCGCTCGCCGTCCAACGGCACGGCAGCGACCAGCACCATCGCCACCAACAGATGGGGTCCCTACTCCGGCGCCGGCGACTTCGCCAGCAACATGGCCGTCATCCTCGCCGCCCTGCTCGCCGCGCTCGCCCTCGCCCTCGCGCTCAACGCCGCCGTCAGGTACCTGCTCCGCCGCCACCGCCGGGCCAGGCAACAACCAGCCGCCGCCGCCGCCGCCGCCGAGGACCCGGAGAAGCCGCCTGTGCAGGAGGCCGACCCGCCGCCGCCGCCCCCGGCTCTGGTGTACTCCGCGGCGGGCACCAAGCTGGCCGGCGCCGCGGAGTGCGCCATCTGCCTCGCCGAGTTCGTCGACGGGGACACCGTGCGCGTCATGCCGGTGTGCGGCCACGGCTTCCACGCGCGCTGCATCGAGCGATGGCTCGCCGGAGGCCGGCGCTCGTCGTGCCCGACCTGCCGCGCGCCGGCCGCGACGCCGCCCGGCGCCACCGCTACCGAGCCCGCGGCGGTGGCGCCTTGATGCATGCATGCGGCCAACTGATTTGGCCCTTGTTCTTGGCAAGCTCTCCTCTCTCGCTCTCTCTCTCTCTCTCTCTCTCTCTCTCTTTCTTCGCTTCTTTCTTTCTTGCTTGCTTTCATGTGTAAATATTCGTCAAGATCGAGATGATGGATTTGATCCAACTGGATGGATCATTTGGTGTCTCTCTCTGTTTTGTTTGGCTGTTCAAGGAGATGTATGAACTGAGAGTTTTAGATTAGGCTGAAAAAGTGAAAATGATTCATTACTCTCCTGTTCGATTATCACAACATCTGTTCAGTTATTGGCTTCTTTTTTCCCATGTGAACTAGTGTTGGTGCCAAGAAATTCCTCTGGAATCTGGGCTCAGATTTGCACAGATAAAGGTTTATCAGACAGGGCCTTTCAATGTAGAGGCTGCAAATTTGCTTCCAACTCCGGGAATTTGCACAACCTGCAGATTTGTTTACAGGGGAGTGGTGAAACATCTTCATTTTTTATATGGAGACTGGAGAGACATCCTAGCTTGTTTTGTGAAGGGAAAGAAAAACACAAACAGTTAGGTGATCATTCAATCTCGAGTATTCAATATGGTGTTTATATCGTTGGTTTGTGGTCACTCAATGTGTGGTGTGCCTCTTGAATGACTGAAATCGGGAATTCAGTATGCATGTCTGCTTGCTTAATTCTGACGGAAAGGCAAGTGCCACTAGTACTCTAGTACTGCCTCCGTTTCGAAAATGTTTGACGCTGTTAACTTTTTAGCATATGTTTGACCGTTCGTCTTATTAAAAAAAATTAAGTAATTATTAATTATTTTCCTATCATTTGATTCATTGTTAAATATATTTTTATGTAGACATATAATTTTACATATTTTACAAAAGTTTTTGAATAAGACGAACACTCAAACATGTGCTAAAAAATCAACGGTGCCAAACATTTCGAAACGAGTAGTATATAAAGTTGCATGATTCTGGCAAACTTTGGTAATATCTAGATTGGCAAATGCATGATAATCAGTGCTACTTTACTATTACTACGCTGGATATTTATACAGAAGCTTAGGTTGTGCTTAGCCTACGCCTAATTTGGCAAAGTGGATAATGCACATCAATCTATCCTGTTGTTACTATCCGACAGTGAGTTGTCCTGTATTTCTACTCACATCGATTGATTCAGAGTGTGGCTGCCTTTGATGCCTTCAGTCATTCAGATAGACGATAGTTACTGACTCTGTGTTCAACGTGGTTAGTTCTCCACCCAAACGACAATGCTTCCGGTTCCAGACCATTTCATCGCGTGAAAAGGTTAGCACTAATTAGTGGTGGTGTTGTGCATGAAGATGCCTGACCAAAATTATGGATAGTCAAACAGTAGTCAAATTGATGCGTCCTCCCGGGTGTTGGATAGGAGTACATTGCTCTTTTTTCCTTTTTTGTGTGTGTATGTGTGAATGGAGGAGTATAATCAAGTGTTTACCGCAAACCCGCTCTGGCCTATACAGAAAGGCAGCCCGCAAAATATGGGCTTCCCACGCGGCCTATTGCTTCTTCCCGCTTCCTCCAATAGGCCTACAGTGGGCTGACGATCAATATGGGCCTAAATCTTAGGGATCGTAGCTGGCCCGGCCTTTTGTCTGATGGGCCTGAATTAAATCAGGCCCAGTAGTAACACATCCATAGTACGAATTTTTTTTATTTTTAATTTTTTTTATTAAAAGTTTTAAAAAATAATTTTCCATTTTGAAAATTGACGGAAGTAGTCGCCTACCGCCCTCTGGGAAGGCGATTTTTAAAAATCGCCCTCCCAGAGGGCGGCGAAAATGACGTGGCAGACGGCCGTTCGCTCTCGGGCGACGGCCGTCAACGAAATTTGCAGGCGGCCCCCTTGCCGCCCTCCGCGAGGGCGATTTTGTACTGTGCGGGGGGCCGCCTGCAAATGGGCGGCGAGGGGGGGCATGGAAATTTGCAGGCGGCCCCCTTGCCGCCCTCCGCGAGGGCGATTTTGTACTGTGCGGGGGGCCGCCTGCAAATGGGCGGCGAGGGGGCATGGAATTTTGCAGGCGGCCCCCTTGCCGCCCTGGGGGAGGGCGATTTTGTACTGTGCTCTATATTTTTGTATAAATATCAATAGTTATCAAATCTTTTTATATTGAAAACTATACAAGATTAAAATCTCCAAGACTGGTAAAATACAATTTTATTATTTTTTAGGGCATATTTGGATTGTTACCGTACAAATATTTTGTTACCGTACAAATATTTTATTAATTTTTAGGGCATATTTGGATTGTTAGTGCCAAATTTTTCTTCACGACCAAATATTTGGTAAGGTAAAATTGCATTTGATCATATTTGGTTTGCTGCCAAAATGTAAAATTGTAGTGAAGAATGTTCTACATAATCTCAAATCTAGATTACGTATTACCAATGAATAGGCTTCCATTTTCGTGTGTTGTGTGCTAGTGGGAAAGAAGATATGAAGAGGTTGCCTTCAGATTGTCAATTATATAGCGTCGTTTTCACTGCAATATATGTGAACTCAATGAGATACATTATGCATTAGATGTGACAAGACGATCACGCGTGGGCGTGATTCACTTTATGTAAACAGGCAGCGCCGAAAGTTGATAGTGATAACTCGAGCTGCCGCTTTTCATGTGTGCTGTTGTGGACTATGCGCGCTACTGGATCTGACACTACCGTGCAGCGCCGAAAGTGTGTTGTCGTGAGCATAAGTTGTTCTAGCACCATATGAATGAAAAGAACTATGTAGACGAGACAAACACAAGTAGTACTGCAGTAGTAATAGCAAAAGTAGTACTGCTTTACAAGTTTGTAAGCCAAAAGAAACGGTCACATAAGGACTGAAGAGGTAGAACACTACTGACGAGGCCTCTTACCCCTGTCCCTCCTACCCTGCGCCCTAATGTGCCCGTGGGAGTACGTGAGTCGGTCCGGGGGTACGGCACGGCCAACCCGTCCTGCCTGTACAGGTGTGACCTCTGGCTGCTCCTGAGTGTGCGCCTCTGGAGCTCCTCCAAGCTGAGAGGAGCCTAGTACGTCGTGGTGGTCTGCACCGTGCAAGTCGTCGTCGTAGAACTGGCTAGTAGGACCAGTCCTACCGGCGTGAGATGAAGAGGCCCCAGTACCGAAGATCCCGGCTGCAAATCCTGCTGGACAAGGACCATCAGTTTCGTACAGGTATTTAACAGTATTAATAAAAAGTAAAGTACCGTGTGGGCGAGGGATCGACGCTCCGTGAGAGGAAGAGCTGGCGAACGCGCCCGAAGAGGTGGCGAACGCCCCTGCGGAGCTCGTGGAAGCGCCGGTCGTGCCTGCGAACGCGCTCGAAGGCAGACGAGGTCCTGCGATGAGGAAACGTGCAGTTAAAACATGGTGACATAATCGTGCAAAAGCTGAAACAAAAATGAACTAATATCTGGGCTGAACTGTACCGTGCGAAACCGGTGTTGTAGGTCGCACTGCTCTGAAGCTAGGGGCGCTCGAAGGCAAACGAGGTCCTGCGAGGATGGAACATCAAGTTACCGCGGGGTGATGTTTTCGTACAAAAACAGAAACAAAACTTAAGAAACCTCTGGGCTGAGCAGTACCGTGCGAAATAGGTGCCGTAGGTCGAGGTCCTGCTCCGACGGTAGGCGCGCGAGGCCGTGGTTGTACCGGACCAGCTGGAGGTACGACGTCCACGGCGCTGCGACAGGAGAAGACGCGCATGACCGAACGCATCTTCTCCTGCATCCGGTCGAAGGTCACCCTCTGCTCAACGTCAGTCAAGTGCAAACCTCTGTTCAACCTCACTTGGACTGCGGTGATATCGGCACTGATATCCCGTGCGGCATCAGCCTATGCAAGATGGAAATAACAAATTCAGTAGTTGTCCTATATTATGCAAGATAAATGAAATAATTGTAAGAAGTAATACAAATGGGACGTACCGCCACGAAGTAGTCTCGGTCACGGTGCGTGGGATACGCGTCCGTGACAGCGGCAACGTGCGGCTCTGGGGCGTCTGGAGTGAAGGTCACACGCGCACGAGTGCGAGGAAGGTACCAGCGAAGGTAGTCACGGTAGTTCTCCTCCGTGTGTGGGAAGAGCTCGTTGATCACCTCCTCTGTAGCTAACACCCAGTCGTCAACGTACTGCTGTACACGTGGAGCCCAAAGTGCGCCTGCTAGCTGTCCCCGTCGAGTCAACCTGTGAAGAGAGGTAAATTATATGGCTCGATGAAGTAATTATCATAAAAATTTAGAAATGAACAATCCGAACTCACGAGTGGTCGGCAGGGAGGACGGTCGGCTGCACGTTGCCCGGAAACACCTGCCTAAGTCCGAACTGTCTCATCACACGCTGCGGGCAGTGAGGCTCAACGAAAATGTCGAACACCATCGGCAGGATGGTGAGCCAGTAAGCCTGGTCGCGTGTGCACAAGGACGAAAGTCCTAGCGGTGCTCTCGCAGCGACGGCCTCTTCTGTGTACGGCTCCCAGATGACGTCGCTCGGCTGGAGACGGTCAAACTCGAACACGAAGTCCGGGTAACCACGTCTCACCTGGACGTGAGCGTAACGACGCTGCAATAAACATGATCGGAATTAGACATGTTATGTGAAGAAAAAAAAAGACGACTGATAAACTTATAACGCAGCGAAGTTGCACTAACCCCACGTCGACACCAGTAAGTCCCCATCGTGGGACCGTCCTCTGGCCACTGCGCGCTGCGACCAACCCCGTAGGGTGCGCTGTCCACCACTGTCGACCTATGGCAAACCTCTCGGCTGCCCAAAGCTGAAGCAACATAGGGCAGCCAGCGATGATCGCTCCCGCGTCAGTTGTCACACCCCGAAGTTTTCCTCCCTAGTCAAAATTGTAATTTATAATTGACCCTAAGAAAATGCTGGTGAAATCAGGAGAAAACCCTAAGAAAGTAATGCAAATAATAATCGGATTTGACATGTGGAATTTTTCTTGAATTCTACATGTCGAAATTCATTAACAGGATTTTTAGTGGAATTTTCAGAGCTCTAGAAATAATTTTAACCAATTAAAAATCACTAAAGTGCAATTGTTAATTCCAGGGAAAATCCTTTTTCCTTTTCTTTTTCTTTTTCCTCTCTTTTCCCTCCTTTTTGTCAAGTGGGCCGTCGGCCCACTTCTCCCTTCCTTCCCCTCCCTTACTGGGCCGGCCGCAGGCCGAGGCCCAGCCCGACAGCCGGCCGCCCGCCTCCCTCCTCTCGGGGTCGCCGACAGGTGGGGCCCACCTGTCGGACCCGTCTCCCTCCTCCC